AATTGTGTAGGATAACGTAATAGTAACATTACAGTAAAATTTTGTCAACAACATAATAGCAACTTAAACATTAAATCTCGGTATATCTATAGACTAGCTGGCCCCAGCGACTTCGTCCGCGTGAAATTTTATTTTATTTTTCTAAAATAACAGTAGCGTAAGTTACTCCTTATTACATCATGTACTTGCCAAAAAAAGTCCCGTCAAAATCGGTCCAGCTATTTCAGAGATGAGCCGGAACAAACAGACAGACAGACAGACAAAACTTGTAAAATATGTTATTTTGGTGTATGTACCGTATTTATATTCATATGCAAGTAGTAAAAAACGGTTATTTCAATATTACAAACAGACACTCCAATTTTATTTACATGTATAGATGTATAGATTAAAAAAAAAGTAACAGTCATAAGGCTAGTCGTATGCCTAATATATATAATAATGTAATAAATTCATTTAAACAGAAATTGCGGGAACATTATTTAAATTTGTAACTTTTTTACTGTCCTTCTCCTTTTTTCACATCTTTCTGTTATATCCATATAGTTCTCTCTATATTTTCTGATTTTCTTACTTTCAAACTGTAGATATTGATGGTGTAAAGTCTAAGGGAACTAATATAAAAATGGGCGTTCCTCAAGGTTCAATATTAGGCCCGTTTCTCTTTTTAATTTATATAAATGACCTTCCCTACATGGTAGAGAAAGTTGCAGATATAGTGTTATTTGCGGATGATACTTCGTTAGTGTTTAAAATTGGTCGCCAATGTAATCAATTAGACGATGTAAATTATGCTATCTCTGCTATACTAAATTGGTTCACATGTAATAATCTATTATTGAACTCCAACAAAACTAAGTGCATTAAATTCACGCTGCCTAATGTAAAACAAGTAAATACGCAGCTATTGCTTAATGATGAAATAGTAAATTTTGTTAATGATACAGTTTTTTTAGGAATAACAGTGGACTCGAAGTTACAATGGGGGCCCCATATTTCAAAATTAGCCAGTAGACTTAGTTCTGCTGCTTATGCAATTAGAAGGATAAGGCAATTAACAGACGTGGCGACGGCAAAACTTGTATATTTTAGTTATTTCCATAGCATTATGTCATATGGCATACTGCTATGGGGTAAAGCTGCCGATATAAATACTATATTTATTTTACAAAAGAGAGCCATACGTTCTATTTATGGTATGGGTTCTAGAGAGTCATTACGTCAATGCTTTAAACAATCAAATATCCTCACCGTTGCCTCACAGTACATTTATGAAAATATTATGTATACAAGGAAAAACTTAGATAGTTTCAAGAAACTTAAAGACTGTACAAGTAGAAACTTACGCAATAAAAATAAGCTAATTTTACCTAAATGCCGTCTACACAAAGTTAGTAATTCATTTTATGGTAATTGCGTAAGATTCTATAATAAACTGCCAGAGTCTACGCTAAATCTTACAGAGAGGCAATTCAAATCTTATATTAAACAAATGTTATGTAAAAAAGCCTATTATAAGATAGATGAATTTATAGATGATAGCAATATATAGCAAGAATAAGTTTATTTGCGGACAACGTTATAATTTTAATTTTCATACTGCTTTCTTGATATATGATAGCGTAGCGGCTTTTGTATTGATTGCCGCATGCATCCTTATGTAAAGTGCGAATACTGTAACTACCATATAGTAATTTTTATAGCTGTGACGTGGTCGTGTGGAATGAGTAGTCATGCTCACTAAAATGTCCAGACATGTGGCGGCGTGGTGGGCCGGGTCAATGGGCTCCCTAAAATATGGTCGAGCGCAGTGATGGCTGGCTCATCCGTCATACTCGTGAACGAGTGCTGCTTGTAGGGACTGGTCTGCTCTTATCACTACGACTGATTTAATCTTATTGCATATTTATATTTGACCCAAAAATTAGTGCTTGTTGGTAGTTTGTATTCACACGTTTCGTCTTGTAAATGTAAACTTACAAGGATTATTTAAAAGAGCAACACACAAGTTTCTTGCTCGTTCTTCTTGTGATGAGACAGCTTTCCGAACGAGTGGTAGATAAAAAACAAATTGTTATGACTATTCAAAAGTGCTTAAATTAAGTTTATTTGAATAAATGATTTTCTATTCTATTCTATTCTATTCTATTCAATTTGAGACTGTACTTATAATTTGATTATCGGATCATTATGTATTTACTTATATATAATATTTATACATTTATGGGTTATACTTAGATATATATTTATGTATGTATATTGTTATTTTTTTATAGAAATGTATATTTTGCTTATCTTTATTATCTTTATAAATCTTTTTTTGACATTTCTTATTTATATTAGTGCACCGCCAATAATCTTTCGCTGCACCACTCATGGTTGCCTGGTAAATAACGCGGCAAAATATTAAGTCCGCCACATGTACAAATTTTTTTGTGCATTAAAGTTAAAGAAATAAAAAAATACAATACTGTTTAATGAAAATGCGTGTTGTCTAGTGCTTTGAGATGTATCAAAATAAGGTCAACAAAAAAGTCCGTGATGGTATATGTCTATCTCTTAAGGATAACCAACAATAACCATTTTTTATCTTTTACATTTTACGGGATTTTTTTTTATCGTATGTTTCCCTTAAAATCATGTAAACTATGTTATTATGTCATAATCTAAAGAAATAATAATATTTTATAGTGACATATCCACTATAAAATACCAAAAAGTAGCAATGTAATTCGTTACGCGCGAATCAGGTGTTATAAGGTCAAAGGTCGGTGCACCCCGCGTATTTGATAAATAGTGCTTCTCTGGATGTCTTTAAGAGAAACTGGCAGTATGTACGTGTATATGTACAAGTCCTTAAGTGTTAAGTTTTTCAAATGTACAATAAAGAATAAATATTTTTAAGTACAGTACTTACGTACATTAATATAATACCTACTTTTTACTTGTATCTATTGTTATCAAAATTAAATTATAAGTTCTTAACTTGACCACGACTATGTGACCCTCTCTTGGCGCCAAAACGAGTGAAAAAATGAACAGCATACGACGACGACGCAGTACCTATAGAGTGGAGCAACTGCTTATTCAGTTTTATTCAACTATTTAGTCCCTCCACCGTTACAATGAATGGAGGCGGATATTACAATGTACGTAGCATTGCGAATATAAAATATCTAGATTAGGTATAATAAATTCATAATTGATAGGCCGTTACGGTATCAGAGCCAAAAAGTCTTCTTTCTTTGTTTATGTACTGTTAGATGCGACAGCGACTTTGTTTTATACTGCACTATGTAATGAATGATATACCTAAATTAAATAAAATATCTGAGGTTTGGACAAAAATTCAAAAGGTACTTTATTTTGAAAAAGTATTTTGAAAATACCTATTTTGCATTTAGTATTTGAAATACAAAACACAAAACTATTTTTGTTTTTAGAGTGACATTTCTATGAATTCACTGTCGATAGCGAGCGGTGCGATGGAAAAAGATAACCGTTTATAAAAATATAATAAATAACCCTGGATAATTAACACAGACTGATACTGAACTGATATAAATAGATATTTTTATTTTGTAAATACATATATAATATACATATAAAACACCCAGACCGATGAAAACAATCGATGACCGATGAGTACAAATGTTTGCATCGTGCGAGAAATCGAACCCGCGACCATCGGATGTAAAGCGGTGTGACCACCGAGGCAGTCGAAATATATAAATAATCTTATGAATTTAATTTATTCTAATTTGTTTATGTGCGCGGGGTGCGGTGTACGGTGCTCCCCCCTGCCTCCACCGTTGCTGGAGCTTGCATGTATGGAGCATTGCGAATATAAAATATCTACATTAGTAAATTAATAAATTCATAATTGATAGACCGTTACGGTATCTATATATATTCGGATGAAAGTAAGTATCGCAGTAAGGACGAGTATATAAAGTGATCAACATAATTAATTGATTTTTGGAATATATTCAGAGCCAAAAAGTCTTTGTGTATACCAAAAATTTAGCCGTTCGGAGCCATTCAGTCACGAATTATTAGTAAAAAAAGTGTCGAGTATATCGTACTATCGACGAATATATATGGCCACATCGCAAAATAGAATGCGACGTTGCCATACCGCCTGAGATATACGCGATAGGAGTCAAGTTATTCAGTGCAAAAGGTGGAATCAGCAAGTGTGTAGGTTGTGGCGTGATCAACAAAGTGCCCAAAGAGGTGTTTATATATATATATATATATATATATATATATATATATATATATTAACTAGAACTTTTATTTTATTAATATTATAAACGCGATAGTTTATGAGTATCGATGGAAGAATGTTTTACCCTTCCATGCAAAAACTACTGAACGAATTTTGACAGTAATAAATAAATAAATAATCCTGAACAATTAATACAGCGCCATGTAATTCCACGGTAAGTAGAGCTTGTGTTGTGGGTACTAGACAACTGATATAAATACTGAAATATATTTTTCTAAAACATTAATACCTAATATACATAGAAAGCACCCAGACTGATACAATCATACTGAATGAATACAAAGACGCGCGTCATCACAATACTTTTTATCTCCATTATTATTAGAACCATATCTATTACCAGAATACAGTACTCTTACTGAATAACCCGTTACAGACATTTATTACCTATTTTTACAATAAGTCACTTTCTTTGGCAGCTGTATTCCTATCGTAGAATACGAATATGGAATGAATATTTTGCTAAGAATTGCGAATCGGCGTAATCCAGTCATTAGAATCGGCATCGAATTTCATAGACAATTTCATAGACCAGCTGGACAGGCCTGTTCAAAAATGATGACTGCCAATAACTTCATTCTGTCTCATTGAGATAGGGTTTTCAGTTACCTCGACCACTCGCATGGGATATTCTAGAGAGTCATATACTATACGGTACTGTTATTGTAGAGAACGTAAAATTAAATGACAATTTCCTTTGAATATCGGTTTTTATTTACATACATATAATACAAATGAATAATAGACTTGCATTATTACACCCATATCAACCACATATTTATTCTTGTAATTTGATTATCACCACAGCCAATCCACAGCATTTTATAAAACATCTCAGCACTTTTTTTTATTGGTTAGTTATAAACAAGATACACAATCAAATAATGTACGTATGACTCTTTACAAAATATGCAATTTAATGAAAAATTGAATGTTATTATCAACGTTTACATATGATGTTCTAATAATAATATTTATTTTAGGCATCTAGTATATCACATTCCTTATGCTAAATCAGTCATACTTCCAGTCCACCAAAACATCAAACTATTTTCAGCATTTTGTGAATAACGTAAATCAATCTCTCCTAAAATTTCTTTCTTGCACTCGCTATTAGCTAATTGCTCTGCTTCTCTTTGACTGTGTAATATATTGGGTTCATTTTCGTCCAGCAATTTTTCAGGATCAGAGAAATGATACTGCCCAGAACCTGTTGCCATTATGGGTCTATATGGATGTATTGAGACACTGTTGCAACAATCTTTATGTACAGGAAACTGAAAAAAAAGTTACCTTTTTTAATTTAATAGACCACTTTGGACCTACATGTGTACAGCCATATTTGTTGTCAGCTTGTTTGACATTCTAATTTCATAAGAAAATGTATATATATCTCGAAACCCTACCTTAAATGTAACTGTATCAGACTCAACATCAGTGGTGTCCAAACTTGATTTCCAATCCACTTGTTCGAGATCCCATACTTTAAGTATCCCATCTGTTCCACCAGACACCAGATATCTACCACACGGTGATATATCGAAATATACCCTTTGATTGGTGTTGACAACTCTACTTAAGATATTCAGTGGCCGCCTGTAGTATCTGATATCCCACACGAGAAGACGATGATCTTTACGTGCACCTGATACAAGTCTAAGGCCATCAGATGTGAACTTTGCATGTGTTACGCCACCTATAAAGATTAAGATGTAAGTAAGAGGAATCTAAAATTTATGTAAAAATAATAAATATACCATGGAAATAATAGTGAAAATATTTTATGTATTATTAATTCTCAAAGTCAAAATTATTTAATAAGATCAGATACTTATGCAGATGAATAACTTTTTAGGTCCTACTGTCTGGCAGGAAACTCAACTGGAACTTTTATGTTATTATTACTGCTTTTAACAGTATATTATTCTATTACTTAAATAGTTTATATATTTAATATATAAAAATTCCCATGTCTAACAACTAACTCCATACTGTCTCCCAAATAATCCCAAATTATTCTAATCCTGTTGGCCGCCTTTAGTATTACGGATAGCCGAAACGATAGCGGGCAAGTGCAGACAGCACTGTACACCTGCGGAATATGTTATGAAGCAGCTGAAGGCTAACTCCTGCAGACAGATACAACTTTAGTCTGAGCACCACTAGGCGTTTGTACCTCGGCTCAGATCGACCTAATTTCAACGTTAATTTTCCCTGTTAGAATTAGATGGCGGATCGATTGGAGGGAGGGACTATAACCATTTACAATATAATAACCTTTACTCAATTAGTACCTACTTATATTTTGTATGACAATGTACAATTTATCACCTGAATGTCCATGCATTTTTCCTATACTTTTGTAGTTTCCCATTTCATTAATGTTGTACAAACTAATAGTGGTGTTCCAAGAACCTACAGCCAATAAATTGCTATTGGTAGCAAAGCATGATGCAGCACTAGCGATTTTATGTTCAGAGAAATCTCTGCCTGGCCTGAAATGTAATAAAAAACATGAATAATAATAATAACCCTGCACAATACATAGCACCATCTAGTCTCTAGCTAAGCAGAGCTTGTGTTATAAATATAACTTATACTTATAACACAAGCTCTGCACTTATAGATATTTGTTTTTTATAAACCCATACATAATATATTTATATATATAAAAACAACCAGACCAATACAAACAATCATACTCATGAATACAAATGATTGTGAGGAATATAACCTGATACCATAGGAAGTAAAGAGGTGTGCTAAACTGCTAGACCACCATAGCTAGCTATATTAATATTGTAATTATTTTCAACTAAATCTATAAAGAAATAATGATATTATAAATGTGAATGTGTGTTCGTTTGTTAATTTTTAGCAACTAAGCTCAAGGGACATAAATGAAAGACCCTCCTTATAATACTATTTTCCATATCCAATTTGATTAAGATTAATTCAGCAATTCAGTCATGAAAATGTAACAAAAGGCAGACACACTCAAATTTGTATGTAATACTAGTATAGAATTATAGATAATAATTGATATATTTACCTCTCCACATCAAATGTTCTAATAACTTTCTTATATCCAGCAATAATTCTGGCTCCCTCTACACTGAAAGTAACAGAGAGAGCAGGTTCCATCTCATCTACTGAATTGAATCCTCTATATGAACAACGCAAAGATCCATCAAAAGCATCCCACATCTGTATTGGAGCATTCTGCCTTGTTGTTATCCAACTGCAAATAAAGATTTACTCTTATTTTATAAGTTTGATGAAGAATTTCAGATTCTATAAGTCCTTTTCTTATAAAAAAAACCTCACATATAAAATAAATACATAAGATTCCACTTCACTGGATGTGCCCTATCTCCTAATGCCTATAACACCACACAAAACTGATTACACAAGCTAGGAGGACTGATTGCAGATGGAAAAAATAAATCATAATAAAAATTGGTATCATGTAAAAATAATATTCTTTTTATTGTTTACAATCATGATGGTTATATATATATATTTATATACATTATATATATATTATATATATTATATATTTATATACACTTGCACACTTAGTTGATCCAGCCACGATCCGTAGATATTGCTGATCCACTGTCTCTCTCTTTCTATCACTATCTTTGTATTCTAATATGCGATGTTGCCGTTCCGGCCGAGACCATGCGTTGTTGCCAAATGTATTCGTCGATAGTAGTAGATACTTATACTCGATATATATTTTTTCAACAATTTCCTGCAATAGTGAATCCGTATCGGCATTTTTTTTAAATGCACAAAGATTTTTTGGCTCTGAATATATTTAAAAATCATTTACTTGTGTGTTGATGAATTTATATACTAGTACATGAAGTACCTAATACTTGTTTTGATTTGAATAGGTAGCGATATTATGAATTTATTATACGTAATCTAAAGATTTTGACGAAATAAAAGTAATTAGTTATCTGTTAACCTTGACTTCATGCTGGCACCAGTATTATCAGATGATGAACATACTCTTCGAAAACTTACAGCAGAAATATCGTGTTTGGACTCATTAGATAGGTCTCGATGAATAGAGTTTAAAAAACTTAAAATAAATGGTACATTAGAAATAATGTATAAAAACCCCTTACGTAAAATTCAAGCACTTTAAACTTAATAATAATAATAATTAGGAAAAGAGAAAAGCTATACATGCACTGAAAGTAATTGATGCCTTCCACACAATATTTTCAGTATTAAACAACTCTGTTTGTTCAGTAAAAGTGTAAATACACTGGTAACCTTTAATCATATTTTATATGCAAACATTACATATACAAACACTAAAGTTTTATTTCAGAATAGCCAGTAGTTTTCAAGAAATAAGTCTTTGAAATTGTACGTGTAACTTATATATATACCTACTAGTTTTTTCACCATAACAAACAACACCAATATGGCCTAGTTAGTAGTTTACCTGTGTACCAATTAATAATAATAGTAATCTCAGGACAATTCATACAGCTTCATCTAGACCCAAGTTAAGCTAGCTGAAGATTATGTTATGGGTACTGATATAAATACAAAGATTTTTTCGTAAATACATATATATTATCTATACATAGAAAACACCCAGACCGTTACAAACAATTTAATAATAAGTTAATAGTTTAATAAGTACGTACGTAATATTATCACATGGTAACAGCACGTATTATGGCAAAAATAAACATCGGCTGATTTGAAAAGATTTATTATAGTAATAATAGTAATCTCAGGACAATTCACACAGCTTCATCTAGACCAAAGTTAAGCTGGCTGAAGATTATGTTATGGGTACTGATATAAATACAAAGATTTTTTTTCGTAAATACATATATATTATCTATACATAGAAAACACCCAGACCGTTACAAACAATCATACTCATGAATACAAATGTTTGCAGCGTGCGAGGAATCGAACCCTCGACCACCAAGCAGGAATCAAAGCAGTGTGCTAGCTAAATCGCTAGACTACCGACAACTAGCTGTACACCCGACTTCGTCCGCGTGGAATTTAACTTCTTATATTTTAGAAAAATAAAGTTAAATTCAACACGGACGAAATCCCGTGTACAGCTAGTCATCAATAAAAAAACACGTAGGTATCTCTAATATATTATACACTAGCTGTTCCCGCGACTTCGTCCACGTGGTTTTTAACTTTATTTTTCTAAAATAAAAGTAGCCTAAGTTACTCCTTATTACATCAGCTACCTGCCAAAAAAAGTCCCGTCAAAATCGGTCCAGCCATTTCAGAGATTAGCCGGAACAAACAGACAGACAGACAAAAATTGTAAAATATGTTATTTTGGTGTATGTACCGTATTTATATTCATATGCAAGTAGTAAAAAACGGTTATTTCAATATTACAAACAACAGGCTTCAACATTCTCAAGTACCACAAAAAAGATGTTTTTTTATCAAATAAACAGTTTTTATTAAAAACAAGCTGTCCCCGCGACTTCGACCGCGTGGAATTAACTTTATTTTTCTAAAATAAAAGTAGCCTAAGTTACTCCTTATAAATCAGCTACCTGCCAAAAAAAGTACCGTCAAAATCGGTCCAGCCATTTCAGAGATTAGCCGGAACAAACAGACCGACAGACAGACAGACAAAAATTATAAAAATTGTTATTTTGGTATATGTACCTTATATATATTCATATGCATGTAGTAAAAAACGGTTTTTTCTATATTACAAACAGACACTCTAATTTTTATTAAATGTATAGATGTATAGATTATTATTTATTTATTTATTTATTCATCCAAAATAATACAAATTGTGTAGGATAACGTAATAGTAACATTACAGTAAAATTTTGTCAACAACATAATAGCAACTTAAACATTAAATCTCGGTATATCTATAGACTAGCTGGCCCCAGCGACTTCGTCCGCGTGAAATTTTATTTTATTTTTCTAAAATAACAGTAGCGTAAGTTACTCCTTATTACATCATGTACTTGCCAAAAAAAGTCCCGTCAAAATCGGTCCAGCTATTTCAGAGATGAGCCGGAACAAACAGACAGACAGACAGACAAAACTTGTAAAATATGTTATTTTGGTGTATGTACCGTATTTATATTCATATGCAAGTAGTAAAAAACGGTTATTTCAATATTACAAACAGACACTCCAATTTTATTTACATGTATAGATGTATAGATTAAAAAAAAAGTAACAGTCATAAGGCTAGTCGTATGCCTAATATATATAATAATGTAATAAATTCATTTAAACAGAAATTGCGGGAACATTATTTAAATTTGTAACTTTTTTACTGTCCTTCTCCTTTTTTCACATCTTTCTGTTATATCCATATAGTTCTCTCTATATTTTCTGATTTTCTTACTTTCAATTTGAGACTGTACTTATAATTTGATTATCGGATCATTATGTATTTACTTATATATAATATTTATACATTTATGGGTTATACTTAGATATATATTTATGTATGTATATTGTTATTTTTTTATAGAAATGTATATTTTGCTTATCTTTATTATCTTTATAAATCTTTTTTTGACATTTCTTATTTATATTAGTGCACCGCCAATAATCTTTCGCTGCACCACTCATGGTTGCCTGGTAAATAACGCGGCAAAATATTAAGTCCGCCACATGTACAAATTTTTTTGTGCATTAAAGTTAAAGAAATAAAAAAATACAATACTGTTTAATGAAAATGCGTGTTGTCTAGTGCTTTGAGATGTATCAAAATAAGGTCAACAAAAAAGTCCGTGATGGTATATGTCTATCTCTTAAGGATAACCAACAATAACCATTTTTTATCTTTTACATTTTACGGGATTTTTTTTTATCGTATGTTTCCCTTAAAATCATGTAAACTATGTTATTATGTCATAATCTAAAGAAATAATAATATTTTATAGTGACATATCCACTATAAAATACCAAAAAGTAGCAATGTAATTCGTTACGCGCGAATCAGGTGTTATAAGGTCAAAGGTCGGTGCACCCCGCGTATTTGATAAATAGTGCTTCTCTGGATGTCTTTAAGAGAAACTGGCAGTATGTACGTGTATATGTACAAGTCCTTAAGTGTTAAGTTTTTCAAATGTACAATAAAGAATAAATATTTTTAAGTACAGTACTTACGTACATTAATATAATACCTACTTTTTACTTGTATCTATTGTTATCAAAATTAAATTATAAGTTCTTAACTTGACCACGACTATGTGACCCTCTCTTGGCGCCAAAACGAGTGAAAAAATGAACAGCATACGACGACGACGCAGTACCTATAGAGTGGAGCAACTGCTTATTCAGTTTTATTCAACTATTTAGTCCCTCCACCGTTACAATGAATGGAGGCGGATATTACAATGTACGTAGCATTGCGAATATAAAATATCTAGATTAGGTATAATAAATTCATAATTGATAGGCCGTTACGGTATCAGAGCCAAAAAGTCTTCTTTCTTTGTTTATGTACTGTTAGATGCGACAGCGACTTTGTTTTATACTGCACTATGTAATGAATGATATACCTAAATTAAATAAAATATCTGAGGTTTGGACAAAAATTCAAAAGGTACTTTATTTTGAAAAAGTATTTTGAAAATACCTATTTTGCATTTAGTATTTGAAATACAAAACACAAAACTATTTTTGTTTTTAGAGTGACATTTCTATGAATTCACTGTCGATAGCGAGCGGTGCGATGGAAAAAGATAACCGTTTATAAAAATATAATAAATAACCCTGGATAATTAACACAGACTGATACTGAACTGATATAAATAGATATTTTTATTTTGTAAATACATATATAATATACATATAAAACACCCAGACCGATGAAAACAATCGATGACCGATGAGTACAAATGTTTGCATCGTGCGAGAAATCGAACCCGCGACCATCGGATGTAAAGCGGTGTGACCACCGAGGCAGTCGAAATATATAAATAATAAATTCATAATTGATAGACCGTTACGGTATCTATATATATTCGGATTAAAATAAGTATCGCAGTAAGGACCAGTATATAAAGTGATCAACACAATTAACTGATTTTTGAAATATATATACAGAGCCAAAAAGTCTTTGTGTATTCAAAAAATATCTAATTTGTTTGTGTGCGCGGGGTGCGGTGTACGGTGCAGGGGGGACCCTGCCTCCACCGTTGCTGGAGCTTGCATGTATGGAGCATTGCGAATATAAAATATCTACATTAGTAAATTAATAAATTCATAATTGATAGACCGTTACGGTATCTATATATATTCGGATGAAAGTAAGTATCGCAGTAAGGACGAGTATATAAAGTGATCAACATAATTAATTGATTTTTGGAATATATTCAGAGCCAAAAAGTCTTTGTGTATACCAAAAATTTAGCCGTTCGGAGCCATTCAGTCACGAATTATTAGTAAAAAAAGTGTCGAGTATATCGTACTATCGACGAATATATATGGCCACATCGCAAAATAGAATGCGACGTTGCCATACCGCCTGAGATATACGCGATAGGAGTCAAGTTATTCAGTGCAAAAGGTGGAATCAGCAAGTGTGTAGGTTGTGGCGTGATCAACAAAGTGCCCAAAGAGGTGTTTATATATATATATATATATATATATATATATTATATATATTAACTAGAACTTTTATTTTATTAATATTATAAACGCGATAGTTTATGAGTATCGATGGAAGAATGTTTTACCCTTCCATGCAAAAACTACTGAACGAATTTTGACAGTAATAAATAAATAAATAATCCTGAACAATTAATACAGCGCCATGTAATTCCACGGTAAGTAGAGCTTGTGTTGTGGGTACTAGACAACTGATATAAATACTGAAATATATTTTTCTAAAACATTAATACCTAATATACATAGAAAGCACCCAGACTGATACAATCATACTGAATGAATACAAAGACGCGCGTCATCACAATACTTTTTATCTCCATTATTATTAGAACCATATCTATTACCAGAATACAGTACTCTTACTGAATAACCCGTTACAGACATTTATTACCTATTTTTACAATAAGTCACTTTCTTTGGCAGCTGTATTCCTATCGTAGAATACGAATATGGAATGAATATTTTGCTAAGAATTGCGAATCGGCGTAATCCAGTCATTAGAATCGGCATCGAATTTCATAGACAATTTCATAGACCAGCTGGACACGCCTGTTCAAAAATGATGACTGCCAATAACTTCATTCTGTCTCATTGAGATAGGGTTTTCAGTTACCTCGACCACTCGCATGGGATATTCTAGAGAGTCATATACTATACGGTACTGTTATTGTAGAGAACGTAAAATTAAATGACAATTTCCTTTGAATATCGGTTTTTATTTACATACATATAATACAAATGAATAATAGACTTGCATTATTACACCCATATCAACCACATATTTATTCTTGTAATTTGATTATCACCACAGCCAATCCACAGCATTTTATAAAACATCTCAGCACTTTTTTTTATTGGTTAGTTATAAACAAGATACACAATCAAATAATGTACGTATGACTCTTTACAAAATATGCAATTTAATGAAAAATTGAATGTTATTATCAACGTTTACATATGATGTTCTAATAATAATATTTATTTTAGGCATCTAGTATATCACATTCCTTATGCTAAATCAGTCATACTTCCAGTCCACCAAAACATCAAACTATTTTCAGCATTTTGTGAATAACGTAAATCAATCTCTCCTAAAATTTCTTTCTTGCACTCGCTATTAGCTAATTGCTCTGCTTCTCTTTGACTGTGTAATATATTGGGTTCATTTTCGTCCAGCAATTTTTCAGGATCAGAGAAATGATACTGCCCAGAACCTGTTGCCATTATGGGTCTATATGGATGTATTGAGACACTGTTGCAACAATCTTTATGTACAGGAAACTGAAAAAAAAGTTACCTTTTTTAATTTAATAGACCACTTTGGACCTACATGTGTACAGCCATATTTGTTGTCAGCTTGTTTGACATTCTAATTTCATAAGAAAATGTATATATATCTCGAAACCCTACCTTAAATGTAACTGTATCAGACTCAACATCAGTGGTGTCCAAACTTGATTTCCAATCCACTTGTTCGAGATCCCATACTTTAAGTATCCCATCTGTTCCACCAGACACCAGATATCTACCACACGGTGATATATCGAAATATACCCTTTGATTGGTGTTGACAACTCTACTTAAGATATTCAGTGGCCGCCTGTAGTATCTGATATCCCACACGAGAAGACGATGATCTTTACGTGCACCTGATACAAGTCTAAGGCCATCAGATGTGAACTTTGCATGTGTTACGCCACCTATAAAGATTAAGATGTAAGTAAGAGGAATCTAAAATTTATGTAAAAATAATAAATATACCATGGAAATAATAGTGAAAATATTTTATGTATTATTAATTCTCAAAGTCAAAATTATTTAATAAGATCAGATACTTATGCAGATGAATAACTTTTTAGGTCCTACTGTCTGGCAGGAAACTCAACTGGAACTTTTATGTTATTATTACTGCTTTTAACAGTATATTATTCTATTACTTAAATAGTTTATATATTTAATATATAAAAATTCCCATGTCTAACAACTAACTCCATACTGTCTCCCAAATAATCCCAAATTATTCTAATCCTGTTGGCCGCCTTTAGTATTACGGATAGCCGAAACGATAGCGGGCAAGTGCAGACAGCACTGTACACCTGCGGAATATGTTATGAAGCAGCTGAAGGCTAACTCCTGCAGACAGATACAACTTTAGTCTGAGCACCACTAGGCGTTTGTACCTCGGCTCAGATCGACCTAATTTCAACGTTAATTTTCCCTGTTAGAATTAGATGGCGGATCGATTGGAGGGAGGGACTATAACCATTTACAATATAATAACCTTTACTCAATTAGTACCTACTTATATTTTGTATGACAATGTACAATTTATCACCTGAATGTCCATGCATTTTTCCTATACTTTTGTAGTTTCCCATTTCATTAATGTTGTACAAACTAATAGTGGTGTTCCAAGAACCTACAGCCAATAAATTGCTATTGGTAGCAAAGCATGATGCAGCACTAGCGATTTTATGTTCAGAGAAATCTCTGCCTGGCCTGAAATGTAATAAAAAACATGAATAATAATAATAACCCTGCACAATACATAGCACCATCTAGTCTCTAGCTAAGCAGAGCTTGTGTTATAAATATAACTTATACTTATAACACAAGCTCTGCACTTATAGATATTTGTTTTTTATAAACCCATACATAATATATTTATATATATAAAAACAACCAGACCAATACAAACAATCATACTCATGAATACAAATGATTGTGAGGAATATAACCTGATACCATAGGAAGTAAAGAGGTGTGCTAAACTGCTAGACCACCATAGCTAGCTATATTAATATTGTAATTATTTTCAACTAAATCTATAAAGAAATAATGATATTATAAATGTGAATGTGTGTTCGTTTGTTAATTTTTAGCAACTAAGCTCAAGGGACATAAATGAAAGACCCTCCTTATAATACTATTTTCCATATCCAATTTGATTAAGATTAATTCAGCAATTCAGTCATGAAAATGTAACAAAAGGCAGACACACTCAAATTTGTATGTAATACTAGTATAGAATTATAGATAATAATTGATATATTTACCTCTCCACATCAAATGTTCTAATAACTTTCTTATATCCAGCAATAATTCTGGCTCCCTCTACACTGAAAGTAACAGAGAGAGCAGGTTCCATCTCATCTACTGAATTGAATCCTCTATATGAACAACGCAAAGATCCATCAAAAGCATCCCACATCTGTATTGGAGCATTCTGCCTTGTTGTTATCCAACTGCAAATAAAGATTTACTCTTATTTTATAAGTTTGATGAAGAATTTCAGATTCTATAAGTCCTTTTCTTATAAAAAAAACCTCACATATAAAATAAATACATAAGATTCCACTTCACTGGATGTGCCCTATCTCCTAATGCCTATAACACCACACAAAACTGATTACACAAGCTAGGAGGACTGATTGCAGATGGAAAAAATAAATCATAATAAAAATTGGTATCATGTAAAAATAATATTCTTTTTATTGTTTACAATCATGATGGTTATAACTTGTTTAAAACTACCATTATTGACTTCAGTCACTGCACAAATATTCATTCTGATATTTAAAAAATCCACAGTATCCATTTTGAGTTCATTAAAAATAGAGTAAACATTTACTGTGTATTTACAGAAAATGAAGGTGTTATATTTATGTGTGTATGTGTTATATTATACACAACTATACCTGCATTGCTAATACACCAACCAGAAGGTAATAATGAAGTGGGAAACAAGCTATGAAACATAGTTGCAAGACTACTGACTCATTATTGTTACAATTATAATTAGATTAACATTTATAATACAACAATATTTTATTCTTATCTCTGATCTATTTTAATTGCTCGTAAGTGATTCCATAGTGATTATAATCAATAAATAGTTTAACAACAGATCAACACTAACCAACAAGTCTCTGGATAACTACTGTTCATACCAGGATACCAGCAGAAATCATAAACCAACCCAGCTTCTTTTACATGTACAATTGAATCCAACACATCTATTGTTCGATTCTGTGTAATAGAACCTGAATAAAGGTCTCGTGGTAGCTCAGTAAGATGAACTCCATCATTATTTACTACAGATAAGCAACATGTGCCATCTGGAGACCATTTACAGCCTCGCAAATAAGGTTGCACTTCCTGTTTAGCCTTAGGAGAAGGCGACCATGAAGAGCTGCATAGTTCTACTAGAGTTTTATTTGCAAACAAAATTGGATATTCAAAGTCACTTTTATAATCAGACGCACTCGTGGTATTTGCAAGGTCACTAGAACACTGTATTTTATTTTGTTCATCGTATGAATAAGTGTTATCTCCATTAGTAGGAGTCATTTCTAGAATAGTTGTGGGCTCGGGTTCAAGCGAACTATCTTGGATGTCTGTTTCCATGAGAGATGTATCCATGGCTTGGTAACTTATTATCACTAATTAACATTGAGTATTGTCTTTATATAATATAGCTTTCAGGTGTATTTTAAAGTACCACTTTTTTTAAAGCACAAATCGAAAATTTTACCGGCACTTTAAGTATAAAATTGTTTTGGTAAGATTTGTTTATATCCGCATGAATTATGATGAATGAATGTCAGTCACATTATGTCATGCGCGATGTATGTCATTCAGTTGATATTGTCTATCACTGTCTGCCATGCCCTCAAGGCATAGTTGCGTAGCAGACAAAATATTATCAATTGATTGATAAACGGTAAACCTGGATCAGCTGTCGTGTACTCGAAATGTCAATTGTCTTTCTCTGTCATACTGAAAATTTCTCTTGACGTAACGTGAAACATACACAAAACGATTAATTTTAATTCTGTTGGTTTATATTGTTTTGTATTGTATAATTCACAGAACAAAATCTACCGTTGTTAAATTGTTAATAAGGAAAATGGTATAATGATAGCAAAATTTGCCCGCGAAGTATTTTGTAATTATGTTTTGTACTAATGAAGTTATTTTTAAAGCAAATGAGAATGGTAATTGTTTATATTGGAATTATTACAGATGAAACTTGAATTATTCGCTCGCCGGCTTTATTTCCATAAAAGAACTTTGTGCAAAATGGCATTCACTGAGTCCCCGGCAAAAGCGTCACTATGCTGCGAAGAAGGCACGGAAGGAGCTCCATCGACATATGCTATGTATGAAGCCTTAAAAGATTCCTGCCAGAACAATGCGACCTATTTTCAACCGAATGATACTGAAACTGCACAACGATTGTACCAGGGTTTCATGACTATGATGGATCATGTTGATACTGTGTGGCCTTTGGTAGATCATGTAAGAAAGGTAAGTCTTTATAATTATCTATTCACTACTGTCTTAAACTATATTGAGCATATGGTAACCCATTCACTGAAACCACAATCTCAGTTTTTTATTACAGTAAGTAAAGTAATATAGATAATTTAAAGTTGTCTATAAAAAGTTTGTGTCGTTTTAATTGATGCTTGCAAAAAACACGCCAAACTGACATCAGTTTGGTGTGTTTCTTTATTTAATTATTTATATTAAACTTAGTCAAGAAAATTGAATTTATTCAATTTTCTTAAGTTACCTCTTATACAAAATTGCATAAGGGCAAAACTGTCCTTGTACCAAAACATAAATATCCCAAAATAGAGGACACTGTTGGCATTGCTGCTCAAAAACGAATTAATTATTTCAAAAAATCTTTTATTCCTAGTTTTCTATATTTTCAGTATTTAAGATTTTGTTGGCAGTGCCATGAGATCTATGTAGGGACCATAGGTAGGGTAGGTCCTTTAGCTGTAGCATTCTGATCTGCCTGTCTGTCTCATAATGTACCTTATGAAATAGACAGGCAGATCAGATCAGGCTCTTTACTTCAATTAAACTAAATATATTAATTATGTTGCAAGTTAAGGGGCAGTTACCCACCATAATATGACATTGTATGACATGGGGTGAAAAATGTCTTTAATTTCATTATGTCACATTTCAAAATCTAATATATCAAAATAATTATGACAGGAAATATGATATATTAACAAAAATAAAAATGACAAAATATGACATGTCCCACTAGGTGTGAGTGTCTCACAAGCAGAACAGGGGTCAAAAAATCAAATTCATGTGAATGTTTAAGGATGGCCTGAAGAGAGATTTTATGTAGATTTATGATTCATTAATGAGTGCACACATGCCACAGCAATTATTAATTATTTATAAGTGATAGTGATATTAACTATGTATGTTGAACTTTGCCCATATTTTATGATAGACATAATAAAAGTAAAAGTCATGTAATAATATAGTATTGATAATTAATTTATCAAGTAACCACTACCACCAAACCTTAATTTATTTTATGACTTTCATAGTGGTTCTTGTTATTGTATGGTTTATCAAAACATTGTATAAATTAGTAACAATTCTATTTTTTACAATGCCATAAAAATAGTTAACTATTTATTTATTTTATACTTTTTTCAAATTGACTTACTTAACAAAGTTTATCTTGAATTTGTTAAAAGACATCTCAATAGGTACCTCTGTGCCACCTTTCATTCCCCGTGCCTGAGCCTAGTTTCATTAATAATTTCCTCAGTGCTGAAAAAATTTTAAATAGTTAATATAGCCACTCCAATGATGGGGTGAGTGCTCCTCACCCCGTCATAAGACTTGCATGCATTTATATATTATTTCAGCTCTTATTTAAGATATTTATTTTGGTTGTCTACTACTCACAGACAATGATTATCACTTACCGCCAGGTGGACTGTTAGCTTATTAATTATATAAATTACATAAAAACTATTCAATTTTTTAAGTGTCTTATTGTGTCTCCCTACAAGAAATTAATACAAAAAATGGAAATTAAAAAAAAAAAAGTTCATAAGGAATAATCATTACCATCTAATTTCCATTAGCAGATGTTGGTACAAACTGAAAAATTTGTTGTAGGTGGCGCCGCTATACGATTTTGATGCAGCTTCTCCTGGTAATGGATATCGCAGTTTTGTGTCAGTAGTAGATTCGTGTGTGCTGCATGGCCTGAAAATCAGTCGTCAGGTGTGCAGTGCCAGAGATTCTTTGCTTTTTCGTAAAGCTTATTTTGTCAGGTAAGCATAGTATTGTGTAAACAATACCTAAATTTAGCACTAAATGTATCTATTTTTTTTTGTAAACTATATAGGCATAGACAATTTAGTCTTTATAATACATATATATATACATAGTTTACTGATTTATAAAGAGACAAAATTTGTGAGTTTGGATGTCTAGCATGTATGAGACCACAAATACTTATTCAGTGCGGAAACTTAACTAGCGATACGACCTTCTATAAAATTTCGACTGTTATTGAATTTACACCCATATTGCGACACGTGTTTTTCCTATGAATCCTAAGCATCCTCAGCCATTGAATAAAGTTTGGCTGTAGCCTGGAGGTCTACGGTGAGGTTGACTGTGACTGGCGGTTTGGTCGCCGAATAGTCTACATTAGGCTTCCGTTGCTTTGTAGTCAAGATTCCGCTCTTAATACTTGTAAGAATAAAATAAAATATAAATCTATTAAGTAGTGAAATAGATTTCCGCTAAGTAACACCTAATTTGATCAAATATAAACCACAGATTACTGTTATAATGATAAATAATTAAACATATTATATCTATAGGGAAATAGAATCGTGCGGACAGCTGTTGGCTTCATTAGGTACCTGCCTACATCACCTACACACTTTACTGTCGTGGGCGCCCCCTGGAGATCTATTCCCGACAGAACAACACTCTCCTGAACAATTGTTCTCACAAGCAGATACAATAAACCAATATTGTTTTTATGGAAGATGTCTTGGGTTTCAGGTAACATGTAATTCATATCGGCTAATATCTGGCCGCGATTTTTAGATATTACCTTCAAATTATCCTATGTAAAATAATATTAGATTTGTAGCGTATGTTTACTACCCCTACCTAGACTGGAGGGTCATAAATTCAAATCTGCCTAAAACTTAAAAACTTTGCGTGTACATTTATATTTCTGAATAACGGTGGTAATGTCGCCCCTGCCTGTTTAAATTCAAATATAACGAAACCGAAATGCAGGCATTCAAGTGTTGCGTTCACAGCATTTCTGCTTGAATTGTATTTTCACAAAATTTTCATATACTTAATTTCAAATCTATATGTACAATTTTTTCAAGAAAATAAAAAAAAAATTAATCTTAAAACAGTAGTAATATTTGTAATATCAATTGACCATTAATATTTTACATACTAATATTATGTCTGTTTGTTACCTTTTCATGACTAAAGATCGTAATAGAATGTGCATGAAGATATATCAAAGACAGACTTCGGTACCTCTTGTCTCGAAAAAAAGCAGACGAAGTCTCGGGATATATATGTGTTATAAGAAAAATAATTATAGTCATGAATATATGAATGCTACAAAATTGTTTACAATTTGAGGTGGTCAGCGCATACAATTGCATAATAATACATAACATTGTTGTATATCACTGTTGCTGATATCAAATGCGTGACTTATGTTGACCTTTATGTAATTGTAGTATCTATTTTTATGTATGATTCATGAATATACGAGATAACATTTTTGTATTATAGGTAACGTGTAATTTCCCACGCGAAGACCAGTTACTTATTAAAAATTTTTGCCTCGTATTAACGAAGGAGATCGTCGCCTATGTACATGAAAAGCACTACGGACACGTCTTCTGCACCCACGATATTACTAATGTGTTGCCATTCCAGAAGACTAAGTTATAATGCCTCTTATCGTACACATTTTACAGTCTACTTATAGTAAAGTTTCGTAGGCCCTGAGTCTTAACACAATATTTTTATTATTTTTCTTCCGTCGTCTTATGGAGTTACAGTCTAATTGACTTTGTTTTCGGTGTTTTAATCACTGGACAAATTATCAGAAATATAAAGTCACACACACGTATTATTACTAAACTAGATTTTTTAATGAATATTTTATTTTGTAGTTTAACCCCTCAATGCGTGGTATACTGAAAGGTATATCAATTTGTATGGCTGGTTTTTCGGAAGCTTACTATAGCCACGGAAATCTGATCAGCTCTGTTTGGACCGGCGGACAGTACATCATTGATCCAGAGATGAGAGCGCGCAGGATTGTCAATATATCTCAATCGGCTAGCGTCGAATTCTGCAAGGCATTCTGGTTTTTAGCTGAAAGCGGTAAGTTTGAGATCCCTAGTTGGTTTGTTGTATAGACAAATGGCTATATTTATAAAATTGCACTCATAATACAATAAATGTATTAACTCTAAATATACATTTTTGTTTAATAAAACTTTAAAGTGAAATATTTAGTTGATTTTTTTAAATTTATAGTTTATATAATATTCTATATATTATAGGATGGGATATATATTAGGTTCATTAAAAATTCTTAATTTTTTTTATGACCTTAGTATGATATCAACATGAAAGTAAATTATGTGTGTTCTAAAAACAATAATTAGTCGGTTTAAAATAGGTAGCATAATAATAGCATAATTATTATGCAATTAGCATATAATATTGCATAATAATAGCATGATTATAATGCAATATGATTAATATTGCATAATAATCATCCAAATTTGAGTAAAGTCATTTTTAAGGTTTCAGTTTTATTCTTATCATTTTTATGCATTGTATTTAAAGTTTCTTAGAATAAGTATGTAAGTATACAAAATTATTCTAATTATTAATTCTCCTATCGGGGTTTATCTATATATATACCAATTTATTTGCCATAATGATAAAGGAAAACCGATTAGTAAGACTCAATGAATATTTCAGATAACATGGCAAGTAATTTTTTTGGATATATCATATCTCATCGATCTCTTTTTTTTTTTAAGACATCTTTATTAGATTAGAGTATTATAAGATTAATCATAAAACAATTAGTATATTGGTTGCCATCCCTGTCTTTAAAGCTTAGTATGTTTAAGTACTATTATGTTTATTTGTTAAACTTTATAGTATACAGAAACTCAATATAGTAGTATATTATTAATTCTATTGTTTATAATCTAAGTATCCATACAAAATCAGTTCAGTTCCTGACAACAGATAATGCCAGAACTAAATGATTCCTTACAGAAATAATGAAGCGCGTACCCAGCCTCATGTCGTCTACAGTTGCCGTCAACAAATTAATAACAATACCACCAGAGCCCATCACTGTGTATACCACTGATGGCAAGGAGACCACTGTCTTACCACCTACTGTCCACATAGGACTCCAAGGTCTCAACGTGAGGCTAATAAGCGTCAACAAACGCATGGGGATGGTTTGTTCCTTTTTTTGAAACTGCATTTGTCAATTCTAGTCATATACATATAAGTCGAGAGAATGAGTAAGCTAAATTGTATTTTATTGCATTCTCGTTTTGAATTTAGTAATATAATCTAAATTACAACAACAATTGTTCTGGCTCGAAGGACCAAATATGGGCGAAAAGTAAACCAGGGAATTGTTGTAAGATGTATATGGCAAATGCCCCTTTTACACTGTATATTATTTCAATGTTTTTATGAAGACAACAAATATATAATATTATTAACTACTTCTTATACAGGTTGATGAAGGTTCTTCAACTTTGCCGCCGGCCGACGGCATCATCTTCCACTGTCATGGCGGGGGCTTCGTGGCGCAAAGCTCTAAATCTCACGAGACGTACTTAAGAGATTGGGCGGCCAAGTTGAATGTACCAATACTGTCAGTGGACTACAGTCTCGCACCACAAGCACCGTTCCCGAGGGCCTTGGAGGAAGTCTATTATGCTTACTGCTGGATGATGAATAATTTCAAGGAGTTGGGCACAACAGGTAATCATTTTGTCTTTTTTTGACGGCCATGGAGGTTTAGCAGTTTTGCAGGCGGTGTGCTAAACTGCTACTTCTTCCGATGATCGTGGGTTCGATTTCTCGCACGGTATAAACATTTGTATTCATAAGTATGATTGTTTGTTTTGGTCTGGGTGTTTTATATGTATAATATCTATGAAAAAAGTATATGTATCAGTTCTGTAGTACCCAACTACAGACAACTACACTTAATAGCTATAGCACTTAATAACTTGGGTATAGATGGTGCTGTGTGGATTATCCTGAGATTATTATTGAAAGGTTTGAGTGCCGAGGAGTGTGATCGCGTTCCTGCGCCTGTGCGTCAAAATCTATTGCCGTCTAGCGCTCCGCATAAAGCCAAGAACTGGACAATTTTTGGAAGAGACACAGATTTATTTGTAGGAAAGGGTGACTGCTATATACTGCTGGCACCAAAGCGACGGATTTTCTTGGCATTTTTAGACATAAAGAAGAAAATCCTATGGCACTCAAACAGTTAAAGTAATAATATAGATTTCCCAATTATTCCACTTCTTTTTATTCAAATATTTTTCTGTCCAGCTGTTAAGTTTTATTCGGTGCGCTCAATCGCTGGCTAGTTGTAAAGGAATCGACCACGATGGTTTCCTGAGGGACAGTGTGACATAGTACATTGTTAGCATTGGAGCCAATACTAGTTCCCATTACTAATAATTCTATCACTCTCCACTCGAATCAGGAACCAACTGTTGATGTTGTGATGAATGTAGCATTGGCTAATTATATTCATATTTCGTGAATAAATTATCTACACAACGTGTCCAAGTGTGAACCTACCGCCGTTTCATGGATTGTTTAGTTAATTTGGAAGTTTCCATTACTGGAGTATTCCATTAAGGACTTTAAATTGATATAAAAGAGTTTTTTTTTGTAATATATTATACATATCATTATTACTACTAATATTAGAATATAGACAAATGAAATAAAATTAAAATCGAAAATTATATATGTTAAATATATATTTATATCTTTATAGGCAAAAGAATAGTGTTTGCCGGGGATTCGGCAGGAGCTAACCTCATAACTGGCTGTACACTAAAGATACTCTCTTCTGGACTCCGTAGACCTGAAGGTCTATTTATGGCATACGCACCGTTACTGGTCAGCTTCATACCCAGCCCGGCCCGGCTTCTATGTCTCATGGACCCATTGCTACCTTTTGGATTCATGATGAGATGTTTAAAAGGTGAGTGATTTCTATTTTTATAATAATAGATTTATTAAGCAACACACCGTTTAACCGAAGAAAACTGCTTGGCCACAAATAAAAATGAGGCTGACAAAGTGGTCAATTCATAATATTAAATACAATACTTAAAACATTATATACTGTTTATATATATTTATATTGTACGCACAATGACTAAATGCATAAAGTAGAGTATGTTAGACTCTATTGTACGCATTTAGTTTCTCATTATATTTTTTATACCAATCAAACATACGGCCATTCTGATGGTAGACGGATACCATAGGTTATGTATACTGCGTTATTATGGAGTCAGCTGTTTAATGGAAAATAATGCTGTGCTAAACTAATCTGTATTGGCTTTTAAGCAGATGAGATTAAAAAATATAACCCAAGTCATAATAATGTAATAAGTTAACATTTATTACATAACTAGCTAACTCGCGCTACTTCGTCTGCATCACACTTACAGGACATGACATTTATCATTATATTTCAACCAATTTACATAATATATTTTTAAATTATTGCCTTTGTGTTATTATTATATATAAGTTACGTTACTGTAAAGTTTCATCAAAATCCGTTCAGTATTTTTTGCGTGTACGAGTAACAAACATCCATCCATTCATTCATATGTATAACTTTTCACGTTTCTAATATATATTTTTTTTTCTTATAGCATACGCCAGTCCTAACACTAGTACGAAAGGCAAAGAGGACAAACATAAAGATCCAAACACAGTGTCCAACGCAACGACGCCCCTAGATAGTAATGGATTCCTTAAAGTTAGTCCATCACAAGGTAAAAACTCTTCATAATATGCATTCATATAATTTAATTTGGAAATAATTAAGTGAAAAATCTACCTTTAATAATATAATATAATAAAACACTCGTGTATTTTTTATGTATATATTTTTCTGTGCGCCTGAAAGGGTTACATTATTATTCTTTTAGTGATCACCCAGTCGAAATTAGTCCATAATGAATTAAAATTAGAAGTTTGCATATTAATAAATTTATATTGCCAAAGTTTATACTTGTGTGGGTCAAATACTATTATGTATAATAGTATTATATGTATGATTAAAAAAATATTAACGTTCTGCACTCTTCATCTATATAAAATAAAATAATTTCATACTCTACTGTATGCGAAATTTTCATAAAAAGTGATTCTAAGTTCTTGCTTCACGTATTAATATATTGATTATACAAACTGCTTATAAAGGTAATTAAGACTCATGTTTGATTTATTTTTTTATTAGAGGGTGTAAGTGAAGGTCCATCGTCATTCGAAGAAGTTTCACCATCGGATCTGGCCGAGTTGCAGGCACACAAGTCTGGCAGTGAACGCAGAAAGTCATCTGACACCACTATAAGTGCCGCGTCATTGCAGAGTGAACACACAGCCACCGGTAAGCATATTGCTAATTATCATCATCAGCCTTTACTTTCTCTATAACTTTTATGCATATTATCTTTCATACATCTATCTTTTCTTTGCTTGATCTTTATCTTTACGTCCATCTTTTTATATTAAGACATACAAATTATGGTCCTCACACCTCCGCATGACATGTCCATATCAAGAATTTTTACCAGTAGTATTAATCCAATTGGCTACACGAAAATAAATTGGATACAGGCAAACTGTATCCAATTTGAATACCTAATAAGCTGTCGGCCAACCTAACAGAAATGCGGTGCATATTTTACACCGCGTTACTATAGTCTATGACAAATAAATAAAATAGAAGTGTAAATTGAATTACAAACAAATGTTTGGAATTTCAAATGAACAGCTCTTAACTATATGCATATGAAAGTATATGTCTCTCTCTGTCTGTTTGCTTTTACTTACTTCTGAAGCCTCTTTACTTTACTTTTAGCACATTTGTTTATTTTAATAAAAAAAAGTATAGTACAGCATCTATAGCGAGACATCTTAGTCTAAAATCAGATAGGACTATGTGATTTGAACAGGATTTTATTCGTACAAAGCATAATACCAATGCTATAAAATATAATTTTGCTTTCACGTCACGCACGACGATTTGTCACAGGCATAACTCCGCCGGAGGACAGATCACAGCAATACGTATCAGATTTCTTGGAGAGATACGTATTGGATAGCGACACAGACAGTGAAGGACGCCGGATACCGATCATCAAGCCCAACAACAAAGCTCTTGATGACTCTCACAGGTAAGTGTGTTGAATTTATATAATCTCATATATAACTATGTTATGTGGAATTGGATAAGTTTATGCATCAAGTAGAACGTTGCGTGAATGAGAAACAGTGTGCGAGAAAAAGAGAAGATCAGCTGGAGAAACAAAAGTAAGAATTAGAACGAAAACAATAGAATAAAACGGAAGAATAAATGGAAGTTTGCATACGGAAATAAGTTTTGTTAAAATTAAAGCAAGTATATGATATGAGTAACTTATTTTATTATTTGATAAATCGATGTAAATTTCTAGAGAGGCAGAATCGGAAGCATCGAGTACATTAATAGGTGAACCGCCGTTAGTGGACGATCCAGATCACAAGGACAAAAGAAGGATAAAAACTCGGTAATACCATAATTTATACAATATATATTCTCTTCTCTTTATTATTTAATACAACCTGTCGACCCCATGAGTGCAATTCTTTATTTTACATTACAATTCTATCAATATTTTATTAATTCAAATGTTCATTTTGACTCTTTGTTTTGTTCCCTTAATCATCACTAATCGTCATCCTTGTCATGATAAACAATAAGGACACATTGTAGTATTACTCCTCAAAATATGCATGTGTCCACAATATAAAAAGTCAGATCTGATTTAGTGCTCATTACATACGTTGGCGCGGTACTAGTAAAAGTAAAGTAACTGTTAATAATATAATACTGTTAACACAGATATATGTACCATTCCCTTGTCATTTATTAAGAAATATTACATTTTAATACTGATATAAGTAATAATAGATAACGCTTAAACAATTAACACAGTGCTTTCTTGTCTCAGGGTAAACAAATGGGTATTAGACAACTGATAAAAATACTTAGTTTTTTTTGCAAATACATAACGTAAAAAAAAATACTCATGCCGATATAAACAATCATACACATGAATACAAATGTTGGCAACGTAAGAGATCCGCAACCATCGGAAATAAAGCACTGTGCTAAATAACTACACCACCGAGACAAAATATAACATTTTAACTGATAAATTGACTGACAGGGTGATATTTTGAATATAAAATTGAGTGACTACTACTATTACTAACGTATTCGCCCACTAATAAAAGATTTTGTAAAATTTTCAGAATAAGTGATGCAGCTAACAGCATGATGGGCGCCATGTCTTCGAAGCTAGCCTATATCACCGGCTCAAACACTATCACAAGGCCGATACAAGACGAGTAAGTTAAACGACTATTATTTACTCTTAAAATCTCCCTTTTTTGAGAGTCGGCTAAATGTGACCTTCCATAAATTTTGATTTAATAAAGTTCGATCCTACATTTGCCAGTTGTCACAAACATCACAAACTTTTTACCGTATATTTTGCACATTGAGTTTTTCGCTCGAAACCACTGCACTTATTTGAGAAAGTCTGCCCACATTTGAAAAATACATTTTTCCGTGTACGAACCTGAATTTCTTAGTGATACTGTTCACCTAAGAATATTTATTTTGTTACTCGAAATTACAGGATATATTTTAAAAAAATATTTCACTATTTGAATGAATGATTTAGGAAGGTTCATGGAAATAAACTAGTTGCTTTTAAATTGCGTTTAGTGTAATTTTTAATATAGTATGAAACATGATTACAGGTAGTGCAACCTAGTACAGACGCCTAGGCGTTTTTAAAATACTTTATTTCATTAAGTTATTCACGTTCCTACCAACAAACTACTGTGTGTAGAACATAGTATGGATATTGTGTAACCCGGATGAAATCGGAACAATACAAATTATAAATTAATGAATATTTGTGAATCTAAAAAGATATGTTTTCTATTTCAGTTTAGCCGTAAGATCGAATTTGGACGCGTTGATAGCACGCAGTCCATCGGACGAGTTCATATTCTCGGTGCCACGTGATCCACTACTGTCTCCGTATTGGGCTGATGAACAGTTGCTCACAAAATTTCCTCCAGTTAGGATACTGGTATGCCATAATAGCTATATACGTACACCTTAACATCACGTTTAAATTAGACAGAAATGGAGAAATGGAGATAGACTACGAAAGTATTAGGTACTTTGAATGATATAAAACCAGTAATAATAATGATATTAATATTATGTACACATTTTAAAAAGTAAATTATAGTAATATACCTAATATTGTAATGTCTAAGACATCCACCATACTCCCCGAACCTTGTTCTAACAGATTTCTATTTTTTGTTCGAAATTTGGATAACTTCCTGCAAGGGAAAAAAAACAACTCCTATGTGGCAGTCTGAAGCAAAGATTTTATTCGAATTAATTTATTTCGAATATTTCGTCCGAATGGTTTTTTTATTAAAGGGATTAATGAACTACCTATGAGATGGCAAAAGTGCATTAATAGCTTATTATGACTATATATAGATTTAATAAATATATTATTTACTTAAATTTTAACTAACTTGTATTATTACTTAATATAAAAAAAGTTAATTTTTTCATGATTAAAATCTCTGGCGTAGTAACAAACTCTTTTGAAAGTAAATTTTGTTATATTTACTTATTTTTAATAATATTATATAAATAAACTCAATGGAAGTTATTTAGAATAGTATAGAATAGTCTTATAAAGTGTAATATTTATTTAAAATAGTAATAGGCAAGTGTTTTTCTTATTCGTCTTGCTGGAATCTGCTTTCCGAATGTGTGGTAGTATAAAATAAACTATTAAGAACTGCTAATTTTAACCTTATTTGAATAAAGATGGTTTATTTTATATTGTACGGCTAGCTTTAGGAGAACTAGTTCCCATTGATAGTTTACCAACATCCTTGAATGTTAATGTGTTGTTTTTCTACAATTAGACGGTGCACCTCGATCCCTGCCTCGACGACTGTGTAATGTTTGCCAAGAAACTGAAGAGGCTCGGGAATATCGTCGGCATAGACGTGCTAGAAGGCCTGCCACACGGATTTCTTAATTTTTCACTAGTAAGTTATATGTTAGGTTTATCACTTAATGGCAAACTTACTGACAGCTCACCTGTGGATGGATGATGATTGATGGAAAGTGGCAATCATACATGACATACATGAATAGCACCCCTAACATCACATCGTCATATGAAACACAGGTCATATGAAAAACACACCTGACAAACAAACTATGGTGAACAGAAATAAGGTACAAGCACTTTGTGCTGTGTACCTCTGGTGGTGGAAATGACAATGACAATATTTCTTTTTTTTTCAGATGGCGAAGGAAGCTAACGAGGGGTCCAAGTTATGCATGGAACGCATCAAGCAGTTACTAGATCTGGAGAGCGCGCCCCCGTCGGAGAACGATCGGTTATGAATGTGCGGTCTGTGTTGCCACACATAGGTTAACGTTGTGCCTAGCCCGACAAACAATCATTGGTAGCGTCACCAGGTACACTTGCAAATTTTATTGACATTCAAAATTGAATTTATTCTCAACCGCATTAAGTTGAATTTCGTTATGTCACGTTTATATTTTCACATATATTTACCAAAATTTTGAGGACAATCAATTATTTACGCCAATGTTATTATGTTAAATTTTATTATATTTGTATTTATAAAATTTGCGAACAAAATTTTTACGCTACTAGAAAATATACTTTTATTGAATGTTATTAGGTTGAATTTCGTTGTGTCAAATAAGATTTTTGGAATAGTGTAGTAATAGTATAAATGAAATATATTAAGTATAGACCCAAAATTTTATAAATGGCGAATACGCTAACGACTCACTTCCAAGCACACGTTTCAATGTCTTCTCCCCATAATAAATTAGAGACAGAAAACTCATCACAGATTATCAAATTGTAGCCTGTATGTAAATAAATTCAAGTAACAATGATAATTAAATGCATAGCTTTAACTTGATAATCTATTTATGATAAAAAATTAAGCTATTTCAGAAATACCTGATTAGTACTAATCTAGTTGTAAACTATTTTCACCTCTATTACTCTATAAGTATATTTTACGTATTTCAATGAACAAGTAAGTTACATATTAAATTTTAAATATAAACCCCCTAACTTAATAAACATATTATCAACAAAAAATACTGAATCGTATACTCACATTCAAAGAAACTTTATAGTATTATACTTAAATAATGTGAAGTAATACATTTTCTACTACAGAGATTATGTATTGTCTTACTCTTTTATAATCACAATTCTATTATAATTTGTTTGGGCTATGGTTATATGTGACTAAATTGGATTGTTAATTTTTGATGCATTTTATTAATTTTCTTTTAACCTTCCATCACTCGCACGGGATTCTGTCAGCACCACAGAAATTATCGAACACAAAAATAGATATTAATTCCTTTATTACATTACATAAAACAAAAAATTTTTTCTTTATTAAACTTTCATTATTACGTCACTCATATCGAACATATTTTTAATATTGTCGTTTGAGTATGTGCGGTGACCACGGCACCCCTCGATTGTTCACGGAGTTAAACCGGCGCGAGTGATCGCGAGTTAATAGTAGTACTAGTAATAATTTTATTAATTTAGTTCTTAAATATCATGTGTACTATTTTATTCAAAGATTTTTTTTTAATAATTAATACAAACAATCAAATAAAACAATCATTGTAATCCAACGCGGCACATCGAGGCAGCGTACCCAAGATACTGGCAGCGTTGCCTCTTTGAATGGCCATACTTAGCCTTTGGGCAAAGTAGCTACCAGCTCTCGGGTCACAAGTAACCTTTTTATGTAACTGAAATGGCTAACAAGCCCATCTGATAATAAGTGGCATTCATGTATATATACATGAATAGCGTCAGGGACACGACTAAAATGTTATTCCTGTATGTTCCCTGTAATTTCAACTAGAACCAAAATCAAATCGGATAAGGTTTTCATGCGTATTTTATCATATTGCGAAATGTCTACGAATTATATATAACTTGAATGTGATTACTTGTCTACGAAGTAGAAGTTGATTCGTTCAGTCTTTGTCTTAAAAGCCTTACTTCCTCAATTATATTATATTCTCTTCATCAAATTTAAAGACTTGTTCAAAAAGATGTGTAATATATATAATTTAACCCATTGGATTTGATATAGTGAATACCTGATTCCATTATTAGTGTTTCTTATGAATTTTGCAGCTATTATTATATTTTGTACTAATAATTATCACAATTTTATTATTATTTTCTACTGAATGTGTTAGATTAATATTTCATTTCCATTATATTAATTATAATCATAGTATATTATATTATAATGGGTAGCTATCCTTATAGAGGACTGTTAAATTATTAAAAGGTATATAAATACTATTATGATATTAGAGTAAGCCTTATTTTAACCACTAAATTATTTTCGTTCATTGTCATAGTAAGCTAATAAAAAAATTGGTTCCTACAAGGGAACATAGGTAAATTATGATAATTTAATGTAATAACAATGTTTTTAGTGTGTTGTCCTAATATTTGGCGTAATACGGAGCCTGAGCAATATAATGTATTCCAATAAATAGTTACACTTGTTTTAATTCTAAAAGGATATTATAAATAAATTTATTACAAATTAAAACTGTGAACGTTATTTGTTTTTGATATTGTAATATAATTTTGTGATTGTTATGTGTACATGTAATACAATATATTTTAAAATGTTCCCTTGTTTAAATTCGCTACTCTATACGACAATTAATTAATAACTAACTTGTATTTATAAATGCATTTTGAGAATTAAGTTATGTTGTTTTAAAATAAAACTCAATGTAAACAATGTCTGTGATAGTGAATTGAAGCTTTGAAAGCATGACAGTATTCTAAAATGCACGTAAATAAATGTCTATATGTATAAATAATTATTGTTGTAACTTGTTATATTATATGAACTTCAGTTTGTGTAGTTTACGAATTTGTAAAGATGTATTTAACGATATTTTTATAGATTAAATGGAATCTCTATAAAAGATCTGAAATGATTCAGTGAATTATAAAGTTATTAGAAATGTACGTATATGCATTAATTATCGGGCCTTAATGTGGATTTGAATTTAAAACACTAAATGTTGTAAAATGAAAGGCCTGCGTAGACGAGGGCGTTTTGTAATAATACAAGAACTGATACAATACAAGAGTACATAAGCAGATAACCCTTAAGTTATGTACACAGTCAATAATATACACACTAGTGTACTTTGCCGCAGATATTATTGAAAACTACTTAATTTAATTACTTTAAATTAGTAAATTTCGATTAATAAATTTATATCGTGACAAAGTACAAAAGTGTTTGTTGTACAGTTTATTTATTAATCGTGACGTCATAATCATACGAAATTGTTGGATAAGCAATAGGTACATAGTATTGTAATGAAGACGAACCTGAGTGTACTCAAAGCATTTTCTAAAGTTATTATATAATTTTTACTATATCTACAATAACTAAATTGTGCACTTAATAATCACGTCTTATTCAGTCTTATAGGGAGGCCCATAACGACAATGGTATCTTACATATTATACTTTAATCCCTATATGTCACCAATTTTATATACTACTACTTTTACTACAATTTTGGTCCTTCAAAGTCGATTTCAACTAGAACCCTTTTGTTACCATCGGAAAGAATGACGTATTCATTCATTAATAATTTAAGAGTAACGCTCTTGTCAGCGAAGCTCTTACCACTTTCCAGGATCTTCCATCGTGCTCTTAAAATGTTGATACCACATAACTCCAATTTTGTATTTATAGATACATACAAAATTGGAGTTATGTGGTATCAATTATTATGGTTGATGTAGCTGTGCCTTGGTATTCTTTAATTTAATTTTTCCCTCAATAATAATTTTCATAAATTCATCGTGCTGTATCAAGTGTCCTCACATTTTCCCTCGTTTATTTATAGTATTAAATATTTGCCTTTCTTTCTTTTACATGTAGTATTGGATTATCATGGTAGAGCGAACACCCTCGGTTTATCTTCCTGTACCTTTATGCAAATTCCATTTAGTTGATCGAAATAATTACATACGTCCACAACCGCCCCTCGTCTGCGCAACCGGCAAAAGAATATAATTATTGCTAAATAATGATACATCACGATCGATATCACCTATATTACGACCAAAGATGTCCGTAGTGAAAATAGCTAATGTGACAATATTGTACATTGTTTTATGCTGTAATAAAGTAATGCCAAAATTATTTGCTTTATTATTTTCTCTATTAAATAATAATATAATTATGTAGTGTGTAGGTCAATGAAGTTTGTAATAGGTCTATATTTCAATAAGAAGTCGATGAATTTATGTACTAGCATTTTCTATATATTTAACCTTCTATATTATAAACCTTTCAACTGTTAACTGTCAAAATGATATTAACACCCTATCTGTGAGACGAATTACAGAACTTCTCAAAATGGGGCTTTAGTCTCCGAGTCCAATAATTGGCAGATGAGAGGTTAAGAAAACTATAGCTGTGATTTAAAAATAATAGGAAGCAAGTTTATAAACAAAAAGTAGAAGAGTTTGGCGCACCCTATTCATAACGCTGTTTCTAACAAATAGTAATTACTGGAGGGCCTTGACTTGTTAATTTTCAAAAATAAACTATTGTTAGTTTTTTTCAAAGATCGCTTAGACAGAGCTCAAGCAGCAATCTCAAATTTTAATATAAAAAAAATCTAATTAGATAGATAGATTTTCTTTATTTACATCTACAAATACATATATACCTAATATACAATTAGTCTCAAACAAGATAAGCAGGCAATAATTATGATGACATGGACTAGTGCCCCAATTGCTTGCCAAGTACAATGTCAGGTAATGTCTACACATCATATACCAATAGCGCAGGCGGAAGTTTATCCCATTAAAACTCATTGAAATCCTTAAGAAAATATTTTCACGCAAGGTATTTATACGTAATGAAAATGTACAATTTGTTTCCTCATTACGTTTGCAAACTATCGGACCCTTTCATAGCATTTTCGTATCTTTCGTTATTATTTCTTTGTCGTTATCTATGAAGGTTAAGAAGGTACAAGGTTTTTGACGATAGCGCAACGCCGGTGCGATGCTGCAGCTATCGACGGCTAGGGCTGTTTTATCAATACCCACCTACTTACCTCCTACGTACCTACAGGAAATAGCAGACCTGCTGATAACATTAAACTGTATAAATTATAATAATTAAATATTTGTATTGCGTTCCACAAAATAAGTAAGATGAAGTTAATTACGAATCTCAATTATAAAGAACAAAATCGACGAAGTTATTTCACAACACAAAAAATATATTCCATTGGAGAACTTTTTTAGGAAATAATTACTAATTATTTTTAGAACATCTTCATAACTTGTTAGCCTGTTATATTTAATTATTTTGGTGCCTTTCTAAAGGTGAGAATAGTTATTTGAATGTATTCTTCTGAAAAAAAAAAGTAGTAGTAAGGGATTCCTAGTCACATCATTTAATAATTGGTAAATTGAGGTTATACCTATATAAATATGTATTGTGCACGATGCACCTTTTTGTATATTATTCATGTATTTTGTCTATTATTTTATATAGAAAAATACATATGACATTGTCAATTCTTGTTCTGCTAATTATTATACTTTTGTACATAATATTATATTATTGCATCCTAAAACCCGTGTTTGCGTAATTATATCTACCAGCCCCATATATGTATATACAGTCCTTCGTTCACATTTATATAGAAAAATATATAAATAATATACAAAAAGGTGCATCGTGCACATGTATATTAATACTTTTTTTTATAGATTGGTGCACCCGTTTGAGCTAACGGTTTCGCTGGCTGGGGCACCAGACAGATAAAGCCAAGTCAATTAACCCATTATGACAAATTCACCAGCAATTTATTTTTCTAGGTGGAACCACGTGGATGTCTACCTAACATGGTACATTGTTAGCAATGGGGTCATCAGTCCACATTATTAACAATCCCTTGCTCTTCTTCCCTTCCTATGATATAATACTAGATTCAATTTGATCTTTCGTTATAATAATAGATATTATATTAATAATATATTGTTTGCGTCTTTCACAGTACGGGATCCACATACTGGTGTCAATGTTACATATTCGAATGTATGTGTGTATCATGCACTATGCAGGCTTGAAAAATAAAACATCTTAAAATGTTAATGATGTTTATTTAATCTAATGCTAAAATTGCAATGAACATGATGTATAACAAAATATGGATTCAGAAAAAAAATACTGAGTGCCAAAAAACTTTGGTAGCAGATGCTTGAAACCTGTGGTGACTTACGACTTCCATATTGCTACAAATCAATTTACAATTTTAATAAAACAAATTTTAATATAAATCAACAAAATTATAAAATTATTGAACACCAATATACTGACGCAGTGCAAAAAAATATATAAAATTAACATAGTTTGAAACATTAAGCCTATTTGAGTAGGTAATTGGAAAATAGAAACTCCTTCCTCATACACACATTACAAATACAAAGATATATTGCGAGGTGACTACTGCGCGACATGTTTTGAGTCCAAGTTCATTAAATTAGTGAAATCGAAAACTTTACACCTACTTGATTACTTAGTTATAGTAAAAAACAATGACACGAAAATTTCATATGCCATCCATTATAGTTAAAAGAATGCCTAGAGCTAACCACTGTTTCTCGTTTTTGTACAAGACATACTCAAATGATCGAGAATTTACAATTTCACCTCCATTTAATAGTAATCCTAATGTCACACCTGTACAATCAGTATTAGAATATTAAAACACTAGAATTGTGTACACAATGTCTCCATCAACAACATGCCATCATACCTATGGAAGTACTGTACAACATGAGTTAGTATCCAGAACAATCAGTCATATTCAGTTTAGCATTATGGCTTCAAACTTCCACAACTTACTAACTAACCCATTACAAATGGCTTGTTCCCTATTGAGACATGTTTGAAACCATTTACATTGGAAATTTCAGTATAAGATAGTAAAATATTTATCCCGAAAGTGGAACAAACATTTAAAGTATCCTAATTAAATTCTGTTTATAGATACCGAGTTCCTAAAGTCTTAAATTATGTGATATCACTTTGTTAGTTGCACTATTACAACCAAGTCGAGGATTTGTTGAATACAATGGAGTTTATTGGTTTATTCAATCGTGTCCATTCGTTTTTGCATGTGGCACTAATCCATTAACTAAAGGTGTTGCATCTGACTGTCTGATTGTCTTCTGTAGCACATGTGCATCAGCTGGCTCTATCCTCTTGTAGTAGTGTTCTTTTGTTTCAACAATCTCGAAACCAAATTTCTTATAAAAATCTATTGCACCTTCATTATTCACTTGCACATGTCTGAAACAAATTAATGAAATTGTTAATCAAACAATTCCCAGAAAGAATTCACATAATTCTGTGTTATAAAAATTATAACATAGCATTTGGACTATTATGTAGCACATTATGTGCATATACACATACTAAGATGTAAGTGCTTATTTCTTTATTTTGTATCCACACCTAGATGACTGAACCAATGTTGATAAGTATTTACTATGAAAGTTTATTTCGAAACCAAAACTTGAAATCCATAGCATTGACAATATTATCTGATTACACTAATAATGAGTGCGTAGCAATTTCTATGTTGATTATTGCATGCCTTTTACTTGTTATACTGTAATTATTTATATAAAAAAAACACCTATTAAAAAGATCAAGACACAAGTTTCCTGCTCATTCTTCCTGTGATCAATCTGCATTCCGAATGAGTGGTAAAATCAAAATATGACTATTCAAAAGTGCTTGTAATGAGTTTATTTGAATAAAGATTATTTCTATTTCTATTTCAAAATAATTTTCAAGTTACATTACAGTACAATTTGAAGATATTATTTTTATTGGAATAAAATTTCAGGGTCAGTGAAATCATAATGATATTATGATGATTATTGATGTTAGTACATTTACAGAATTGAGTAGTAAAACTGACAATAAACAATGGAGTACATTTTATAAATACACATAAAATAAATTTTTAAAAAGTAATGGGACTCTGTTTATAGCTGTACAGATTTCAAGGTATTTTTAATAATTGTACATAATAGTAGTATACATATTACTGTTTTTAAAAACTAGATAATATTTTATAAAAATTTAATGATTCTTATGAGAATTCTCACTCAATCATGAATAGCAGTTTAATATAAAACATATATGGTTTATATTTTATTTATTAATCCTTATTGAACTAATACAACTGTTTTTTCACAGAATAACTTGAAAGAAAGTGAAGATATGAAAAATTTTGCATTTCAATTTCAATTTAAATCTTGTATAATATAAACACTGATAAGAGATTTTCCCCATATATCAATAGTAAATTAAGTTATCCAAGTTAAAACAAGCTTGATCATAGACAAGTATGACTAAGGATTTATATTTCTTGAATATATATATGTATTGTGATAAAAACAGAAGCTTCATTATTTTTACTAAATTAGTGTATTTTTTTATTATTTATTAATTATTGTATGATACTGTATACACAGAACAAATCAGTATATAAAGAATGTTAGATACTATCAGCAGTGATAAACAAGGAGTGATGCATATTCTATCAATATGATGTATTAGATTAAATCTAAATCACTGTCCATTTCTATAGCTTATGTTATGATACATATTGTAAATTAATATACATTTTTTGTATAGGTATAATGTAGTGAGATCAATTTAGCTTTTCATATTGTATTTATTGCTCCAAATGTAAATATGTTTAAATTCCTAATGTAATATACCCCTATAAAATAGAAATGTTGCCACAATGTTGTCACAATTTTAATTATGCTTGGTTCTGACTGTACTATTAAAATTGTGAAGGAAGTTACCTCCGAACTTCTCACCTTAATTAGTGGTATAGAAGTAAATAATGTAGAATAACATATAAATGGAAATATATTTCTGAACAAAATAAAATTTGAAATTATATAAAAATACATTTATTGCTATGATATAGAAAATACTGATATTTTACATGAAAGCAGTCAAGACAACAATACACTCTCTTTTCAAATATACTTCATCTGCCATACCAGCCAGTACAATCATTGATTGCAAACCTACTTGTAACAAAAATGTGTGCCCATTAAAAGCTTTTTCACAACTATTACCATGTACTTGATAATCAATCATTTGTGACATTATAAAATTACCATTACATACACAATTTCTGTAACAATCAACAATATATTTTAACCTTGAAGTAATGACCAATCACTATATTATTATAGTGCAAAGGCATATCTAGTAATGAAAGTGCTAACACAAATAAATGAGTAAGTAAATATTATTAATGATGTTTAGATAGATATAAATAAGTTAATATTTTATAGAAGAATGTGTACTCACAAGAAAATGCTGTCGAAATTCCCATCATGTTCAACATACTTGAGCACATGTTCAACCATCAAAGTACCTATTCCCAGTCTTCTGTAGGGGTAAAGACACCCTAGTGTCATTATGTACAGTCTCCGTGAGTTCTCCGACGTGTCTATTCTACAGCATACAGCTCCCACCACGATATCATTGTAATACGCTAACTTGGCCAGTTCGCCCGCTTCCAGTACATCTTTGTAGAATTTGTCATTATATGACACAGGAAATACAACTGTGTTTAATTTCTTTAATTGTTTTATATTATGCGGTGTCACGTCTCCGAGTTCTATTTTAGCTCTGAAATAATAAGATGAGTATGTATTTCAATAATAATGAAATGCATGGTTTTCGACAGTCATAATTGCTTGCCATTCTGTGCAGTACGGATATAGATACCAAGATAAATTAAACAAAGATTATAAAAGAAATGTGGCTTACCTAGTCATTTTAATAACTATTCTATAATAAACACTACAATTTAAAAACTAATCTAACCATCTAACACAGTTATATCACACGAGATCACTCCCGCCATCTGCCACTAGTGGTCGCTCGTCTCGCCACGGCCATATTGACGTTTGACATTTTGCTTGACATTTCGACGGACAATCAATGATACCATAATTTCAGGACATGTTGTATGTATTAATATACAACATGCCAATAAATAAATACACTTCTGCTTCATTTCCAGTTTATTTTAATAATAAATATATATTTATTAAATACAAAAGCAAGTAATTTTGGTTTCTGAAATCATTTCCCTATATAGACTACTAAAGAAATGAGGTCTCAGAATGGTCTTTCCGGAAAGTTTTGATTAGTATATACCTTATATTAAGCCAAACTTTATTTAAATTGTATATTAAATGCACCTTCCAGTTACATAATTATTTACTTGCCCTAGACGAAAATTCTTAACCACAGACAAAAACACAAACTCCAAATACGGAAATAAATGGTAGATTCTAGATAGAATTACTTGGCGCGGAAATTTAAAATGTTGTTGTATTTCGATTTTCGATTGTTTTCTTGTAAAATCATTGTCATTGAAAGACATTATAAGCCTAATAATTAACAGTAAAAAATAGATACTGAATTCATTTTCGACAATGTTACCAAATCAGTTGCGATTTATTAAATTTCATGTCAATTACAGTGTTACACTAAAACAACAACGGTATTATAGCATAGAGAGAGCGCGGTTACAAAACACTAAATCTCAAGATGTTATGCAGAAAGAACCAAGCTCTATTGGTGTGTCTGCATCAAATGAGCGTTTACTTGGTGAAATTTATCCTGCTGCGAAAGTAGTTCCGATGGTATTAACAAATAAAGAACCCGTGGTTCTATCATTTGATGAAGTGCCTGGACCAAAGTCTCTAAAGTATATTTCAAGCATACGCGCCTATTTATCCGAAATCGGCACACAGCTTACAGCTAGCGTTCTTACCATGGGACTGAATATTGGTACGTATCATAAATATTCGTGTATACTATATATTACGTAGGTAACTACATAGAATGGGAAAGAAGGTGATTACTTGGTTGTAACTCTAAACATAATCTATAGGTATGGGCGTGCCTACGCCATTTACTGTATGCCTACACATGAATAGCGAACCACGAAACACAAACAGAGCCCCATGTAGGCCCAAGCTATATAGAGCTTGTGTTATGTGTACTAAAGAACTTATAGAAATGCTTAAGACAACCAGATCAATATAACGAATTATACAGGATTACACCTATATTAAAAAAGTATTAGGACACCGCGACCATCAAATCACTGTGCTCAATCGCTAGAAGCCCACGGCCGTTAAAATTTTTAATAACTTTTTAAATTGAATTTTAGGAGCATACGTAAATAATAGGAAGCCACTCAAGAATCTTTCAACACTGTTCGACGAATACGGGCCGGTGGTTCGGTTCGTGAGTCCAGTTGGAGCCGACATAGTTCTGATCAACCACCCCGATCATATCCAGAAGGTGTATACGGTCGAAGGCGACTGCCCTGTACGATCTACACTCGACTCGTTGGAGAAATACAGAATAGATCATAGAAATCATATTTATGGTGGATTGTACACTATGTGAGTAACATTATTTAAATGACACCTTCGGTGGTACAGCGGTTTAGCACACAGCCTTACTTCCGATGATCGCGGGTTCGATTCCTCGCACGGCACAAACATATGTATTCATGTGTATGATTGTTTCTGTTAGTCTGGGTGTTTTCTATGTATGTAGTTACAAAAAAATCTATCAGTAGTATAGTTATCTAGTACCCATAACACAAGCTTTAGCTAGCTTAACTCTGGTCTAGACGGCACTGTGTGAATAGTTCTGATATTATTTATTATTATTTAAGTGAAGTTTTTACAGGTACATTACAGGCTCACTTATACTATAACGACTGTTATTCTAGTCGGGGTAGGCAGATGTATTGTCAACTGTCGATGTTATAGTGAACGCAACACTTAACATGCATTAGTATATTTTGAATCCTCCAAGTCGGATACATATTAGTTTTTTTTAACGATATTTCATTCATCGTAAAATCAGTCGAAATTATAAATTAACACAGGTAGATTTTTTGCATCGGCCGGATTTGAACTTACATTTTGGTTAGTAAACCATTCTGGTATGACGCACTCATATTTATTTGGTTTATTACGATTGACTATTAAATTAAAATAAGATTTGGCTTATACTAGTTTACATAGATAATCATATGGCGACCTAGGTGTTCTAGCGGTTTGGCACAGCACCATTTGTTTTCCTAAGTATGATTGTTTCTATTAGACTGGGTATTTTCTATGTGCTTTACGTAAATACAAAAAAATAGGTATCTGAGAATTTATATCACTTGTCTATTATATATTAAGCCCATAACATAAGCTTTGCTAGATGCGCTAGATGGCGCTGTCTGAAATATCCAGGGTTATTATTGTTTATGTTGTATTATTGTTTTTCTCATATCTTCCAATATATAGTATTTAGGTATGTAGGTTTATATATTTATACTTAATTCATGTATGTATATTTATTAGTATAATAAATAATGTCTTATATGTGCCACCTACCTATTGTATGTACAAAAGTCCTCTTTTCTAGGTTGTCTGTTTATAGCGACCGCCTTTTGTAATTACTATTTACTGTATTTTCTTATTGTATCTTCTGTGAACACATTAAAGAGTTCATTATTATTATGTCTTTACGAAGGTCTTTTTTGGACTCTATAGTTTGTGTATCTTTGACTCACCTAGTCTCCTCCCTCCTAGCAGCTTGGCTTATAAGCTGAAGCAGCAGGTATTTTTATTAAGGTTTTGTTATTAATTGACAGTTATAGTAATGACGTTAATTGTAGTCACGGTCAAGAATGGATGCGCCAGAGATCGGTTGTGTACAATCCACTACACAGCTCCGTGTCACAGCACATCCAAGGCATCGACGACGTTTGTGAAAACTTTGCCAACAAGATATACAACATAAGGAACAACCAAGATGAAATCCCGAAAGACTTGTACAGAGAGCTTCATAAATGGTCTTTTGATTGTATGGGTAAGTGGAGTTAACTATGTGCTGTGCCAGCGTTTTCCTTTCGAACTATTCTAATCGTATATTGGCCTTTACAGCTTCACCTATATCATGTGCGCTGTAGCATGGTGCGGTTGACAGTTCCGTTTCACTCTTGAAAGTTGCCGCGATTAAGAAATTATGACTATTTATGACGATAGTATTTCAACTATACCACATTCATAATATATTTAATTATATTAATAATTGTAGTAGCTTAAATTTAGCAACTGTCACCCGCACAATGATATAGCACACATAGTATATTATAGTATAATAATAGGTGTCGAGTGCAGATGGCACTCGAAACCCGCGGAATGTGTTATGGAGAGTGGCTGAAGGCCCTGTAGTTTTGGTCTGAAAGAGTAACAAATTAGTAAAATTGCACCTTGAAATACAGTAACAATCTTAATTATAAACAATTTGAGCAAAGGTAGGCTTAAGAGACCTACTATTCAACCCAACACAGCGTGGCATAGCTAGCAATGAGTAGTACTATTATTATACGTAGAAAAGAAACGTTTTCAGGATTGATATTATTCTCCAAAAAGTTCACAATGCTGGACACTGAATTAGTGTACAGTCAGTGCGACATGTCGTGGCTGTACCACAGTTTGGAGAAGGCCACTCAAGCCATAATCAAGTGTGAAACTGGCTTGCACTTCTGGAAATTGTTTACCACTCCCGCCTGGCTGTCTTTGGTGAAATATTGTGATAGTTTAGATAAGTATGTTATTATTATTTCTTACATGAATTTTAATATAATGTCACAAAATCTAAGACTCTTATTAGGATGTTACTTTTCGACTCCTTCAACCTCTTCCTTGCTGATTTTATTTTGTTTATAAAATTACAGATAAGAGAAGTAACAGGATATAGCCAAGCAAAATGAACATTGCATCCTGAGAAAACTTGTTTAATTTCATTATTTCATGAGTTTTACATAAGTTTGGCTTTAGTTTGTCTTTTTTTTTCAGTTTAATCGGAAAACATGTAATGGAAGCAGAACAAGCAATTTCGTTCCGAACTCAAGATGAAATAGGTTAATATTTAAGAATTTGTCGTTGAATTAAATCACAATATTGGATACCTATATTAAGTATACTTTTAAATATTTTAATGCAACGTGGGAAAATATTAAAATGAAATCTACCATCGTCTCTCGGATTAATTTATTTTGGGTGTTTCCAGTAATGGGTTCAAATCGGTGTCTCAATTTTAATCCGTACAGGTCTGTAACTAGAATAGTGAAGCATTAGGCCTTATATTACATATGTATATGTATTTATGTATATTTGTAGAAATATGTATGTATATACATGTGTATTCTGTGAACAACTCATGGTTGACTGGTAGAAAATGCCATTAGGTGTTAGTCCGCCATACTACGTATGTACTCTTTACTTATGTATGACGTGCATTAGTTATTTAAATAAATAGATTTCTTTTAAATAGATATATGTATATATATATTTGACGGCCTCGGTGGCCTAGTGATTTAGCACGATGCTTTACAATGGCCGCGGGTTCGATTCCTCGCACGGTACAAACATTTGTATTCATGAGTATTTGTATTGGTATGGGTGTTTTCTATGTGTATTATGTATGTATTTACAAAAAAATGTATATGTGTATTTATATTAGTATTTATGTTGTGTTATGGATATTAGACCCATAAAACAAGCTCAGCTTAACTTACAACTTGATGGCGCTGTGTGAATTGTCCAAGGATATTATTATGTTATATTTATTGCAAGTATGTTATTTTATATCAGGTAAAAATTCATTGATCAACGCTATGCTTATGAGTGATGAGAAAATGAACGCTGAGGACATTGCTACTATAATTATGGACATGCTTCTTATTGGAGTCAATACGGTATGATGGTACTAGATCTAGTCAAATAATAAAAGATGCATCATTATCTATTACTAACACAAATGTACCTATATTGTCCGACTAAATAAATAGTTATTATTGTAAATTTTGTAATCTCCAGTGAAGTAATAATGATGGATTTTTTTTGGTGTGCACCGGCAAAACTAGGGCGGTTATTAAGCGAACTAAGGATCCTATATAAAAGAATCCACCTACATATGCTACCAAAATAAAATAAAAAATATATACCAGTTTGGTTACTTACAAGTTCTCAACTGGAGGTTAGGAATAGTGATGAATAAATATGACTATCTGAATAAATAATTTTGAATCACTAGTTACGATTCTTTTTTATTTGGTCCTTTTCATAGTATTGTAATAAAAAAAATATTACAGGTCACTTCATCGATGTCCTTTTTGTTATACAACTTGGCGAAATATCAAAGATCACAGAGGATGCTATATGAAGAAATATCTAAAGCATATAATACTGATAACATAGATATTGACAAGATCAAAGAGGAAACTCCATACCTGCAAGCTTGTATAAAGGAAACTTTACGGTGAGCAATGTATTTAATAAACTACTGTCCGTTACCAGATTTCGTCTGTTTTGTAGAAAAAAAAACAGCTTAAATCCATTCTCGTTATATCATCTATTTTCACATAAACTTTCATCAGGATTTGTTTAGTCATAAAAAGATAATAAACAGACAAACACCTTTTCGAATATATAAATTATTAATATAGACAGCATATTCGACAACCTGTGTTCTAAAGGTTTAGCATACTGACTCAATTGCATTAGTCATGGGTTTGATATCCACCAAATGCACTTTTTACATCAAATTACCTGTACATATAGTTCTGGATGTTTTCAATATACACATTTTAAAAATGTATGTATATTTAGAAATTGTCTAGTACCCATAGCAAAGGCTTTGCCGAGTTTGGGGATACATCTTCATATATAGCTGTATGTTTTATATATATTAGAGTAATTTGAATATGAAATCAAATATGAATAGTATTTGCCAGTTTTTCTTACAGATTAGTGCCACCGATTCCAGTGCTAACACGGATTTTATCAAGAAACATTACATTGGATAAATACAAGTAAGTTTAGAAAATGAATATTGTGTCAAGTATGTTAGTTACTACATAGATTAAAACGATGACCTGTGTTAAATTATGAGATACTTTGTATAAAAAAATCAAGTGAAATGTCTTGGCTTTAGAATCTTAAAAAGCAAACCATTTTACGTTTAATTTTAGCCGTTTATTCGGCAAAAGGTAACAGACAGAGAACACGCATTTATAATATTACTATAATAGTATTTAAGTATAATTATAAATTGTTTAATACCTATAGGTAAATTATATTTCGTTAAAACTAGATCATGTTGTGCGAGTTGTCTATGGTTACAATTTATTCTAGCATTCCCCGAGGCACTCTTATTATAATGTCGACTCAAGACGCATCTCTAAAAGAGAACAATTACGATGACGCTATTAGATTCTGCCCTGAGAGGTGGTTAAAGCCGGATGCCAAAGATTATCACGCATTTGCATCAATACCCTTCGGTTTCGGTGCCAGGAAGTGTATTGGGCAGAATATTGCAGAGACTATGCTGTCAATGTTGACTATTCGTGTAAGTAGACTAATCATAGATACTATAACATTAGGGGCTTTGCATAATTTTACATGTCGAGGTTTAAAATAAATATTCTAGTGAGGTAGTCAGGGATCGTTTTCTATTAGTATAGCTATAATTTAGAATTTTTAAAAAAATTAAAAAAAATTAAAAGTAATTTTTTTTCAGCATCAAAGCTTTTTATGAAATAACATGTTAGAACTATTTATGAAAGGTTGATTTAGTACAAATAAACATATTTAAATATTGACAATATAGGAGAATGATGAGAAATAACTGTCACCGTAAAGGAACCCCTTTATGGCATTTGTTACCACACACATTACTCTAAACTTGCGAGTAAAACGATGCTAAAAAGCTTCCTAAAACATTTTTAATTAGACTATATTTTTGAGGCAATATGTTCGCCAATAATTGTGAACTCAAAACTTTTCTTTATGGAAAATAATAATTATTAAAGATTTTATTGAGAACCTTTTGAACGAAAATGACACTAACCCTTTTAATCCCAGGAATAATAAACAAATATAATTTCAGCTTATACAAAAATATAAACTAGAATATCATTACGGTGATATTAAGCCTACAAGATGTTTCATTGCAAGACCAAATAAGCCTTTGAAAATAAGATTTGTCGATAGAAATTAATAATCTGTGTAAGTAAATAATAGGTTGTTAAAGGTGAAGTACATAAAACCATATTACAACTGTATAAATTATATTTAAAGTATTGAATTTATTTCTTACATAATATGTAAAGCTATAATAAAATAAAATTATAAATTCTTTAAGCATTTTTTATTCCAATACTTCTTAATTCTCCTATTAGATCTTACATATATTTTGAAGTGTCAGTCACTTACATTCCTGAATTAATGGAAATAGTATATACTAAATACAGTTTTTACAAATAAACTATATATAGTTATTTCACAACACTTATTGCAAAAGTCAAATGCATAGAATATAGATCATAATAGATAATTATCTTCATATTTAAAAATTAATAAAGTTACTACAATACTTTCCCTCTGGTAAATGAATATGGTAAATAATGATGTCAGTTTTTTAAAAAATGTTACATTGTCAATATATTCCTCTGATAAACAACAATCTGATAAATTATTGCGTAAAATGGAGATTAACATAATTTCAATTATAAACATGTTAAGGGTACCATAAAACTATGAAATGAAATTCTATAAGAACTTGATAAAAACTAACCCGAGAGCAAATCTTAAGTCTTGCAAGTTAGCAAGTATTCATTAATATACTTAAATTGTTGTCTAAGAAAATGTAAGATAACAATGTAAATATAAAAGACAACAATGCATCAATATTGCAGTATAAAACTATTATTTTATAGAAAAATTTCAAATATTTTCACTCAATATCAACACTGAGTTATGAATATAACAATTAATTACAATTAAGGTTATGACTAAGTAGAAAAATAACAAACATACTATTGCTTCTGTCTTCTAGAAGTAAAAATATTAAGGTATTTCCCCCGAGTCATTTCTTTAGCTTCTTCAAGACCTAATTGATAGGCAAGATCATGGAGTTTCTTGACTTCCATTATGAGCCCACTTGTGGATAGAGAGCTTAACTCTGTAAAAGATATAGCAGCCTAAATTAAGGCAACAGTGGCATTGTGTGTTGTGTACAGCAATGGATACCATTTTTTTAAGAAGTTGAGCTGTAACATCTATTATTAGAATAACAAATATTGATTCCAGTCATGAATTCCACCTTGCATCACTTTAATAAATTAAAACTTTAGACACAGATTTTAAATTTGTTATAATTTACTTGATACTGTAAATTTCAATTATTTAGAAGAAAATAATGATGATGATCTATTTATACTACACAGGTAGGTGGCTGAACGAAAATTAAAATGAGTATCAAATAAGAAATTAATATTGTTGTTCCAGTAGATCAAAAATCGTTTATTTCAAAATCACTCACGTTGCATGTAATTTATGTCCTCTTTGGTGAATCCTCGATTCCATGAAGGAGGCGATTGGTTAGCATTGTGCATCGCCGCAAATTCTGACACCCCAGGAACTGCAAACGAGTCATTGGAACAACGTGATCCTTCATCCGAATTCACAAAATTATCATTACCGTCACCCATAACAAGTTAAAGATTTAAAATAAGAACGGTTATTAACCGAAAAGCCAAATCACAATGGTTAGATACAGTAAGTACATGGCGCAATAATATGACAACATTCGAAAGTGACCAAATAGCGCCATTTTTGAAAATCATTATACGGCAGTCATTTGTGATAAAATACATTAGGACATTTCAACTCACTTTGCTCTGGCCATAGTTCAGGTGACGCACGATCAAGCTTTTCTAAACTGAGGAGGCTTTCGTCTAAGGATGTCAGAGGAATATTATCAGAAGCCTGTGCTGAAACGTAAACAAAATTATACACTAAAAGAAAGTAATGATAGTGAAATAGTAACGAAGTAAGTCAAGAAATAAAAATAAACAAGGTATAATACTTGATATAAAACAATTTTAACGCATACAATTACTTTAATAAATAATTTACCATCTTCTAATGTTGAAGTCTGTTTCGCGGCCATTTTCCAATTTTTGACAAATAATACCATAAGCTAAATAAATAGATACCATAGCTAGAGTCATCTTGAAATAGACCTTACAGTGATTTATGGAACTGTCTGATCGTGTAATTCTGTCTTAATAGACTATGAAGTTTAAGCATTGAAATAGTGGCAACATTGATGTTAACATAGACGGACAGTTTTGTTTTTTAATTTCTATTTCTTTCTTCCGGTTACCAAGCCGACATAAGTCAAGGTGTGTATTTGTCCACATGGTTTTCATGTATAATAAATAGTAAAATTCTGGTTTTTCTTACAATATCAGTATTTTATTAACAGAAGGTACGATTTTAATGTGTTATAGTGAACCTGATTTGAGCTTGGATGTTGCAATAAAAATGTTCATGATGTGGAATGGTGATGTGATTGAATTCAATGAATGTCCAATGTATTTATTCATATATTGCACTGAATTAAAGGATTTATTATCTTTTATACTTAATATATATATTTAATTCGTCCAATACAGGTTTAAATATAATTTTATAGTTGTTGCCATTTTATAACCTATAATATTCTAATTGACAGTGCTCGTATCCACTGTTCTTTTCTCTACAATGGATTGGTGTGCAATAGTAATACAAATAAAACTTGATACGAAAGGCATATTTATGTCATATTAACAACTTTGTGTGTAAGCGGTATTTGGCAGACACTATCAAAACCAAATAAATATATTGGTTAAGTTCCTGATGTCAAATATTTATTTTATGCTTTGATAACAACTAATATGCAATAATATTAAAATATACAATAATTCAAACACAGTTTAGTGTATACATACTAATCTTACAACCTAATTTGCTAACAATACCTGCCATAATGTACATCTTGTGTAAATCTATATTTTGATTAAATTGTATATTTACACCATTGACACAGCGAGAATCAAGTAACATTAGATATTACTCTTAAATGTAATATTTATTTGGACATTGCCTGTAAAATTGTAAAATAATAATGATCCTGTAAGTCAATGTAGGTATCCCCAAAAAAAGCTTGCGTACATAATTACTGCCATTTCATCATCACTCATTCTGCAATTTGCAGCATTTGCATTATACTTTGTTAAGTAACATTAAATTGTTAATAAATTGTATTTATAATCCTTACTAATATTATAAATGCGAAAGTAACCGACTGTCTAGCTTTCTCACCCAAAACTACTCAACAGATTTAAATTAAATTTGGTACAGAGATAGTCTACACATCGAGGGAGTCATAGGTTACTTATTAATGCAAAAAAATGGTTGTATGGTATCAAAAGAGGAGATGAAAGTATCTATGGAAGTAGTGTCATTTTTAAAACTACAAGTTTGGAACTTACTTATTAAGCAATTGATCGATTATAAATAAATAAAAAGGGTTGAAAGGGAAGTGGAATGTCCGAAACAAAAACAATGAAAACTTTTCTTTAGTTTTTTTGGGTTAGATTATTGAATATTTTATCTATATTTACTATATTATCTGCTGACCGGTCAGTAGTCGGCTTGTTATAATATATTTTACTATGTTGTTACAGATGCGTTCCGTTACGCTCCTGGATGTCGAACAAGACAAGGTCGTGAAGACCGTTGCTGCCCATTTGAAGAAGTATGTCTATCCTACATTATTATTTTGGTCAAGAGAAAATATACTATTGCATTATTTGGTGATCTAAAATTATTTTAGACTATTTATTTAAAATTTGAACTTATTGAAACTAAGATTTTTTACACATTTTCTATTCATGATCCAAGATGGATACATGTGTTTCAGTTGAAATAACAGTACTGAATTAATAACAATACAAAAAATGGATTAGTAACACAAACACTCAAAATTATTATAAGAACTATTGCAAAAACTAGCTCTTCTTCCTAAGTCTTTAATAATGTTCAATAAAAAAATTACTTTTTCTACAATTTCAATAATGAAGAACAAAGATGTAAATATTTCCTGATGTCAAAGGAAATAATAAATTATTCAACTTTATTTTGCAGGACTGGTAAAGTCAAGGTACCAGAGCATATGGACCTTGTGAAGACTGCTCGATTCAAAGAGCTGGCTCCATATGATCCTGACTGGTTTTATGTGCGTTGCGCAGCCGTTCTTCGTCACATCTACATCCGTTCTCCAGTAGGAGTCAAGACTGTGACTAAGATTTTTGGTGGTCGTAAACGTAATGGCGTAACCCCCTCACATTTTTGCAGGTAAATATGTTTTTTATTCCTTGGTATCCTTTAGTTGAATGTAAGCTGTTGGACTTAAATCCTTTGTGTATGTCATATTTCTTGTTCTTTTTTCCATATTATTAACTTATATTTCTTTCCCAATTATAAGTACATATTGTTAACAAAATTAAAATTTGAAATAAACTTTATAGAAATTTATTCTGTATGCCACTGCTATAAAAATGAATGTGTATAAGGGCATATGAAGAGAAAAGAAAATGAACTGTGTGAAAGTTGATATAGCAAGAAAGCTATGACTGCATCCAAACATGACTGAAAGAAAAAACATTTTTAGCTAATGTATATAATGTGTCATTACTTTTTAATTTTGTAACTCTATATATTTATACAGATATTTTAATTACGATAAATACCTAACTTTGCACCTATATCCTATATGTATATCTATATTGATAACATTGTTAATATTTTACAGATCATCTGGAAGCATCGCCCGTAAAGCTTTGCAAGCATTGGAATCATTGAAGCTGGTTGAGAAAGTTCCAGATGGTGGCCGCATTCTCACTGTACAAGGCAGACGTGATCTGGACAGAATCGCCGCTCAAGTCCGTCTAAAGGCTAAACAGCAGGCAAAACAAGCAGTTATTGCTCTGTAATTAACAAATATAAATAAGTTATAAATTTCATGTGTTTTATTGTTTAATTAAATTGAGTCTAAAATAAACTGGCCTTTGTACCAGATGTTTAACGTTTCTTCAAATCTTACTTTAATGATAAAACATATACAACCTATTTAGGCACATGGGTTTATTCTTTAGTACATTACTACAGCCGATTACATGTGCAGCATTGGTATTCTGTACGCATTTTATTAACTCATTTCACTCGAGGCACTCTTATACATTTGCAAATAAAATGTTCCTACTGAGCTATCGAGTATTTCTAAAAATCACTGGTGCATGTTTTACCTTCATACCGCTCTCTAGTGTGTGGCATTGCAGTCGCTATCGAGGAATACCAATGTACAATCTCACAGCAATTCAAATTCGTAATTGATGCTTACAGAATATCTAATTAGTAAACAAAGGGAGCAAATGATTATCTATTAATGCTCTAACATAGTTTTTTACGAACTCGATCATAACGTCTTACAACGACTGATATGCTCTATCGACGACTTCATGACATGCAAGTTTTGTCGAATACTTCGTAGGTTCGTATATTTCCTCATTTTTTAAATTGTAGCGATCACAATAATGGAGTGGATTTCTTATACATTATTTTAGTAAGTTTCTGTTTCTACAGGAAAAACAATTTGACTTTGGCTATTACTAGTTTCAAAATGATGACGACCCGGGCGGTAGTGATATTTTTTTAGTTACAACAATTACTTTACTGTTCGGTCAGAACTTTTCAAAATGAATGAATTAATCTTATCATTCACCACTGGTACCTCGCCGGTGAATACCATTAGCGCAGACGGTTGCACCAATCAATAATCAACTATTAAGAGGGTGAAGGGATTATTAATAATGTGGACCGATTGCTAGCAATGTTCCAACTCAGATTGACTTCCACGTGGTTCACTCTGGAAACCATCGTGATAAGGTCCTGGTGACTTTGTCACGATGAGCTAATTGATCGAACCTCACGTTCATGCTCTCATAATCCACTAGTGCACCGCCAGTGTAAACCATAAATCCAGACAAGGGCAACATTCTAATGTAATCAATTAAAAATCATCTTTTTAAAAAGTATGTAACATAATTTTATGTTGTTGTTTTATACTTTTTATTTATTTCATTTATTGTATTTAATATTGTTTTTTTTTATATATATATATATTCCTATAGTTTTTATGATCTTGTATTACTCTATGAAATGACAGACGAATGACAATTAAGTGTCACTAATACGTGTGACAGCTTATCATGTCAACCAATTGACAAATGTTGTCACTTGCTGGTGAGTCTTTGTGCGAATTGTTGCTCACTTCGTTTCAATTTGATGCAGTTTTGTAATTTGTATTCGTCCTCTCATTAGATTGTGTGTATGTGTATGGACATGCAGTGATCGCAAAATGTTCCTGGCATTTGGACGTAGTGCGGTGTTTGTCGGATTGTTGTTTATAATATCGAGTGCGCTTGGTTTACGGCAATATGGAACGCCGAGTGGGACTTTGTACGTGGCTCAGGATAGTGTAGACAAGAGTCAAAAATATACTATAATCGATCAGTATTCTGCCGCGGAATCGACTAATTTGGAAAGAAGAAAACGAGATGTTACTCCGCCACCTACTCCCGGTGCACAGAAAAATATAAGTACATGGGTAACGATCCATTTCCTTATTATGTTCAATCGGTCCCCTTTGTTATTTAATTTTGTATAGTGTGTCCAGCCGTATTACAACAGTTACATGTTGAATGTCATCACCTTTTATTGTTTGTATTCTAAAATGTACTTTCTATATTAAGTAGATCGTTTACCTAGAATGACGTCGCATGTTTTGCGCATGTTATGCCACTATCTATCTTTCTCTAAAAATCTGATACACATTTAGGCGCTGAATATAAATAGGTGCCAAAAGTAAATAACTATAAATATTTACACTTTAAAATGACTTAGCATATTAAGGTGATTTTAAAATGCTTCAAGTTTATTTCATAATGACAAAAAAAGGAAGATGTGTCTAAGGATGAGGAAATCTTTTAGCATGTGTGGCTTTCTATCTTATTTACATATCTGTGTTGGGGATAATAGACACAAAATGAACTCTATTACCTGTCCTCTTAATGATAATATTGATTAGAATGAATGTTTTTCTGATAACACCATCTGGACCTAGAGTATAAAAAATACCTTTTTAATAGAACAATGTATCAAGACAGAAAGGTATTATGTACCATATTATAAATTTATATTTGAATGATACATATATTGATATGATGATACATGGATAATGATATTTTTTTTGTATGCTTTTTTTTTATTAATGAAAATAAATATGAAAGTTTGTAAATGATTGTTATACACATATATGTATGTTATGATTAAATTTAAATAGCTGTGTGGATGTGACTAAAATTTGTTACATAGAGAGACCATTTCAGACTAAACTAAGTTTTCAATAGGCAAAATTGTTTTTTCTTTCATTTAAAGCAAGGATAATGTAAGTTGATTTTTTTAAAATTTAATATGGTTAAAAAATTAATGGCACCTGTTATAACCATAATTTATTGCTAACAATTTATACAAAACAATTTTCAGTAACAGTATAGTATTAGAAATAATAGACCACTATTCACAATAATGAAATACTGTCATACTGATACTGATTCTAATTCCTATGACTTTAAGCCCCAGAATAAGCCAATACTCCCCAACATTTGGCATTCTCCGGAGATGATAATAATTGTACCTATAGATCTATAAGTGTTCAAATCAACTTTGGTACCAGTATAGACCAGAGATAGAGCTAATTATGTTAAATTTAGCTGTATTTAGTTAATTAAGTTTATTATAAGCATTATTCAGTATTGTTATACACTTTTATTTTTCAACCTACTTACATAAAGAGGTATTTCTGTCTATCCCTTTTACTGTTCTGATTATTCTAGTATAGGTTACATGGTAATGTCATGGTAAAAGTTTTTTTTAAATATAATTGTATATTAATTTCTCTTATGTGGAGTATCACATAAGAGAGCATTTTTTTATTATATTTCTTGTTTCCAGACAACTCATCTAAATGACAGTCATCAGCAGCTCATGGTACACTGGGTTGGTGAAGGATCCAATGTAATTATTTGCCTGGCCCGAGATGCAGTGCCAAGGGCCAAAGGAGGAATATCACCATCAGCCCTCTACATATCCTACAACTATGGCATGAATTTCACCAACAAGACTGAGAGTTTCCGCTTAGGTGACACACCTGACAGTGGTTATGCCCAGTTGGATAAGTTTTTCAATCATCCCAAATATCCACAATTTGTAAGTATATTTTGTTTTAATTATTTTATTATTAAAATTTTATGTTATTATTAATATTATAAATGTGAAAGTTTGTGAGTATGGATGGATGTTTATTACTCTTTAACATAGAAAGTACAGAATGGATTTTGTTGAAACTTTATGGTGATATAGCTTATACATCAGAATAACACATAGGCTATAAATTCTACATGGGTGGAAACACGGGCACAACTAGTTAGATATATACTGAAGTGTCTGGTATATGGGAAGGGTGTTGTAGAATAGTAGGAGTAATTTACTATCTCCACTTATAGGTCTCAATGGCTGTGTGACCTAATCTGACAACATCATAAATTATGTGTTGTCCAAATTATATGAGTCTTCCAGTGTGAATGTCATTTTTATTTATGTTCAAGTCTATGAAGTTGTAAATCTCACTATAATATATTTGTAATATAAATATGTAGGAAGCTGGAAAAATGATATATCTATAAGAAAAAAAGTACATTTCTTTGTTTAAGCAAACAATTGTGTATGTAAAAGTGAACAACTATATGGGTTCAACAGGTTATTTATATTGTAAAGTTGAACATTTCTATATATTATAGTATAGTAAAATTAAATGAAATTTTTTTTATTTATTCAAAAGTGCTATTTTATTTGAATAAAGCATTTTCTACTGTAATTTATAATTTTCCTTGTAGTGTGTCTTTGTGGATTCAACCAATAAGAAGATATTTTATACCAGCGACAATGGTGTTACCATTCATAGGTCGGACCTGACTTTCCATCCCAATGAGCTGGCTTACGATGAGGAGTTCCCAAGCAAATATGTTGTTTTGGATAAAGTTGGATCAAATCGAATGGTAAGTATGTAGATTACTATGCTAGATTCCATGTGGTGACAGAGTTAAAATACCGTTATGTTACCACTCCATTTAAACTGCAGGTAGAATGATTAGGGCAGAAAACATAACCGAAAACCGGAAAAATAGAAGTAAAACTGTGCCAGCTGTTTTTTTTTATTAGATAATAATGAATGTTAAATCTAACGGTAAATCTAACGGTTTACGTTGACGGTGCACCAGTGGAGGGTGATAACATGAGAATGAAGTCTGGTTAGTTAGACCACCGTGACAAATTCTCCAGGAATTTATCATGATGATTTCTATGGGGAACCGTGTGGAGGTCGACGTGACATGGTATATTATTAGCAAGGGGGTGATCAGTTCACATTATTAACAATCCTCTTCCAAGCCAAGCTGATTGGCTACAGCCGTAATAGGAGCCTCAGTCTTCTTGTGAGGATATTGATTTGGAAACACTAAGTTACATTCTGGCTATTTTAGGATAATATCTATTCATATATTAAGTATAGTAAGTTAAAAAAGCAAGTTCACACTACAAAACGAACTGTCTTTCAGAGTTGAATTTTAGATATAGAACCTATACAGTGGACCCGCCTTAAATCGGCCCCTGTCTAATCCGGCCCCCCTTGTAATCCGACATTGTCTATTATTTGTTATTGAATATTACTTTGACAATATACTTCAGAGTGCATATATATACATACATATATAACATAGAATCTTATCACTGGATCTGTAATTTGTCGGATTACAAGATACTCTTTTGTAAAAAATTCCGGACTATAAGCAGAGGACCCTTAAGCAGCACTCTATAATCCGACAAATACGATGGTCCGACACTGCCCTGCAAAACGTTTGTCGGATAACCGGGGGTCCACTGTATATGTATATAATATAAAGAATCATCATTGAATCTATAATTTGTCGGATTACAAGGTACTCTTTTGTAAAAAAAATCGGACTATAAGGGGTCTTAGGCAGTACTCTATAATCCGACAAATTCGATAGTCCGACACTGCCCTGCAAAATGATTGTCGGACTACCGAGGGTCCACTGTATTTTCATTACTTGACACAGGTATAAGAAACGAGTTATAGAAGGGGATTAACTAAGTGTGTATTTAAGATTTGCTTGCCTCTATTTACCTCGTAAACGACCGGTAAAGAATTGTTGCATTCTCAGAGATGATGGTAAAACTTGTCTAAAACTTCTAGGAACTTGAAACAGACATTAATTTTACATAACTTGTTCTAGCTGTACCTCACATTGGATGGTGGAAAATCCTTTAAACTCATTCAGAACTACGTAAAGACTTTCTACTGGTCATCCGGACCTGATTTCTCGAAGGTATTCTATGTGGAACGATGGAAGCCAGACAGGAGCAGCACAGTCATAAGCGCGAGGGATCCAACCGAACTCAATGATGAAAACAATGTTGTGTTTGTAGAAGCTAGGGACTTCCAAATTAAAGGAGACTACATGTTTGCAACGAGACAGTCAAAGGAGGTGAGTTTTTACTGGTTATTTTTTTATGTAAGTGAAATAGCAAATAAACTTTTTTCTTGGTTTATTTGCTGTTAAAAGTCTGGAATATATGTTGAAGATTTCATGGAACAATCTTATATCTCACATAGGGACCGACATTTTTTTTATTGTTAATTACGTATATTATTTTTTAAATATCTTTTTAGTGTACAATAATTTGAGGTAGACATTATATAAACCCTAGATTTATTTCAATTAAGGCTGATCATCCGGTCCCAACTTGTAAATTTACTTTCGTTGCTGAGTGACCCACCGTTGCTGAGGGGCATGCGGTTAGATTAGGTATATATATATAAAAAATATATATTTCTAATTATGATACACTCGCCCGTGCTAACGGTATGCGGTGGCGTGACACCAGTGCAGGTTGATATGTGATAAAATCAAGTGCCAGCCTGTCATGGCAAATTCAGCAGGCATTAACTGTGATGATTTCTAGGGGGTCGCTGGATGTAAATTATTAGTAATAGGGTCGCTATTCTCTATTTCTAATAAACCCCTTACCAATGAATTTTGAATGATTAAAGTGTCTATATCTATATACTCTGTAATCATACTGCCATATTGTACCCCGAAATACAGCTTACAAAACTACTTGGCGGTAGTAAATAAGTGAGACAGAAGTAGCCACTCAGATGACTTTGTACAAAGTCAACCTAGGTAACATTAGCCGTTTACTTATAGCCGACAAGGATATCTATGATGTGAGATCACGTCACGTTTCGTATTGATTATTATATTATCAAAGCCAATAATAAGTACACAAACATCATTTCGATAAATTGATGGCGGCGGATTAATGTACAACGTATACAATTTCGTTGGTAAATACAATGAACTTACGTTGGGCGTAAGTTAGTCGGGGAAATCTAGTTTCTAATATTTTTTCACTTTTGTATTTAGCTGGTTAACAGAACAGAACAGAACAGAACAGAAAATCATTTATTCAAATAAACTTAATTTAAGCACTTTTGAATAGTCATAACAATTTGTTTTTTATCTACCACTCGTTCGGAAAGCTGTCTCATCACAAGAAGAACGAGCAAGAAACTTGTGTGTTGCTCTTTTAAATAATCCTTGTAAGTTTACATTTACAAGTCGAAACGTGTGAATACAAACTACCAACAAGCACTAATTTTTGGGTCAAATATAAATATGCAATAAGATTAAATCAGTCGTAGTGATAAGAGCAGACTAGTTCCTACAAGCAGCACTCGTTTCACGAGTATGACGGATGAGCCAGCCATCACTGCGCTCGACCATATTTTAGGGAGCCCAATGACCCGGCCCACCACGCCGCCACATGTCTGGACATTTTAGTGAGCATGACTACTCATTCCACACGACCACGTCACAGCTACAAAAATTACTATATGGTAGTTACAGTATTCGCACTTTACATAAGGATGCATGCGGCAATCAATACAAAAGCCGCTACGCTATCATATATCAAGAAAGCAGTATGAAAATTAAAATTATAACGTTGTCCGCAAATAAACTTATTCTTGCTATATATTGCTATCATCTATAAATTCATCTATTTTATAATAGGCTTTTTTACATAACATTTGTTTAATATAAGATTTGAATTGCCTCTCTGTAAGATTTAGCGTAGACTCTGGCAGTTTATTATAGAATCTTACGCAATTACCATAAAATGAATTACTAACTTTGTGTAGACGACATTTAGGTAAAATTTGCTTATTTTTATTGCGTAAGTTTCTACTTGTACAGTCTTTAAGTTTCTTGAAACTATCTAATTTTTTCCTTGTATACATAATATTTTCATAAATGTACTGTGAGGCAACGGTGAGGATATTTGATTGTTTAAAGCATTGACGTAATGACTCTCTAGAACCCATACCATAAATAGAACGTATGGCTCTCTTTTGTAAAATAAATATAGTATTTACATCGGCAGCTTTACCCCACAGCAGTATGCCATATGACATAATGCTATGGAAATAACTAAAATATACAAGTTTTGCCGTCGCCACGTCTGTTAATTGCCTTATCCTTCTAATTGCATAAGCAGCAGAACTAAGTCTACTGGCTAATTTTGAAATATGGGGCCCCCATTGTAACTTCGAGTCCACTGTTATTCCTAAAAAAACTGTATCATTAACAAAATTTACTATTTCATTATTAAGCAATAGCTGCGTATTTACTTGTTTTACATTAGGAAGCGTGAATTTAATACACTTAGTTTTGTTGGAGTTCAATAATAGATTATTACATGTGAACCAATTTAATATAGCAGAGATAGCATAATTTACATCGTCTAATTGATTACATTGGCGACCAATTTTAAACACTAACGAAGTATCATCCGCAAATAACACTATATCTGCTAACTAACTTTCTCTACCATGTAGGGAAGGTCATTTATATAAATTAAAAAGAGAAATGGGCCTAATATTGAACCTTGAACTTTAACGTTGAATATATATATTCACAATTCTATGTTGGCCCCTATAATATCTCTTAACATCTTCTAGCTAGGGTATATTTTTGCAAAATTTATAAGTGCGAGGTTGTTTCATATTCATATTATAGATAGACATTTTTAAATGTTTGGTTGTGACCTAATCAATCGCGCTTTAACTGCACAGTTCGGATACAGTTTGTGTAAGAAAAATGCAAGTTATGAGACAGAATCAGTACCTAAAATACAATAAGAAATCTCCAACATAGTTCCTTATATATTTTTATAAACAACTTAACATCTGGAGTCCTGTTCATGTAATTCGAACAAGGGCAATATTTGCTAATTGGGTGTGTTATTGTAGAATGTTCCACGAAATAATAAGCAAACGTGACTTATAAACAAACAGATTGAAGTTTGGTCTGTAGTCGAATGTCGAATTTTACAATTTGCAAGAGTAATGGAACATATATGGAGAAATATCAGTCACGTTTTTTTATACCACGTAAATCTATGTTTTATAAGATCATTCTTTGAAATTTTATCTAAGCTACAAAAGTTAATTAATCATGTAACGAGAATTACTAAAATGATGTCATAGATCTGAAAAATTATTTGTAATTGCTGAGAAAAATTGAGATTACTAAGATCAATATTCGCGATGCGTCGTCTTAACTTTTGTTTTTTTTTGTCTATATTAGACAACTATTAATTTCTCAACTTATTTTAACTATTTATTAGAAGGCTTTGTCACATTCTTTCAAATTAAGAAATCAATTCCAAAGACGAGGAAGAAACCAACATGTCTACTGTGCCTAACAAGGGTTCACAAAGTGGTCGGCCAAATGGTTTCTCAAGTGAATAATGTGCCATAAATTGTTTATCTAGACAAGTTTGTTCGTCCATTCTCACTACTACAGTGTGGGTACTGGTGTTAACGAACAGAACAAGTAAACAATTAAATCTTTGAAGAAATTGTTAACTTTTTTAGTAACTTTGAAAATAAATTATGAAATTATGGCATATAATTACTTAATATACGTAACATCATATAAAACTTTATGTGGAATCCTTTCTATCCTATTATAAATCACACTGGTTTCACATTTCTCCTATATGTATCTCTAAATGTATTTATAAAACTTGGATTGGCGAACCTGCAATCTCTGAATATAATTTTTGTAAAAACCTGTTTACTTTTGTCAAAGAATATTGTAATAGGTATGCATTAAATAAAAAAAGTTACGGTTTTCCTTATAACAAAAAATGTGGTTTAAGTGATTTTTATTTTCGTGTGGTGACTGAATAGGTAAACTAATGAATGTAGATATTCTGAGTATTTTTCTAGACCGATAATTGTCCTTCATTGAAAATCGATATTAGTTGTAAGAGTAGTCTCTGCCAGACTATTCTTACAACCAATATCGATTTTCCGTGAATCGATATTACGGTTTTCGTTTACTTTATTTTCTTTTTTAATATCAGAGAAAACAAGAGGGTCTGTTATGTTCCCATATAAATTTGTATAAACCACCGGTTTATTTCATCGAAGGGTCAGTCAGAAATATAAATTCACAAAGTTTTTGGTTGTAGGACAAATTCGAACTCACAACCTAATCGCTGCATGTCGGGGTAGTAAACCACTATATATACCACGTCGCTCTGAAACAACTTATTTCCAAATAATAATCATATTAAAAGTGAAGTAGTGTTCACTCTGATATAGTTGTAGACCTTGATCACTCGATACTCTTCGGTGTAACTATTGTCTTCTGTGTAACTATAAATACAAAAAACCTTGGTTCGAAGTAATAGAGTTTGTAACGGAAAATAAATAGTTACCTCTATTAGCATTATAGTTGATTGATTACAGAAAACAATCTATACGCGTAATAATATGTAACTGAACGTTGTTTGTACATGGAATATATTTTTTTTTATTCGCCTGGGCATGCATTATAGATTTTACCTGTTTCAGACACCAACTTCTCACAACAATTGATTTTAATAGTAAATTTATTCATTGTATTATCCAAAGTACTACATGTATTTGTTGCCATTAATGTTTGTGAAGAGAAATACATAAAATTATTATTATTCAATATTATTCCCTGTGCGTTTGTGTGCTCCAATCTCAGAAACGACTTAACCGATTTGATTGCTGTTTTTACTAATGCATGACCAATCTCAAATTAAAGTTTTGTATTTATTACATTCGAATCAGTTTATACAGCACAAATTTGCGTGTTTACTAGTCGATAGAAATAAATAAAATTGAAGTGTCTGTTTGTATTTTCAAATTATCAGTTTCTCACTAAATGCATATGAAATATATTAAGTATATACGGTAATTAGTAGTATAGTTACGGTACTACTTACATAAGTAAAACATAATCAAATTCTATATATTATTATTTATATATTTATTATAATCGTCTATCTGTTTGTTCTTGCTAATATCTGTAACGACAGGACCGATTTTGATGCCACTTTATCTCGCAGTTAGCTAATGTTATAACGAGTAATAGGCTATTTTTATTAAAAATACGTTTAAAAAAGTTACATTCTATGCGGGGATTCAAGTAGCAAGTAAGAGCTAGTAAACAAAATGAAACTAAGTCATATCTGATATCAGACACTCAACCTTATGTTGTTGTCACAACAGTAGATATCGAAGTAATTTAATAAACCTAAGCAACTGTGGCACATGACTCATTCTATTATGTATAAATTGTCATAGGATATTACATATTGTCCGGTTGTTGAACTATTAATTAAAATGTAATTTACATTATACATTTGTTGTGTACTGCTAGAGTATTTTATCTTATTATTTGCTTACGAAGGATCTTTATTAAGCCCATTTCTTTATATTCTCGGGACATGCCTAGGGCCTAAATGTAGGAAGTCTAGTTTATAAACTAAAATTTATTTTATGCTTATTCCATACAACAAATGTAATGGACCCGTAGGTTCCTAATAAAAGGTCCTTTGTTGCTGTCATGGTGGTCCTGCCAAATGACCTCGAAAAAGCGCCCCTGCCTATGACCCCTATGTGACTATATTTATATTCCCTCACATGTATGCAATAACGATCTAGAGACTCAAGTATTAAAAAAACAGTCCTTTGTTATAGCTATGCCTAGGGTTGTCAACTAATGAGAACTGTATTTTGCTCAGAAATTTTTGAAAACCACATGTAAGACAAAGATATAATAAGTCCATTTTTCATGGAATTAAATTGAAAATTATCAAGAATATACATTTTATATAGTTCTTGTAAATAGTAGTAATTAATTAAACTTGAATTTATTAATAAATAAAAAAGGCTGTAATAGGTATTTTACAAAACTCTCTAATATTTTGTGGATCTTCTAAATCATTATTGTTTATCACCCTGCCTTTATGACATTATTTGTGGTCGGCAAAGAATGCCATTTTCTTCCACTGATCTTTAGACTCCTGCTTTACTGATTAGCCGCTATATCTGAGTTTACACGCATTTTATCCATTTCACCTTTCACACAATCCATACATCATTTTCCGGGCGTATTCTCCCAATAGATCCATCTATGTATGATCCACGTACTACAAAAAATAGTGCAATATATTGATTGTTGACAACCCTTGCTACAGCATTTCCACGTATCGAATTACTAATCAGTCACCTCAACTTTTATATGATATCATTGTACCTAGAATATATATAATGTTTGTTCACCTTGATCAAAGCTATGCCATTCTCTCGAGTGATGTGCAAATATATTGAATTTGAAACCATCATACACATAATGTTTAGATTTAGTGGTTGCACGTATTATACACGAGGTCAGGTGATTTTATTTTGCAACATATTCGATTATTTAATGGTTTTTTCCTTTACCTACGATTCTGGTTAAAATGATAATCCTATACGTCTTTATTCGATCAATTATATATACAGATTAATTCGGAATAATTGTAGATGGCACTGACCTTATCAAATTTAATAATAAAAAATAAAAATAATAAAAATACTTTATTTTGCAACAGGGTCCACATTTGGAGCTCGAAATTTTTTTTCGTCCTTAAACAAATTGTAAAAAAATTTACTTGTTTTAAATGTTTATCTGGGATTCCAACTCACACTTTACCGATTTTTATTTATCATTATTTTAATGTGTTATATACATAATCTTAATGCAAGCCGCCACACGGGTAATACCTAATAATGATTATCTTCATACCTTTGATAATATAACATTGTTCAGACAGAAACAGTCTATTTACGTCTTGATGAAAGTTCAAAACCTCTTTGTTTATTGAAATACATTGACCTTTTGTTAGATAAAATCGAGATTGTAATAATATAATAAATGTAACATAGCAAAGTTTTCGATATATTATTATGTAAGTGATATGTAATTAAAATATCAAACAAGCTGAAAGCCAGCCTTTTTTTTTTGGGAATCTTCGCCTGTATACATGAACGGCACCACGAACGTCACAGTAGTCACCCTTGATAGGCAATTCTCCCCTTCAGGCTTTGCCATTCAAAATGCCGATTGTCGCCAATCTCGTAAGAAAGATGATTGGGGGCATCACTGTATTAGGATCGGGAATCAGCAGCGAAATCATTCCCACGCTACCTTTCAGAAATAAATGTGCTTAGGAGATATTCGGTGTGAAAAGCTCGTATGGTGAACAAGTAACCTCCAAAAAAGTAACACGTAATCGTAACACTGAGACTTGTCATTTTTATACTTACCTTCAAATAATTAACTTTTGTTTTACTGTCAAAAAAATTGTTTTTTGTTATATATGGATACTAATTGTACACGCGGTTTCAATCGCATGAAATTTGTAGTTGTTTTATTCTGTTGTATAAGCAATGTTACTGTAAAGTTTCATCATAATCTATTCAGTAGTTTTTGTGTAAAAGAGTAACAAACATCCATCCATATTCACAAATTTTCTCTTTTATAATATTAATATGATTAATGTTTTACAAAATTCTCTTTTTAAAACCATATAAATGAGAATGGATATTAAAGAGCGGGATGTACCTGATACAGGCATCGGCTTGCTCGGTCATCCCATCAATGTATTATTCTATTCCAACTGTTTTTAAAAATATAACCATATTTTTATTTTTTCATGCCAAACAACTCACAATGCGTTTTTGTTGTTAAATATTCGAAATTATATATAGTATTGTTGACATTTGACAGGCTCGGTAGTCTAGCAGTTTAGCACACCGCCTTTCTTCCGATGGTCGCGAGTTCGATTCCTCGCAACATACATAAAAATATTATGTTTGTAGACTAATACAAACATAATGAACACTATTTTTTATGTGGATGTTTTCTATGTACACTTATGATGATGATGTATTTATAAAAAATATTAATCTTTCAGTTGTTGGATATCCATAATACAAACTAAGACTTCGAACTAGATGGCGCTGTGTGAATTGTCCTGTATTATTATTCTGCGTAGGAGTATTAGTAATATTGTTCACGGTTGAGGCTTAAAATCACTAATCGACAATTTTATTCTAAAATAATTAGCATGATATTAATTATATTGCAAAATGAGTAATGATTCGTCATAGTGTTGTTTTGTAGCCTGAGTCTCCAACCAGATTTCAGTTTAATGTTCATTGTATTACACAATATGAGTCATTTATTCCATGAAGGAAACAGTACAGAAACTGTGTATTTAATATATAATTAAATGAATAACTATCCTTCCCAGATTGTCATAAGAGTACTTAATTCACAGTTTACTGAAATATAGAATAATATGTATTTCGTAATATACTACATTAATACTTTTGAATATCTAAATTCAATATAGATAGATAAACACGAAACAATTACATTCGATTATGATAATAACTCAGCTTGCCATCAAGCTGACTTTTATTCCCCCAACAATAATGATTTTTTTTTTTAAACTAAATAGCAAATTTTTACAAAGAAGTAAAATTTAATTATCTATTTGTAACTTCAAATTAATGGCTTTTCACTAAAGGCACAGTATATACGGTACTTACATAAAAAATAAATATTGTTTTGTCTGTTTCTTTGTACTTGCTAATGTATGTAAACTAGTAGCCCGCCCTGGCTTCTCCTAGGTGCTCATAATGGTCATCACATTGTGATTTTATTTATATTTACATAATATGTTGTGTAATGTCAAGCTGGAATAATCTACTTTTCCATCAGTGATTGAATTTCGCAAATCTGTGCAGGGGTTGCGGAGTTTCTTTCTTGATAACAAAATCCGACCTCACTCTTTATAATATGAGCGTAGATTGAATTTTTTTTAACAATATTATTATTAAATCAAAATTTTATGTACGTAACAAATACAAATTTTATATACTACCGGAACACTTTTAAAATATTTATTCGTACACATAGAAAATTTTTGGAAATTTAAAATGACTAGTAATGTATAAAATAGATGAATTATTTGTACACATTGAAAATAAATGGATAAAAATTACAAGTAATGTGTGAAATAGATGAATATGTAGACGTTGCGTGGAGAGATTCTTATAAATAACATAATATTAGTATAAGGTTTGTTTACAAAAAATGTTTCATGTTTACCTAAAACTGTGGCAGGTGATAGAAATTCATAGATTAGATATATTACTATCTATGTATGCATATATTTGTTGATAAGACGTCTATGTCCTACGTTATTTTTAATCATCACTACCTATATTCTAAACAAAGGACTATCTGATATATATATAATTATAACCTATACCTAACCTAACCTACCACTTAATTAAAGTATAATCAAAAAGAATATTCTCCTTATTTATAAAATTGTTACTAACATGTAATAAACTTATATTAATAAAAACTTATATTAATAAATATTGTGTCAAAACACTCAAAGAGATTAAATGGACTTGTGGAAGGTTTTCGTTTTTATGAATCAGTATATTATTTTAGTCTTAAACAATGTAAGAACATTGGATAATAAAACAATAATATATATACATGGAAATCTTTTTTTCGAGGATAACATCTATGTATAGTATGTTCATAAAACAAGTTTGGGACTGGACATGTAGCGAAATTTTTCAGGGTTATTATTATGATTCGTAGTTGACTTAGAGAAATCGTAAAGTCTTATTCACAATAATATTTTTTACAAATTTGTTACAGAAAAATACGTTAAATCTCTACATATCGCACCAAAGAGGTCCCTTCTTCAAAGCAGAGTTCCAGACCGAACTAGATCTAAGAAAGTTCCATATCGCTGATGTAACAGACAAACGCATCTTCGTCTCGGTAATGCACACAGACAATCTCGCCCACTTATACGTATCAGAGATCAACAACAATTTCACGCAATACAACTTCGTGTTGAGCTTAGAACAGGTCCTGTGCTATTTCCCAGATGGTAACTGGAAGGACAGCTGGCTGGAGTAAGTGCCCTTATTTTTACAAAACAAGTTCTATCTAGATAACATAACAACAAAGGTGAATATACGTCCTTGTATAACTAAATTGTTAGACGCTTTCTAATTACAAACTCCAAACTGTATATTCGACTTAATATGTTTTTTTATGTAATTTGAATGCCAAACAAGCTGACGGTCCACCTGATGGTAAGCGATAACCGTCGCCTATGTACATGAACAGTACTACGGACATCACGTTATCATGTGGCACTCGTGATACCACTCATACGTTGCCATTTCAGAGGATAAGAAGACATGCCTCTTATTCTGTAATTTGACTACCTAATCTGCACTTTTCAATCAAAAGAGCTTACAAAGCAAGCTGCTTGACGGCTGTAACACGCAGACTACTTTTTACATTCTACTTCTCGTTAATACCCTATTTAACAACTGACTTTTGAAAAAAGTAACACTGCTCGGCACCTAAAAAAGAAAGTGTGATTATATTTATTATTATTGGGTCGTCCGCTGGTCCTAACTGGACCGCTGGGTACGGGCCCCGAGCTTGCGCTCCTTGCCCGGGCATTCTGCTGGGGTGAACCACCCCAGCGTCGTTCTTTTACCGGCCGACCTGCCGGCCGGCCGGAGGGCGGCTGCTTCTCAGCAGCCGCCTGTGGGCGTTGTGTGGCAGGAATCATTATGTCGCTCGCCGAGCCGGCTTAACGCCGCCACGTCACGTAAATGACGTGATCACTCGGTGGAGAGTAGGTCGCGCGGGAGCGCGCGAGTGGCGTCCGGTGGGCGCGCGTGGAGAGGGGCGAGGTCGCGCAGGTGCGCTTCGCGCCCGCTGTCCGCGCGCGAGAACATCGCGCGCGTCAACCGGACGACGAACTGCTCCACCGATGGGACCTTGAGGTCGCGGGCGATCACGTCATTACGGACGTACCGTCCGGCATTTGTGCACAGACGGAGGGCGGCGTTCTGTTGGACCCGCAGTCTCCGCCGCTGTGAGGCCGAGCACAGTGCGTACCATGCGGGGGCGGCATATGTGAGCCGCGAACGAATGTAGGTCTTATAAATGCCTACTTTCGTCCGCAGCTGCAGCCTGGATTGTAAGACCGGTCGCAGCATAGCGCGCGCGGCCTTGGCTTGGGTGACAACCCGGTCCACCTGCGGCTTCATACGCAGCGACCGGTCGATTTCTACCCCTAGGTAGCGCACTGTGCGTTCCCACTGTATGGGCTGGCCTCTCAGTAAGAGGGGCGGCGGGCATTTGCACCCGGGGCGGGTAAGCAGCGCCACCGTTTTACCCACGTTAACGGTGGTACGCCACTTATCCAGCCACTCGGGGAGCAGGTCCAACAGCCGCTGCATTTTGCGAGCGGCTGCGTAGGCTCGGCGAGACGACGTAAGGAAGGCACTGTCGTCGGCGAAAAGAGCGAGGACGACATCCCTCTCTCCCTCTCGGAGCTCATCCCTCAAGGTGGGGATGTCGTCTGTGTACGTCGCGTAGAGCGCTGGCGAAATGCAGCTGCCCTGCGGGACTCCGGCGGCAATTGGGCGTGTGGTAGAGTCACAGTTCTCGACCGAAACATAGAAGCTCCGGCCCGAGAGGAACGAGTCCACTACTCGCACGTATGCTGACGGCGTGTTGGTGTCGAGCAGCTTTGACACCAAACCGTCGTGCCACACACGGTCGAACGCCTTCTCTATATCGAGAAATACGCCGACCGTGTAGTGGCCGCGGTTGTGCTCGACAGCCATATGGTGGAGCACGCGCGTCAGCTGCAAAGTCGTCGAGTGTCCGCCTCTGAAACCGAACTGCTCGTCGCGAGGCGACAGAGTCGGTCTCAGGCGGCGGAGCAGGAGGCGCTCGAACGACTTTGCTACGTGCGAGAGCAGAGTGATGGGCCGGTAGCTTGCCGGCAGGCGCTTGTCCTTGCCGGGTTTCGGGAGGACTATGACTCTACCCAACTTCCAGTTGGTAGGGAAGTGGCCGGTCCGGAGTATACCGTTGTAGAGCCTAGCTAAACACGCTAGGGCTCTACGGGGCAGCTGTGCGAGCGCTGCGGTACTGATCCCGTCCGCTCCGGGCGCTTTGCGCTTCGGCAGGCGGCTGACGAGCCGCCTTACCTCGCCGGGCGAAACGAAGCTCACTTCGTTTACGTCCGGCGACGGAGCGGTACGGAAATCGCATACGCGACGTACGACTCGCTCGTGGTGCTCGACGACAGTGCTGGATGCGTCGGCGGCGATTGGATTGGCCGTGAATTGCCCCTCCAAGTGCTGTGCCAGGATTTCTGCCCGGTCTTGGGCTGCGTAACGACGTCTGCCCGTCTCGTCAAGCAACGGGCAGACGGGGGGTCGTGCATTGGTGAGCTGTCGATTGAGTTTGTGCAGGTCGGTATCGTGTTCGCCAGCCCGGGATATGACACCATCCCAGGCGGCTCCACGCCAATCCCGCACTCCCTCCGACAGCTCTGCAGCCAAGCAGTTGAGCTCACGCTTGACCCGCGGGCAACGGGTTCGGGCCCATAGGCGACGGAGATTCTTTTTCCGGGCGAGTTTTTCGCGCAGATGGTGTGGCAATTCCTCTCGACGGCGAGAAGCCACGTTTATTGTGGTAGTTGCCGCCTCCACTGCGGTGCGGATTCGCTCCGTTATGAGTGTGGAGGCGGCTTCGACACCCGCTGGCGATGATAGTTCGCCGTCGAGGTGTAGATGCTCCAATTCTGCGCGAAAAACACGCCAATCCATCCGCCGCCTCGACGGTCTCGTCGGTGTGGTGGTGGTGGAGAGGTCAAGCGTGGCTAGAACTGGGAGGTGCTGTGTGTCAAGGTCGTACAGCACCTCCAGTAAGACCGGGCAAGGCACAGCCTGCACTAGGGCAATGTCCAGAACGTCTGGGCTATGTGTGGGATTTGAGGGTACGTGGGTTGGGTGCGCTGGGCCCAACACCTCGTACCCGTGGATCTGCGAATCCTGGAGGAGTCTTCGACCTATCGGCGAGCACAGACGGGAACCCCAAGCCGTGTGCTTCGCGTTTAGGTCGCCCATAAGCAGGGTGGGACTCCTCCCATCCAGAACGTTCCGGACATCGGAGGGGCTGAATTCCAGTCCCGGGGGACGGTAAGCTGCCAGGACCTTCAGTTCCGCGCCGTCGACGTTGATGCTGACTCCTATGGAGCGCATGACGCGGAACTCGGGGCGCTCTAACTCCACGTGGACTACGTCCCGACGGACTAGTACCGCCGTACCGCGGTACGCAATGCCCGCCGGTGACGTTTCGTCGCGTCTATACACGTGGTAGTTAGGCACCCTCAACGTCTCCTTTTCTGTGAGCTTCGTTTCACCCAGGAGTATGATGTGCACATCCTGGGTGCGAGCTAGGAGACGGAGGTCCTGGACTTTATCCTTTATTCCCCCGGGGTTCCAGTACACAATGCGCAGGCTAGTACCCGCCATTTGTGTACTGTTGGATTTTGGCCAATCCATTTAATGCCGCCGACTTTGTGTCCGCGCCGGCCGCGAGCGTAGTAAGCAGCTCCGTCAACAGGCTAATAAGCATGTTCAGTGCTCTGTCGACGGGCGCTTGTGTGAAGGGGGCGGGCGCGGCGCGTGCCGAACGCGGCGCGGGGTATGCGGTGTATGTGGGAGGCGCGGGAGGTGCGCGTCTTACGTCCGCCAAAAGCGGCTTGAAAGCCACTCTCGGCACATTGTGTGCCGGTGGCGCCGCCTGGCGGCGACGTGGCGCTGCACGCGGGCCCTGATTTGGGACGGCATGCATGGGAAGGGAGGGGGGTGCGTTGTACGCAAATATTGGGGTGGGATCAGGTAGGAAGGGGATTGGGGTTGATGCCGTCACTGGCTCATCTCCGCGCCTCTTCTTGCCGCGTCTTCGGCGGCGGCGCTTTTTAATTGCACCGGCGTCGGCGCCTCGTTGCGTCGGTTCGTTAGCCGGCGCCATTAGGTTGGCGCCAGCGGTTTCCTCGACCGTTATTACGGGAGGGGGAGCCTGGGCGACGTATGTACGAGGCGCCGCGGTGGGATTGTTGCGCCGCCGTTGCTGCGCCGTGGGCGCCATCGACGTCGCAGTGGGGACGGGGGGACGGGGTTTGATTCCCCTCTGCCGGGCCTCTCTTTTGTACACCGGGCACTTCCGGTCGTTGGCGGTGTGCGGCTTTGCGCAATTGGCGCAGGTCGGCTTTTGGTCACGCGGCCTGTCGCAGTTCGCCGCCGGGTGCTCCCCACCACAGCGAACGCATTTGACGGGCCGGTGACAATTGGCCGACGCATGGCCGAATGCCTGGCATCTGTGGCACTGAGGCAACACAGATGCCGGCTTCCACGCTTCAACGACGACGCCACGCATGTACAGGAGCTCGTCCACCGCATATAAGCGTGCGAGCTCATCCCTGTCCATGGGGTCGAGTTGAGCGTGGAAGATACAGCCGGGACGACCGCGACGGGCAGGAATACCCCGCACCAGTCGCACTCAGAATCCCTTCTCCTGTAGGGCATCCACTATCCTCTCATTGGGGGTGTCGGCGGGGAGGCCCCGTATCGCCACCTTGGTGGGCAGTTCCGAGGCCAGACTGTAGAAGTACCAACTTATAGTTGGGTCCTTCTCGCTGGCTTCTATGAGGTATCTCTGGACGGCTCGGAATTCGTCGTCCGTCCTTGGTAGGAATCTGACCCCACTGCCGAAGGGTCGTGCATTTGGAGCCTCCCCCAGGACGCGCCTGAGCTGGTCGAAGTGGCGCGTCCAGTTAGGGAGGCGTTCTACCACTATGGGGGGGTACTTTCCTCGCCCTGTGGCGGGTTCAGCGCCTGCGTCGGCGTTCCTCGTCTGAGAGGGGAGGGGCGGAGCGAGTGCCGGAGCACCCGTGGTGGCTGGGGCTGGGGTGGCGGGGGCCGAGGTGGCGGGACCCGCCGCTACTGCCGCGAATGACGGCGGGGTTCTCTTTCTAGGCGAGGGGACGGGGGGGAGCATCGGCTCGGGCGATTGTGGCACTGATTCGAGTGCCGCATATGACGTGGCGTCATACTCGCCCCTATCTAGCGTATAGGAGCGAGGTAGCGGCGAGGGCACACGCGAGGGTGCTGGCGAAGGCTCAGGCGAGGTCGCAGGCGACGCATGTACGTCGCCATAAAAACGCCTGTCTTCCCCTTCCTCCTCGCTCCCGCTATCCGGCGGGGGGGAGGGTGAGCGCGGAGGGGGTGAGGGCTTTCGCCGCACGGTACCCGACTGGGACGGTAGGGGTTGGTAGCCCTTGTCCACGAGCCGGATTCTCGGCGTCGGCGGCGCCTTCACTAGGTCGAGGTCGCGGGGGGGGGACTCCTCTATGTCCCTCCGTTTGTCGCCTCTAGCGGGCGAGGTCGGCGACGGCGGTGCGCGTCTTTTGGATGGGCCAGGTTGCGCGCATCTTTCCCCTCTGCCTGGTTCCCGGTCGGCGGCATCATTGCCGCTTCCCGCGAGGGCAGAGGGGGTGCCCTTGGATGCCGGGCGAGCGTGGAAGGTCCCCAGCTCAGTGGCGGGGACCAGCTTGGTCGGGTTCCTCAGATCCCGACGCACAACTGTTCGGGGAGCTCCCCTGTCAGGAGGTTTCCTGGGGGCTTTGCCCCTTTGCGACATCACGACACGAAAGGGTGATGTACTAGGAAAGGGGAATGGAGGGGTGGAAGAGGGTGGTGTGGGGGCTGGAACCCCACGACGAACCTACCGAAAAGTAGGGAATTCCGCCCTGAAAGGGCAGGTGATCGCACTGTAAGACAGTCGCAAGTGGATTGCAGCAACGAATTTGCGTCAACAAATTCGGTCTGCAATCCTAGCGCGTTCTCTCACTAAACAAAGTACACTTTGTGTAGTTGGATTACGCACTGTATCGCTCTCAACAATTTGCGCAAGTGGGCACCAGTTGCGGGGCTCACTCTGGAGACTCGACGGCGAACCGGAATCTCACAGAGGATCACACGACCAACGGTAAACTCAGCAAGCAACAAATTGGAAAGCCAATTGTGTGATTATATGTATCCAACCTTTGACATGGGCTAAGGTCAATACTTTAATGAAAACCCCATCAAAATAATTATTACTAGACTCTTTAAAGGTGAAGCGTAAGATCCTTTGCCAGTATTTAGGATTGTAGTGAAATTCCCATTAAAATCCGTTTATTGCGTGTTATGAGTATATACTACTTTTAAATAATGAACTATTCTTAGACTTTTAAAAGGAAAAACGAGAGATACTATGCCGGTATTTAGGATTCTAGTGAAAATCCCACTAAAATCCGTTTACAGGTTTTTACTAATACTCGTGTAGAGACAAAAAACGTCAGACAATAAAAAACCTCATGTTAGGATACGTATAAATAGATTAAAGTAACGGTAGAAAAACTCTGAAATATAATTGATGTGCAAAGTTTGATTGGTGTTATAAATATAATATGTATCGTATATATACATATAAGTATATGTACTATGACAATATTATTTCCGTTCTTTCCCGTTTATATAATCTGTACAATTGTGTTCGACCTTCATGGTTGTTTACAATAAACACAATATATAAACGGGAAATGACTTAAATAAAGCTTAAATAACTTCAACTATAAACACCCGAGAAAAAAGTTATAAACAGTGTTTATAATATGTATGTTGTATGCAGATATATAATATATAATGTGTGTTGCAGAGACGTAACAGAGGATCCATTCACTGATCTGTATCGCGTGGAAGGGTTGAAGGGCGTTTACATAGCGTCTCGCGTTCATTCGAAGACACTGGTGGGAACTGTTGGACCGGAACACCTTATCTCTTTGATAACCTTCGATCATGGTGTCACGTGGTCACCTATCAATCCACCTACTGAAGACGAAAATGGTAAATATAAAAAACTTTACTGCGTTTATAATTTTATGAGATATAAGTGCGATAAAGTTTGTATAGACGCTATCGAGTGTTTATAATTTTTTGATTAACCGACCTCGAAACAGGACGTTTTTCTTCTTATTCAGAGGAGTTTTCTATTATATTTATGTATATCTTCTTTTTAATTATTTTTCGGCTCTGTTTTTTTATGGATGAATATGTAATGGTGTACCCGTCTGACCTGGTAGGGCACCAGTGGCGGATGTTAGAGAATCACTGTTTCAGTTGTTTTATAGTTATAATATATGGTTATATAGATATGCCATTTAGTTACCATACAGTTGTCATTTCTTGTACTAATACGAACGCTTTCATATAGCGGGTGGAGAAACACATATATCTAGATGAATTTTTAAAACGATGTGCCGGCTCATTATGAAGTATTTATACAAAAATAATTCATACATTGTATTACATATGATATCCTTGGGTCGTCGTTGTATTATACACCTACGTTGATTGTACAATGTGTCTGCCAAATGAGTGTTGTTGTGCACAAAATGTATATCACTAAGGCGTTTAGCCAATTAGAGTTGCTTATTTTGAACCCAGTGCCAAGAAATTTATTTATTTATTTAAAAAAATACATTTCAACACAGCTTGCAACCAAATTAGCTATGAGAACCCTGTTATGATATAGTTCTGTATATTGTGGCGAATCTCCGTTCTTAACTGTATTCCAATCTGTAAATGATTATCTTGTAATTTGACTAATTATATTTTTATGATTGATAATGGAATGGTCACCCACCTGCGCAAACGGTTTACGCTGGCGGAGCACCATCCTGAAGGATAATAAGATGTGCATGAGGCCATTTAGCCCATCTTGACAAATTCACCAAAAATTTATCGCCATGACTTCCAGGAGGAACCGCGTGGTGGTCAACCTAACATGGTACATTGCTAGCAATAAGATCATCTAACTTACTTACTTAAGACCACTAATTATTATTTAAAATAAATATACTATTATTATTTCCATTTATATTTGTAGGTAAACCGTTGAACTGTCAAGTTGAAAATTCCTGCAGTCTACATTTGTGTCAGAAATTCAGTCAACTGTATCCAGTAACAAGGTAAATATAAATACCTAATCTACTTTTACAAGGCTAACGCACATGTATAAGATACTTATGAATAGGGATGTTTCGATACAAGTAAATAAGGAGTAGGTACTCGATACTTTTGTTTTGATATCGAATAATTTTAGTATCGATTCAATATTGCGATACTTAATCGGTAACAAAAGTAAACTTAGTATCAAATCGAAGTAGATCAATATTTATAAATAAAGGGAAACTTCATCGCGATGAAGTTATACCTGATGACTTACAAAAATAAATGTCACTCAAAGGATACACGATGCTCTAAAAATTTACATCCGAAAAGCAAAATGGCAGAAAATCAAAAGATTAGATTTTTTATAAATGTATAAAGGATGTCATCGGTGGCAATATGAGTAAATATCAATACTTTTTTGATACTCATAAGTGTATCGATACCTTATAGGTATCGGAACAGCCCTACTTATGAGCACACCTTCATAGTATACGTATATAAACATAGCTATATCTATACTTAATTAACTACTGATATTTCAACAAATTTCATTGTATAACTACTTCTAATAATATGTAATTGTATTGTTTTTAAGTGGAAATGAAATTCCTACTAGAGTCTGATTTAACAAGTCTGTGTAAGATCGAAAATTGTTTATTGCTGATAAAAATGACTTTGTAATTCTGTAATTATTCTGTTATCGTGAAATAATTATACATGATAATTATTTCATTTTGATTATTCTTGTAAACACTCAAGCGCTTTCTAAATATTGCATAATTTTTTTTGAGGTGTGTTTTTAGTCTGTTCGCACTTTCGGATTAAAACGACATAGATCGAAATACTTCCTTGACTAATTGGATTATGACTAACTATAATTTCATTAAATTATTTTATTGCGACCTGATGATTAAAAATAACTGACCTTGTTTACTGTCTAAACTAATATAATGATTACTAAAATTTGATACATTGACATTGGTATGAAATGATAATGTAATTGAACATGATATATGTGTATGTAACATCGTTTGGGAGGTCAGAGTTGAGTTTCTTGTGTGCATTAGGTAATAAACTATATCACTTTGTGATATCATTTATTTATTATGATTATGACCGTTCGTAACTGTGGCAACATAAATATATTTTTATGTATTTTTTGTTGTCTTTTATGAATATAGTACACTTAATAAATGCATAAAAATTACTGTAACTGTAAGCAATTACCAAGAGATTACTAACACGTATACACGACGTTTATTCAACTATACACTAGTTGAATAAACGTCGTGTCTAAGTTGTTTCTAAGACAGTTTTACTGCTTATAATAGAAAAAAATCATTGCATTTTAGTCAGTCTTTTCATATATATTCTACTTTTTCTATGTAATATTTTATGACAGGGATTAGAATGATAATATGGTATGGAGCACCCGCCTATGCTAATGGTATTCGCTGGCAGGGCACCAGTGGAGGATGACAGGATGAGCGTGAAGCTAGGTCAGTTAGCCCATTTTAATGAGTTCACCGGGAATTACCACGATGGTTTCCAGGATGCCGCCGGGAGGTCGACCTAACGTGGTATATTCCTAGCAATACCGCCACTATTCCAAGTTACTATTAACACCTTCCCTGTGTATAAACTTTGTGTAATGTGGAGTTTTTTTTAGTATTATTAGTCACACACGTTGTGATGTACTTTTTTGCTGTCTGCCTACTATTAGCATACAATATGTTATTACTATATCAAGAATAGCGCTTACATTATGCTAGATAGTAATAACATATATATGGCATTTTAATGTCATTAGGTAAAAAATACTAATATTCTGGCGCAAGTTAGGAAGAAATCAAATTTAAAACACTAGCACATCGTTAGTTACCATTGTCGTAATGTCACATTCTAAAATCTAAACAAAATATTTGAGCTCTTAACGAATAACGTCTGTTTTGTTGACGTGTTTACACTCAATTTACTAGTGTAACAATGCAAATATCAAAATATGTGACGTCACACTAGGGAGGATAACCTTACATGTCGACGACACATCACACATGTGATTACCTGTTACAAGATCGGGGAGGGGCCCGTTCTTGTCACAGGTTCTTTGTCACATTTGTAGAAAATCATGTTGTGTTGTATTATCAGCACTTATGAGGCGGAATCTAGTGCATTGTTATGACAGCCGTGATATTGTATATCGTTTATTATTAGTATTATCGTGTTAGTAACACTTGTTTAAATATACATGTTCGACAGACAAAACTTAATTATGTACTCTTTAAATAAAATAGTATACACACCCTAGTTTGCATTAGTTACAAATTATCTCTTAAATACCATATTTCACTGAAATGCTTCATACTGTTTTATGAAATATAAAAATGATGCATTGAAACTTGATAGAACATAAAAAATCTAAGTGTGTGATATTTAGTTTACAATTACATACGCGCGCAGAAACTGCAATTATGTTAAAAAATTGTATATTATCAGAGCGTAGGAAATCCCCGTTACATGTTGGCCATGCCATTGAAAAATTTACCACAATATAGTTGGTATAAGACATTAAATTCTTTCATTTTTATTGAAAACTATTACCAGACATTCTAGAGTAGACTAATTATATCTTTACGATATGTGCTTAAATTTAATAATAATAATAAATTTAATAATTTCTCTCCCTGAGGCCCTGAACCCCGGCTGACTATGCCTCTGCCGGGGGTAAGTTGCCATTACCTCTCCTTAAGAGGGGAGATGAGAATTTGTTTTAAGAAAATAAAAAAATAATAATCTCAGGACAATTCACACAGCGTCATCTAGTCCCAAGTTAAGCTACCTAAAGCTTGTGTTACGGGTACTAGATAACCGATAAAGTACATAGATATTTTCTTTTTTTTTCGTAAATACATACATATTATACATAGAAAACACCCAGACCGATACAAACAATCATACTCATGAATACAAATGTTAGTGCCGTGCGAGGAATCGAACCCGCGACCATCGGACGTAAAGCGGTGTGCTTGACCGCTAGACTACCAAGGTCGTCAAAAAATGTAAACTAATAGATTTGATTTTTTGTTAGACTCCAAAGTTATTTTTAAACTATTTTACTTTTAATTCTAGAAGCCCGTTCAAAGATGATGTTGATAGTGAATAATAAATAAAGACTATATTTTCTCTAGGTATACAGATAGGCACTATTTTTAAAAACAATTCTATGTCCATTTCGTGTAACTTTACTATGCAAATCTGTTCATAACTAAAATTGTTCACAGCCCTCCTGGAAATGTGATTGCGGATGGGTTAAGGTACGATAGTAGAATAGGTTCGGTTACTCCCGTATGCCATCTCATTTAATTTTGAACCCAAATTCATAAATCATAAGGTATAACGGAGAGTGTAACCGTGTAAATAAAGCAGTGTAGATGATTAACCAGCTTTGCACATGTTTATTTTTTGCACGGAATATGGATGGAGTTGTTTTTCAGTTTCATATAAGTTTTTTTTGCTCACTAGCTTGTATATACAGTGTGTTAATCACCTCATTAGAAACCATATCATTCTGTAGAAACTCATTGTTTGTATCGCGCAGTCATTTAATTAGGTTAATGTGTTCCTTCTGATCATTAGTAGTGCATTAATCGATTTTTATATGCAAAATATTATCTTTATGTATATTCAATATCTATGATTATTAATCCTTTACAGATCTGCCAGTATAATGAGTTCAAAGTCAGCACCGGGCATTATTATGGCTACAGGCGTAATGGGCAAATCCCTTAAAGGCATTCCCGGGGTGTACATCAGTCGAGATGCCGGCCTTACATGGAAGAGGATCCTCAAGGACTATTACTTCTTTAATTATGGAGACCACGGTGGTGTATTAGTTGCTGTTAAATATTTTAAATCACGTGGGGAAACAAGAAGGATACTGTACTCGACGAATGAAGGCATCGACTGGCACTCTTATCAGTGAGTCATTTTCCTCGATATCGTACAATAAAATTCTGTTGTCACGAAATGTACATCATGCGTTAATTTTTAGGTTCAATGACGACGACCTTCGTATATACGGGCTGATGACCGAGCCTGGCGAGAACACAACAACATTTACAATGTTCGGTTCGGCGAACGATCAGCATCAGTGGATTATCATTACCATCGATTTACGTAACACATTCGAGCGAAACTGCACCGCTGATGATTACAAGTTTTGGTCGCCAACTTCTCTCAACTCTTTAGTTTCCTGCGTACTCGGTATTAGGGAAACCTTCCAACGGCGTATTCCTAACTCGAATTGTTATAACGGCGTGGACTATGACAGGCCTGTTAAAAAGGAAATATGCGAATGCAGCAGACGAGATTTCGAATGCGATTTTGGTTTTAAACGTTCTGGAGTTGAATGCGTCCGTAATAAGTCTGTAAACTTTGATCCATATGCCATACCATCAGATTGTCGCCCTGGAGAGTCATATATGCGAACAAAGGGTTATAGAAAGATAGACGGCGATGTTTGTGTCTCTCCCGCTTATATGCCGTACGCCCCTGTTAAAGTAGCATGTCCTATAGCGGAACCAACGGAATTTCTCATCGTTGCATTAAGAGACAAAGTTGCACGTATCGATCTGTCAGATAATTCCACTTTAACACTAGTTTCGGACCAAAAGAATATTGTAGCTATTGAAATTGACATGAAAAATAATTGCTTATATTGGGCTGACATAGACAGTGACAAAATCAAACGTCAATGCTTCAACAATGGCACTGCGGAAGAGGTTGTTGTGGGCAGTGATTTAGCTAGCATTGAAGGCATGGCTTTGGATTGGATTTCGAACGTCCTATTTTTCGTGGACGGTAGACGCAATAAGATTGAAGCTGTAAGAACTGATTTAAACAATGTAGGAAGAATGAGAGTCACAATCTTGGACTCTAAAGTCTTATCTAAGCCGCGTGGAATTGCTGTACATCCGAAAGCTGGTTACTTGTTTTGGACCGATTGGGACCGCAGTAACCCTTCAGTGTCTAGATGTAATTTAGACGGTTCGGACATTACGAGGCTTTTTAAAAAACCGACTGTCCATTGGCCTAATGGTATAACAATTGACCAAATGTCTGAAAGAATCTACTGGGTAGATGCTATGGAAGATTACATTGCTAGCGCTGATTTAGATGGTCGGCATTTTAAGCGTATTTTATGGAACGACGAGAGAGTGGCACATCCATTTGCTATAGCTGTGCTGAAAGATAAGATGTATTGGGATGATTGGAAAGCAAAATCTATATTCTATGCCGACAAACATACTGGTTTGGACATTGTTACTATTAACGACTCCTTCACTGGACTTATGGATCTTAAAGTGTTTGCTCATTTTGTCCAGCAAGGAAGCAACGCTTGTACGAATAATAGTAATGCTTGCCATGCGTTATGTCTGGGAGGCCCAGCTAATACTTTCAGTTGTTTATGTCCAGATGGTCTTACGCACACAAGTGAAGGCAAATGTATGTGCCCGAACAACGAAGAACCAACAGTGAACATGACTTGTCCAAACAAACCTGGCGTTGCGTGTGGCAAAGTAAGTAATTTGTTACATTTTTTTTTTATTAAAAGTGTACTATCGAACAAGTAAATATAATTGTTCTTTAACATTTTTATCGTCAAATAATTGAGTAAAAATACGTTTTATTAATTAGAATATAGAAATTACGAAGACGAAATAATAAAGCAATTGACTTATTTACCACCGAGGTAGACGATTGCGTCTGCTGGTACCTATTTCTATTACAGCCGTCAAACAGATTGCGTTGCTTAGTAAGATGTGTTTTGGTTAAAGGGTAAGGATAAGGTGGGGAAATTACAGGCTGCAGACGCATGACATTTATTTCGCCATAATGGTCACGAATGAATGGTCACAAAGGGCATATGATAACATGATATCCGTGGTGCTGTTTATAGGCGACGGTTACCACTTACCATCAGGTAGTCTGTAAGTTTATTCGCCTTTCCAGTTACATCTCAGTCGAAATGTAGTTAGAATGAAAAATGCAAGTATAACATAGAAATTATCTTTATTCAAATAAACTTAATATAAGCACTTTTGATTAGTCATATTTTTTTATTTACCACTCATTTGGGACACAGACTCATTACAAGGAGAAGAAGCAAGAAATTTGCGTTGTGTTCTTATATGTAAAAGTTCTAAGTAAATGCACATTAATAAGGATTAGGCATGCGACAATCAACATGAAAACCACTACGCACTCAATCTTTGTTCCATCAGATAACATTATTTTAAACTGTATTTATATCCGTAGGACCAATTTACATGCAAGAATGGGGCGTGTATAGAAGGCAGTTGGCGTTGCGATGGACATAACGATTGCGGTGACATGTCGGATGAGAACGGCTGTATGTGCACGCCGCCGATGATAGCATGCGATGACACACGATGTTATCTGCCGCATTGGAAGTGTGACGGCGATTTCGATTGCAAAGATATGAGCGATGAAAAAGGTACAATATGTTTGTTAACTAGCTGAGCACGCTACTTTGTAATTGCATATACTACCTATGTTTATTGTAAACTGATTGGATTGATTTTGTAGCGGACTTAAACAAAACTGTATAAATATTACTACCTTCCTTTAAACTTTTTCTGATAGTACCATGTACCAACTTGAAGACATCCATTGTTTAGGGTTTAATTACTATAATAAAAAAATGATATTTTGGTGTATGTACCGTATTTATGCATGTAGTAAAAAACAGTTATTTCACAGACACTCCAATTTTATTTATATGAATAGATAATAATAATAATAATCTCAGGACAATTAACACAACGCCATCTAGACCCAAGTTAAGCTAGCTAAAGCTTGTGTTATGGGTACTAGATAAGTGGTACAAATACATAGATATACTATTTTTTTTTGTAAATACTTACATATTGTACATAGAAAACACCTAGACCGATAAAAAAAATCATATATATAAATGTTTGTGCCGTGCGAGGAATCGAACCCGCGACTATCGGAAGTAAGGCGGTGTGCTAAACCACTAGACCACTGACGCCGTCTATTATATGCATAGATTCACTGATGGTATAGTCAGAGGTCTTATTAATCGTTGATGAATTTAAATTCGCTGGATATTTGAATATAACATGACACGGGTGCAGTTTAACTTATAAATTGACACACAAATATTTTTAGTTTCACTCAGATTTAACACGTTAAAGACCGCATGCCCACCGGTGGGCATGCGGTCTGCATCATCATCATCATGCATAATATACGTATATAACTTCAAAAATGCTGGTCCCTATGCGAGAAATATGATTTTTCAATGCGTTTTTCAGGCTGTTAAACCTACGATCGTTGGTACTAAGTTGTAAACCATTAGGTTACTGCTCCTATACAAACATCCATCGTTTATATAGAATTTCTTTAAATGAATCTGTTATTTTTATAGATTGCGATCACCACAACTGTACAGAAAACCAGTTCCAATGCGCAAACGGCATGTGCATTGAGAAGAGATGGGTGTGCGATGGAGATAATGACTGTAAAGATGGATCTGATGAACGTAACTGTACGGTAAGTGTGTATAATTATTTATGACCAGCTTTAAACTTCGATTGCGTGGTGTATTGTAATAAGTTCGTTACTGATAATGAACTTTAGGTCAAAGAATATTTTAAATCGGGTAAATATAATAATACATTTGCTTGTATAAAAAATAATTGTGACTTGAGACTTATTTCTTAGACTTGATTAAATATAAATATATATGACATTGAATGTTAATTTGTAAAAAAAAATCCCCTAAATTGTGTTAATTTAATAAGGAATGCAAGTATTACCTTGCATTCCTTATTAAATTAACCCATTAGGGGACTTCGTGATTCGTCGGCTATTCCACGCAGCCGAAGGCATAGATAGTGTGCTATGAAAAAAAAAACAATATCGTCCGGGCAGGCGGTGCAAGTGAAGCGCATCGAGTCCGGAGGCGCGGAGTGCGCTGCGGACGCGTTCCGGTGCGCGCGCAGCAGCGGGCTGTGCATCCCGTCGGCGTGGGCGTGCGACGGCGAGCGGGACTGCCCCGGCGGGGAGGACGAGCTGCCCGACTCGTGCCGCAACGCCTCCTGCGCGCCCTACATGTACCGCTGCCCCAGCGGGAAGTGCATCTTCCGCTCCTGGGTGAATATCGCACTTTTATTCATTTATCTAGACACGCGGCAGCGTGTCAAGCCGAGTTTCAAGTAAACTGGCTTGCAGCACCGTGTGTATATTTACACGAACCATTTGGAGCCACTTTTGACCCCCTCATAACTCAAAAACTCTTTCACACAAACCTGTCAAATTTGGTTCATATATTGAGACTTGCGAGATAAATATGTGTTCCAAATTTCATAAACATATCTCAAACGGTTATTTAGATATTAATGTCCAAAAATCGTCATTTTTATCACTGATCAACTATAGATCAAAATTATAACCCACTTCCAGATGACCTAGGAAGTTCAAATTTGGTATGCAGATAGGTAATTAGGTGAATATAAAGGAAAAAATCTGAAACTGGTAAATTGTTATCATTTTACTACAATTTTTCACTTTAATTGATTCTATTTCAACTTATACTGGACGAATACTAAAATTCTATGAAAACGTCGATAGCCACCAATTGACATTGATCCCTGGCGAAAAATCTCATCTTGTACTGGACCGAAAGTAATATTGTATGAAAACGTCGATCATTACCAATTTACGTTGACCCCTTCACATCAGTGTCGATAACTAGCAAACTTCAAATATTGCATTGAGCGGTAAACACTAGTTGCTATAATTTAGATTCTGTCTAAAATATACTCGTACTTATAACTAGGAGTATAGTCGAATTTCGTATTTATTATGTTATTAACTGAGATTTGGTATTAATTATTGTTTCAATATTTAGCGCACATCGATAGTGTAAAATCATTATTTTTATAAATAATTATTAAATAATAGGCATTTCGGTATAGGGCGCCGCGGTGGCGCCGTGTGGGAGCGGTGCGATAAAACTCAATGTTTTGTTTCTGGATATCTAACCTATAAGGTTGCGATTTATGCTACGAAATTTATAGCTTTCTTAAATTATACTTATATATTTGTGATTATATTATTATTACATTATTTTAGTAAATACGTATGGTATAGACAATAGTTTAAACCAAAAATTAATAACAATTTTAGTATAGTTATAAGTAGGAATGTACAGTTAACTCGAGAATGAGAACTTTTGGTAACAAATTGTTTTCTTGAGAATTCAATAGATAACAGTCAATTTGTTACATAATCGTCTTTACGAATTATAACGTGTCAATACGAAGTTTCAGATATTAAATAATGTATATGTTGATAGAGAACAATTCCGTATTTGCTTAACATATGCTATTACTATCCACAAATCACAAGGCCTTAGTTTTGCCAGTCCTCTTCTCAACATTGCCTCCTCTATATTTAATAAAGGGCAGGTTTACGTTGGACTCTTCAGAGTTAAAACCTTAGATGGAGTACGTCTTAACAATTTTGATCCAAGTCACGAGAGCTCTATTGTAGAGTACAACCATCTGTGGACGTTATACCGCCCCGATTTGCCCAAAAATTCCTGATACTGAATTGGCATTGCACTTGAACATTTAAAAGTTACAAGAAAATATAGAAAATAACACAAAAAAAAGACAATTATACCCCGTAAATATACGAAAATACAGTAATTTATCAAAAATAATTTGGTATTAATTTAGTCATAAATAAGTACCTCGTATAATTTATGTACAAAAAGTAATGATATCCCATCAAAAACATAAATGTGAAATGATAGCCGAGTTTAATATTATGATATATGGCTTGATTGTTGACTTCTACGACAAAAGAGATGAGATCTAAATGGGTGCCAAGTTCAATGGTCTGTCCTGAAATGTATTTATAACAATATAAAATATCATTTCTTCTTATAACTTAGGATAATATACTGTAGCCTAAGGTCTAACTTGGCTAGTTTTCATATACGAAATATACTGTAGCCTTCGCAAGTTCTAAACATGTTACTTGTCGGTTCCTATTTTAATATTAATAGTAACTAGCAATCGAAAGTAATAATTGGTATATGAGAACTGGCCAAGTTAGACCTTAGGCTACAGTATATTATCCTAATTTATAAGAAGAAATGATATTTTATATTGTTATAAATACATTTCAGGACAGACCATTGAACTTGGCACCCATTTAGATCTCATCTCTTTTGTCGTAGAAGTCAACAATCAAGCCATATATCATAATATTAAACTCGGCTATCATTTCACATTTATGTTTTTGATGGGATATCTAAATACGACCTCATTTTTGCATAGTTATAAGAAAAGGTGGTGTAGCGGTTTATCACACCGCTTCATCACCGATCGTCGCGGGTTCGATTCCTCGCACGGTACAAACATTTGTATTCATGAGTATGATTGTTTGTAACGGTCTGGGTATTTTCTATATATAATATGTATATATTTACGAAAACAAATATATCTATGTATTTGTATCAGTTGTCTAGTACCCATAACACAAGCTTTAGGTAGCCAAATTTGGGTCTAGATGTCGCTGTGTGAATGGTCCTGAGATATTTATTTATTATTTATCAAGTAATCAGTTTTAGTGACCTGAGTGTAGTCGCCAGTGAAGCCGGAATCTCGACGCCCCCACCTCCAACCCTGTACAGGGAGTTAATCAGAATTTTTAAAATCTCTAATTATTATTATTTGTTATAATAGCTATGCGATGGTGAGAACGACTGTAGCGATACAGAAGCATCCGATGAGAAAAACTGCACAGGCACCCAACATTCGAAGCTCATACCGCGTCCGACTACTGATAAAGTGGACTTCGCATCGAACAGTTCGTGTCTGGACTGGATGTTCAGATGCAGCAACGGCAACTGTCTCCCATATTGGTGGAGGTGCGACGGTGTAGATGACTGCAATGATTTCTCCGATGAGATTGGCTGTGGGTCTACGGACACGACTGTAATACCATCTGATCAACATCCCTCGATAAAATGCGGAAAGAACCAGTTCACTTGTTCGCCAGGTCAGTGCAGTTTATGCGTATGATTGCTATTTAGTTATTAATTTATGAATATTCATTTATTAATATAATTGACAACAATTTCTCTCAGACATAAAGACTGATTAATAACGAAAGCTATATAAGTGAATAATTAAAATGGCTAAACTAAACTAATGTTGCCCTACATTAGTTCTTCGGAATGGCGACTCATAAGGGTGTGACACGAAGACGTGATGTGAATATTAATGTGCAGGTGCCAATACCCACTATCGGTTGGGACGTCTACTTACTTACTATTCCAGTTACAATAAAAAAATCAACTGTCGCCCGCATATCATAAAATCGAATTTGATTTGGTACCAGGCGTGTGCATACCGCTGTCGTGGGTGTGCGACTCGGTCGCGGACTGCGCTGACGGCGCGGACGAGCAGCCGGCCAGCTGCGAGCGGCGCACGGGGGGTGCGGGGGGTGCGGGCGGCGCGGGGGGCGCGGCCTGCGCGGCCGACGCGGCGCCCTGCGGCGACGGACGAGGTTGCGTACGAGACGAGCAGCTGTGCGACGGCGTGCTTCACTGTGCAGATGGCAGCGACGAGCTGCACTGCGGGCCCGTCTCGGTACGTACACTTCAGTGGGCGGTCACATGTGCGACCAGCTGGACCTTATAATATACTTTAAGATTTTCTTAATGTTTAGTAAACTATTTGGTCTTATAATTGTAGCGCAGAGGTTAGGAGGGATGAGGTGCATCGCCGTAGCGTTATTTATTTATTTTAAAAAATGATTTGATGAGGTGTCGCTACATTACATTTTTTTTGTAGTGTCTAGTTAGTGAGTATACCGGTGAAATAATTGTTTACTTATAAATGTACAATAAATACCTATTTATTGTACATTTATACTAGAATCTGTCCCGAGTGTTGATAGAAATATTACAAGTGTAGGTACATAATCAATATTTAAGTTAATCACGTCGCCAAAAGAAATTCCCCTTATCAATTATAGCTAAATATGTGTTCACTTTTATCTATGCATCCAACGCACCGCTACCACGGGCTAAGTTGGCGGTGCTGCTATTGGCGATCGTCGGCAGAAATACTTACCGGCTTTACTTATAATGTCACCATTCAAATTTAATTAATATCTACTGTCTTTCAGAACAATTTATAATTTATATATCTTAATCACAGAGTACGAGTTTCATTAGTGGTATCCAGGACTATACGCTTCTATAATTTTTATGAATATGTTTAGAAACCTCCAACGAGCTGTCCGAGCGACACGCAGGCTTGCGACGGCGGCGCTACGTGTGTGGGGCGCGCGGCACTGTGCGACGGCCGCGCTGACTGCCGCGACGGTAGCGACGAGCTCGACTGCCCCGCCGGCCGCCCTCCACCCGCGTACCAGGTACGTGCGGCAGTAGCGTCTACGACTTCCGGCTGGACTGCTGCCCGGCACTAATTTAGCCATTGCTGTGATGTTCACTGCCTCAGAAACTGAACAAGGGACATGGAGTAGATATTTAATTGTTAGTCGGCAGTAAGATCGATGCGCGCCTGCCTATTAATCTTTCGAGTTTCGGTTTGTATAAGCACGAGGTTGATCATCGCCAACTTTGTAGTCTGAATAATTGTGTTTGTAGTATTTGTGCGATATATAATTTAAATGCTCGTTATTAATTAGTAAGGATTCCTCCTTTAACTTTTGTCTTCTATTTTGTCTATTTCGTTAAAAGTATAATTTTAATTAAATAAAATATTTCAGTTCCTAAGTCTTGGCGTGGACCAGTCGACAATAAACTCCACCAGTTTCCTGATATCGTGTTGGATGGCCCAGCAGAAACTAGTTAAATACAGCTTCTTACCTTCAATATCTAAAGTCGAAGACGGTATTTGGCATAATATGACTTGGACAAACGATAGCATATATAGGTATGTTTAAAATATAATATATTTTTGCAAAGCAAAAGTCATCTGCACTTAAAACTTAAAAGGTATATAACATGCTTTTAAAAGAGCAACAGGCAAGTTTCTTGCTTATTCTTGACTGAATCTATATTCCGAATGTTTATGAATAAACTTATTTAAATTCTAATCAAATATAAATGTACTATAAGAAGTTAAACCAATGTTCACATTATGATTGATAATATTGTTATTGTTTTAAAGGTTCACAAATTTGGAGCCATACACGAATTACAACGTCACATTCTACATCCAAGACAGCAAATCTAATACAACATATGCATCGCTCAAGTTCGTGAACATGACTACTGGTGAAGGAGGTGAGATATCTTTACTTAAACTAATATACAATAAATAATATAAAATAGATTAAAAAGTACAATTTTGTACATAGTTTACTAGGAGTACTTAAGTTATGTATGGAAGGCTTTAACATACTCTGGATGCACAGTCTTTAATTAGTTATCGAGAATGACATTGGCACTTCAATGTAAAATAAGTCTTATCAATATAAGGTTCATATCTCCATGTATAATACCATCACCCCGGGACGCGAATAAGTGAGCCTGATAGTGGGGAGTCTCGTTAACGTACGCTGGGGCGCACATATAGTCCTTAATTGGTGATCGATAGTTGATTATACCACTACCTCTCCAATGTAAATTAAGTGTTGTGTATGTATAGATAAGGTTTATATTTCCGTGTGCAGTACCATCACCTCCGGGACGTGTGTCAGTGAGTCAGTTAGTGGGCAGTCGGGTTAACGTACGCTGGGATGCACCGCTTGAGCCACGTGGCCGCATACAGCGCTACTCGCTGTACTACGCACCGCCACTACCTCCTATACAACACGATATACCGGCCGACCAACTGTCCATTAATATAAGGGGCTACTTCAGACCAAATATTACTTATACCTTCTGGGTAAGTTAACTTTGCATATTAATGTTTTCCTTATAATGTATGTGTTAAAGTAAAAATTAAATACTAATCTAGGATATTATTGGTTTCATTTGCAAGTCAAACAGTTTTCACCCAGTTCGGTCAGCTATTTCAGTTAAGAAAAACTGGCAAAAACTTAACTGGCATATTTATTGTTACTTCTTTTAATCTGTTTCAGTCTTTTAATAAATAGCATTATCAAATAGTGTATGTTTAACATATTTTACGGCTTCAGGGGTCTAGCGGTTTAGCATATATTTTTTGTAAATACATAAAATACATTGAAAACATCAAGACCTAGAATACAAACAATCATACTCGTGGTGTGCGAAATTGAAAGACAACCTAGATCGATTTGCTAAAATAATTTATGATCGGTACTAGGTGACGGCGACGAACGGCGCGTCGTCGTCGGCGTCGTCGACGCTGATGAACATAACGTTCGAGGAGCCCGGCGACGTGGACTCGCTCGCCAACGTGAGCGTGGCGCGGCCGACGGCGCACGAGGCGGAGCTGCGCTGGCACCGCATCCGCGGCGTCGACGGCTACCTGCTGCAGCTGCGCCTGCCCGCCAACTACGCGCGCCGCCGCCCGCTGCGCACGCAGGACGACCACGCCACCAGTAACTATCCCACACCTGATGTACTGTCCACGTGCCCACGTGGGCGTGGAGCTGCGCTGGCACCGCATCCGCGGCGTCGACGGCTACCTGCTGCAGCTGCGCCTGCCCGCCAACTACGCGCGCCGCCGCCCGCTGCGCACGCAGGACGACCACGCCACCAGTAACTATCCCACACCTGATGTACTGTCCACGTGCCCACGTGGGCGTGGAGCTGCGCTGGCACCGCATCCGCGGCGTCGACGGCTACCTGCTGCAGCTGCGCCTGCCCGCCAACTACGCGCGCCGCCGCCCGCTGCGCACGCAGGACGACCACGCCACCAGTAACTATCCCACACCTGATGTACTGTCCACGTGCCCACGTGGGCGTGGAGCTGCGCTGGCACCGCATCCGCGGCGTCGACGGCTACCTGCTGCAGCTGCGCCTGCCCGCCAACTACGCGCGCCGCTACTCCTACACGCTAATATATACTTACTCGTAAAGGAAAAAAGTCCAATCTTCAATGGCGGACACTCAAATTCAAATTCAAATTTAAAAATCATTATTCATGTAGGACATTTTAACCGCTTATCAACGTCAAGTTTTACATTATAATTTTATTTCTTTTCCCTACCGTCCAGAGATAAATGTAAACGCCTTGATAAAAAAGTGCCAATGCCTTCATAAAACGATGGAGAAGACCCGAGATTCATTTATTATTTCAGCCACCACGCAACTGGCCTTGTAATATATGTTTCAGTTAAAAGGTGAAGTAAAGCAGAAAAAAATATTTTTTTGACATAAAAGTAGTACGTAGAAAACATTATCTTATTAAAGTTATCCCGTTTTCAATTTTAATCTGTATACCCATGCAAATACACAATATAGCAATGCATAAGGGATATGACGGGTGTTATGTGAAAATGTGATATAAAAACACAGTTGAACTCGGTACTTGGCGTTGCTTTGTCTCTGGGCAGGTCAATGTCTGGATCGGCTAGTTATAATATTGTACTATACATATAAATATTTTTTAATTTACAGTAAAGAATCTACCCCCTGGTGTGGATCTATTCATTGACATAAGGGCGTACAAAAACAACGTCTACGGAGATCCATTCACGATACCTCTGCATACTGCTGGAATGCCCGACGAGACACTGAACTTGACTGCAATCCTGCTGAAAGATGTAGGCACTTCTGTACAGTTGTCGTGGTCGGCGCCGCTCGGTGACAGATATAAGAACCAGACTGTACAATACGAATTACATTATATTAAGGCGATGCAACGATTAACGCCAGGAGTTAGTAACGGTATGTTATTATATTTATATATAAAATTAATAATTATATAGTTTTTTATATTTTTTATATAACGACCTCGATGATCTAGCGGTTTAACGTACCGCTTTGCTTGAGGAATCGAACCCGTGACGGGATCGATTCCTCGTACTGTACAAAGTGTTGTATTTATGAATATGTTTATTTGCATCGGTCTGGGTGCTTTCTATGTGTATTATATATATATTTAATTGTATCAATTATCTAGTACACATAACACAAGCTCTGCAAGATGACGTGTGAATTGTCCAAGAAAATAAAAAAAAAATTGTTTATTTGTAACGTCATAACAATACAATAAAAGTGTTTTACACGCAAATATTCATATTATCATATTATACATAGGCTATGTCATACGCGGATAACGCTGCGAGATTACGCTAGTGCTGAATACACTATAAATATATAATTATTCTCATAATAGTGGTATAAAAAGGAGAAAGACCTGCATAAGAGGTTAAAAATTGTCTATATAGTAGTTATTGTATTTCTTTTTTTACAGATACACAAATAGTAACGACAAATCTTTCGGCGACTGTGGAGGGATTGAGCCCGTGTGAAAGCTACATTTTTGCAGTCGGTCTAGTTGGTGGACCATTGTCTAAATTTATTGAAATCATTACCAGAGGCAATCCGAAGTAAGTATTGATTTGTTTTGTTTTTTGTAAATCCGCAATCAGAATTGGTTATGAAACTGGGTGGACTATGAAAGCCGCGGTCCAGTGAGTGCATGACTTTTTAAATGATCGACTTTTTAAACTTTGTATAAGAGTTATGAAATCTACAACCTCTCTAACTCCGCTGCCTTCTAGGAAGAGTTTCAGATTTAGTGACATCATATTTTAACCTTCATATTAAAATACGAAATCCTGTAAACACAAGTGTTCAACTGACCAGCTGTGACTGTGTTGGAGGTGGGGATGGGGGTAAAAATACTGAAATTAGTGTTACGTAATTTATGGTTTGTGACTAAGTGTGTAAGATTTGATAGTTAGTGAACTAGTAAATCTTCATAGAAACTGAGATGTTATGGCCTTGAGGTCTGTAAACCATAAACCCTCGATTTAAAATAATTTGTTTGTTCATTTACCAATTCAGAGCACCAGTAAAGAATCTCCATGCTGTCTACAATAAACAAACATCACAACTAGAAATCTACTGGTACGCGAATTGTGACGTTCTTCGGGGACCGGTGGCGTATAGGGTAAGTATTTTAAATAACAGTTTTCATTTATATGTAAAACTAGATGTGCTCGCGGCTTCTCCCGTGTGAAATGTAATGCCTGTTATTCTGATGTATAAGTTATATTACAGTAATGTTTCATTAAAGTCCCATAAGTAGTTTTTGTCTGAACGAGTAACAAATATACATCCTCATCCTCACAAAATTTTGTGTGATTTAACGGAAATCATGTCCAACATAATATGAACACAAAAGGCATAACACGTGTTATATATTAAATATAATGAGTATTAAAACCCACAAATATTCGCAATATATAAATAGGAACAAAAATATAAATATTAATTGCTGTTAATTTTTATGTTCAGTTGGAAATAAAAGACGAGGCGCTGGACAAAACAAGCTATTATGAGTTGAAGCCGAAGAGTGAAATCAATGTACGTCATGTGTTTGAAAATGTCGCTGTTGGCGGCAAATACAATATCTGCGTGACAGTAAGTACACTATGTAATTAAATTACCTCTCATATCTCACATAACTCTTTGGTCTATTCTACCATCCAGAACTCAAATTGCTATGTAAGCGCAAACCGTTTACATTGCAATTTGCGTTCTATGCGCTAGCTGCTTACATCGTAAATTACGTTCTGGATGTAGGGCGTGATATGACAGTGAAATTACTAATTATATGATAAACTCCTTCGATCGATACCCCGTATAAATCAAACAGGGACCGTAAGCTACTTGGGTCCCTCTCGGCCCGCATCTCAGCACACCTGTGGGGGTTTAAGCCCAAAGTAGGGACATTAGTATTATGCTAACGCGGGGCGAGAGGGAAGGTTGAAAAGAAGAGGAGATGGGAGAGGAAGAAAGGGAAAAGGATAGAGTGGGGTCACGTCGTCGCATGGAAGAACGACTAAATTTCACCCCTCCTTAAGAAGTCAGCACTCCCTGGGAGTTGCGTGTGATGCGGCGCGCGATAAAGGCCTTTGCTTAGGTCCTTACGGACCGCAGGGTTCGGGCCTCGAGCTCGAGCTCTTTGGTATTCGGGGCTGGATTTGGTATTTGGAGTATTGTAAAATGATATGGTGCCAGGCGGGCGAGGGCAGCACGTGGTCGCGGGCGGCGTGCACCCGAGTCCGCTGCGGCGCCATCGCGGCGCCCCGCGCCGTGCTCGCGCTGCTCTCCGACGGGAACCTCATGGTCAGCTGGAAGGATGACGCGCCGCTCGCAGATACGTAAGTCTACCATTATGGCCATACGACTGACTTGATATAGAAGAGCCGTTTATATAATAGTCCAATTGGGTGGGTCGTTATTTGAATTAAATATGAATTTATCAACCTACCAAGCTGAGCTGAGGAGAACTGATAGTTTTTGTTGTAAAGATGTAGAAAATATTTAGACCGATAGCAATCATGAATATACTTGTTTATTTTAATGTAGACCTTAAAAATTAAAATATTTTTACATTAAATTTTTGTTTTCCATGCCAATATAAATAAAGATTGATTTATGTATATTTACTATTAACTTCCAGTCCCAGATACCAAGTAATACTGTCAGAGAAAGAGATACCCGACGACCTGGGTCAGGTGAGCGAGGATATGACGTCAGTGTTCACTGAGAAGTCGCCGTTGATAGTACGCGCGCCCAGCAATGGACCGCTGTATGTAGCGGTGCGCGCCGTCGCCCCCGACGGCCGACAGAGTGATCTCAGCGAAGTGCGCACACTAGCCGTGGAGGGTCAGTATTGTGTCGTTTTTAATAATAAAATAGTTTCATATTTCATTTACTACTTAATAAGAGGCGTTCATAAATTAGGTCAAATTTTAAAGGGTCGAGGATGGTCAAAATTTGTCTATTGTATTTATATAGTCATTTGCATTCCATAACGTTACAATATGGGTTAATATTATATTATATAACAGCAGTAATTCTTCCAAACGTGACATTTTTAACAATGTATTGGAGGAGTTACAGTAAACATTTTGTAAAAAAATATCTTAAAATTGACTTTCATTGGTGTGACGTAATTTGTGTATGACCTTACCTATATATATAAAGTGTATATTGTAATGTAATAGGCGTGGAGAGCACGGAGTCGAGTGCCATGAGCGCTGCGTGGTGGGCGGCGGCGGCGGGCGGCGCGCTGGCGCTCGTCGCGCTCGGGCTCGTCGCGCGACGACGGTACCGCGCCGCCGCCGCGCACACGCCGCGCACGCCGCGCTACGACAGCCGCCGCGGGCAGGCCACGCTCGGCGACCACGGTACGTACCGCGCTACGACAGCCGCCGCGGGCAGGCCACGCTCGGCGACCACGGTACGTACCGCGCTACGACAGCCGCCGCGGGCAGGCCACGCTCGGCGACCACGGTACGTACCGCGCTACGACAGCCGCCGCGGGCAGGCCACGCTCGGCGACCACGGTACGTACCGCGCTACGACAGCCGCCGCGGGCAGGCCACGCTCGGCGACCACGGTACGTACCGCGCTACAACGGCCGCTGCAGGCATTTCACGGTACGGCACTGGGAATTTCCTGTTCAAGTTCAACAAACCTTGACAATCCTTGTAGGAATTTATAAAGTTTCACTTGTACCGGTACTGAGCAACACCCGCTCCTGATTCTATTAAGCGAACACCAAAAACTACTTATTGGGGAGTCGGACTTCCCACACGCGTTATGATTGTAGTTAACCCCTTTTTGTATTAAAGTCCGTTGTGTTAATACTTCATTTGTACTTTCAGATGACGACGACGTACCTCCTATTCAGGGCTTCTCCGACGACGAGCCCCTGGTGATCGCGTGAGCGGCAGTCTTGTGATGTTAACAGTGATCTTGTCATAACCTATAGTATTTTATATTTATTGTTTTATCAACCACGTCAATCTACGTTCTCGGCATTTCTATATTTAAATCTACGAACAGGTCTATATATAATAAATAGTCTTTTGTGGTTACTCATAGTCTGGTACTAATACTGAAATTTAAATTTAGTGGATAATTTTAGATGTCGTTTAAATAATTCTAAATATGTCATTTGGAAGGAATCAAACGTAAATGTTAAATAAGAAGTACATTAATACTTTCGGCTGGTTCGTAAAGTATACTTTATTATTGTTTTGTTTATGACTTTATGTATATGTCATTAGAGTCTAATTTAAATGTGTAGTTGTATGTGCACTCTTACGCCGAGATCGTAAATTACTTTTAATATATATAAAATTTCATTGCATTGCCAGTCATTTATCTATTAGTCACAAACGAAATTTATGTGAAAGAAATTGTATTTTAAGTTTTGTTTTGTTTTATAAAATATGACGACTGCGATGCTTATATGTTAGTTCGTAACTTTATGTTGATACTGTTTATAAACGCGCTCAGAGTATTATTATGTAATGAATCATTATGTTTAGTTAGAATGCATGACGTATTTCATATTTAGAGACAGGGTTGCATAAAATTTCGCTCGGGAAGCTACATTCACGCTAGCAGTATTATAGTTATGTTTTAACGTCATTTCATGAAAACGCTATTGTTCCGTTATATAAATAGATAGTTAAATACCGAAATTAATAAAGCTTAATATAGACTCCACATTCTAAACACAAGAACAAACGCACATATACTCACATAGTCACACACTTGTATTACATGTAATCCAAGCACATTGACATGTTGCTGTTCGCTCGCTATATTTTACCAATTCTTCACATTTTAAATCCTTTGCTTTCTAGTAAATAATTTTACAACTATTGTTACGTTGTCTCATTAATATTTTTAGGCACACAACTTGCTGAACCCAATGTTACAATTTAGATGGCTTTTGAGCGAAAATCCGTGCTGACCCATATACGACATCGGAACGCGTTTTTAAACCAAAAAAGTTGACGTTATTTTGGCTGTAAATCGTAAGACTTGTTATGTTACGTTAGATTTTATAGTGCTTGCTCATTTTTATATGTTTTATTATTGTAGATAAACAGTATGTACCTCAACTATCTCTTCTTTAATTAATGTTAAACACCAAAGATGGTATATAAATCTATGTGCATGATGAGTACAAGTATTTTATTTTTTTACAGTTGTATACAGACGTATATGTTATATAAACGTGATATTTATCATGATATTGTTAAAGCTCTCGATATTTCGATGCTGTTATAAACGTCCTGGTCACAAGTCAACTGGAGATGACTGGTGCGTCGTAATATTGGGAGTTCTTTATCATAGTAAATATCTCGTTTATATAACGTATGCAATAAGTACAATTGTTACAACCTACTACATGTAGAGACTATGTTGAAAATTATGTGCATAAATTTATCAAGTGTTATAGGATCTCCACATTCCCGTTATATTTGAGAATAGGTTAAGTGTTTAGTTCCTATAACCAAATTAGCAGAGCCGCGTTATAAAAAAGTGATAGTGTATTATTAAATTTATTATGTTGTGGATTGATAAGTACATGCGTAAATATAAACTATAAAAAATAAAACTATAATTATAAAATGTTTGTTATTTTTTATTTAACTAATAGTAAATACAAGCCTTATCCCGCAGTAAAAATTAAAACCTACGTATCCATTTAATCCAGTATATGATTTTATCAATTTCTACTTAAAAAACGAGGTGGAAATAAAAATTACGGAATAGTTTAAGAGTTAAAATAGTTTTATTAGTGTTTTAGAGTTATTATTTGTCTATATAAAATATATTTATGGTATCAAAACTACATAACTATTGGAGCACCAGTTCACGAAGAGTCAACATATAAATGTATATAAGCTGGGCCAGTTCAGAAGGAATCAATCATGATGGTTTCCAGGAGGAAATGGAAGTACAGAAGAACCTTGGACGAATGGTGGTCGACCTGACCGAAAAGCGCGTGGTTAGCCAATGTTCCCTACATTGCCTAAATTTTGCCACTCACCACCACATTGTGGAATTTTTGCTGTATTTCCGAACAGACACGTTATAGAAACCTTCATGTAAAGAGCTAATTCTCCTTCCTAAAAGGCAGGCAACGCGCTTGCAATTTCTTTGGTGTTGCAGCGGCAATCATTTACCATCATGTGAGCAAGCGCGTATTTTCTCTATGCTATAAAAAATGCTAATAATATGGTCACTAGTAACCATTACCGACAATCTCCCTCCAATATAGCTAGCTATATTTAAAATTGGTTTACCATTTTACTGATCGATCAAACGGTTTAATCTTAACAACTAGTCTATTTTCAGCCGAACAGGGATTCTAATGTCCGTATCGCCCACTCGTAGACAGGCAACATTATAAGCACAGTGTCTCGCCACACTGCCACGCCTACGATAGTGTAACGTCCTTCCATATTGCATATCAACGGACCGCCAATTCCTGTCTGACGAATAAAAAGCAATTAACATTGATAAAAACAACTTTATACGTTACTGACGTTTCGTGTTATTAATTAGATAAAAAATTAATAGTCAATTATCTACTACTGTGGATAATTGACCAACAATATAATCATTATTACCTACATACACATTACATTTCAGTTAAATAAATTCCCTTTGAATTCCTTTTTTTTTAATTATTAAGGGACTGACATTGTTTTTGAACCTGTATATTAAAAATCAGTATTTGAGATATCACACACAAAAACATGCATACTCGCTCAAGCCCTCACACATACGCATAACCGAATTCACGCTTGTACGCACTTGTGTATGTATGCATGTATTTATACACAATGCACAGAATAAAAAAAATAAGAACTTACCACAGTACCTCGTGCTTGTACAGAAGCACAAAAGACCTCGTTTGAAAGATTCAATCTTGCTTTATCGGACGAAAATCGCGCACGGCATTCTTGTGGCCTCAAAATGGAAGCCCGTTGCCAACGTGAGAGGGTACGAATTGCTAATGGAATATAAAGGTTTATCAATTATATCGTATATAGATAAATAAAATTAGAGTGTCTGTTTGTAATATTGAAATAACCGTTTTTTACTACATGTATATGAATATAAATACGGTACATACACCAAAAGAACATTTTTTTATAATTTTTGTCTGTCTGTCTGTCGGTCTGTTTGTTCCGGCTAATCTCTGAAATGGCTGGACCGATTTAGTCGGGACTTTTTTTGGCAGGTAGCTGATATAATAAAGAGTAACTTAGGCTACTTTTATTTTAGAAAAATAAAATAAAATTTCACGCGGACGAAGACACGGGAACAGCTAGTCTATACATATAAATAAAATTGGAGTGTCTGTTTGTAATATTGAAATAACCATTTTTGACTACATGCATATGAATATATGCATCTCTGAAATGGCTGGACCGATTTTGACGGGACTTTTTTGTCAGGTAGCTGATGTAATAAGGAGTAACTTAGGCCACTTTTGTTTTAGAAAAAAATCTTTTATTTTATAAAAATATAGTTAAATTCCAAGCAGACGAAGTCGAGGGAACAGCTGGTTGTATAATAAAACAAGCTTACGTCCAATCTTTACGGGTTCGATTCCTCGTATGATACAAACATTTGTATTCATGAATATAATTGTTTGTAGGTGTTTCTAGGCATGCTAGGTACAGTAACACTCTTTCAATTATTTAGTAACAATAAAACAAAGCCTGCGTAGTTTGCACGGTTAAGATAATATTACATAGTTTGAGACTATATGGTGCTATGAAAATTCTCACGCTGCTCAGCTTTAACTTTATTACCTTGATCCTACATACAAAAATTAACATTAACGGCCTCCTAGATGCTATACGGCCTCCTAGAAGAACAATCTAATGTAAACGCGAACTTTTATACCTGATTACTGATTTGACTAACTGGCTTTTTCTTAAGGCCTTGTTGGTGCAGCAGTTTATGGCGCGTTCTTGTGGTTGTTCTTTAGATGAGAGTGGGTTCGATTCAAGTTCATTAAAACATTTTAATATATACCTAATATTATATATAATTATGTTAATATGACGATTAACAGTATTGGTTGTTTTTTATATTATGTGTATTTATAGTTGTTAAATAGATACTTATAGTTCAAACTCTACCAAATATGCAACTAGATGGCGTGATATTTCCATGTGTATTTATCTATTAATTTATGACTTACCTTGATCAAATCCGCCCCATCCGAATATTTTACAGTCATGGTCAGAGCGTGAGTCTCCGAGACAAGCCGGCTGCACATTGGTATTTAAACGCAAAGGTTGCGTCCAATGCTGAAATATAGTAATTTTTTTTTTATAAATGGTATATTTTGTATGATTTATTATTTTTTCTATATATGCCACTCCTATTTAATACGGATATTAGAGTAATAGAGGATACCATAAGCTACACATGACGTGATCTATTATAATGCTGTGTATGATTCCTTCAGCCTGATCAGGGTGATTGTGTTCGGTCTAGTTATAACAACTTTTTTTGTAAATTGATAGCTCGCCTAATGAAAAGTAGCAACCCTCGTATATATACAGTAACAGTATCACAGATCTTTGGGATGTTAGCGGAATTATGTAACCATCTTAAGGACCAAGATGTTATGACTTAGTATCCTGTAATTACACTGCCTTATCTCGCTCCTCAACCGAAACATCTTACAAAGCAGCTCCTTGGCGGCTGAAGTAAGTAAGACCAGGTGGGACCAGACCAGAGATATAGTTACCAGACGATAAAGTCTATCTTAGTAACCGTTCCTGTTAAATGGGGATTGGTGATTAACAGTACGTACCATTAATGCAATATTGTGGTTTAAATCATCAGGTTTATATTGGGGATGTATAATTGAAGTAGTGACTCGATTTTGCGCACGTGATCTGTCTTTTAAGTCCCATACTCCTGTAACTATAGTAATATCCCCAGATTTTCTTCTGCAAAAATATGTCAAAGAATTAATCATATCAAAATTAATGTAGGTAAACCTATTTACATTTAAAAATAATATATACATAGATAATAAACAAATATGAGTGTACCATATATTTCACTAATAAAATTATTATGGTTGAAGGGTAAGATGATGCAGTGAAACCTTCAATCCTAAATTCCATTGCCCCTTTTTGAGAGGCTTGACATCTTAGTCTACCGGAATGGCAACCCAAGAGTGGTGTCGCGGACTTCACATGATAACGTGATGTCCGTATTGCTATTCATATAATCGGCGACATCGTTGTCAATTACATGAACAGCGACCACTTACCGTCAGGTGGTGATTGTAATTCTAATTACATAAATAAATTCTATCTCTTTGTACCTACTAATTACCTACTTAATACTAATTAGTAAAGGTAACAGTACCTACATACGAAATCTGAATTTCGTATGTAGGTACTGTTACCTTTACAATTCTCTGGTCCGTATCAATGACTACTGTATTTTTCGTTCAGGTTCCTTTTCCCTCACGCATATTGTACGAGTAGCAGAAGTTTTTTGTTTGAAAAATAAATAATGCGAATGTGCAGATTCAATGTTTCAATGCTGAATGCTTTATTTGAATTATTATTGTGATTTTGAATATTCATGATTATTGTTTCTGTATGAAATAAATGTTTTGTTTAATTATCTGCTCTTTTTAAAGATTTAATCTCTTGAAGTACGTCCTTTGTGATACAAACTATTTTGACATAAAACTTAACGATCTGTATAAACGTTAAGTCATCCAAAGGCAACTGATAGAAATACATGCAGACATTTTCGAATTTATAATATTCTTATTTGTTAACTAGAGCATAACTTGAGGAAGTTGATTTACTTATACCTACTTGCTGTTTATTATTATTAATCTATGGTTTTAACACCAAATGCATATTTTTCTCTCTTTCTTTATATAATATTAAGAAAACAATTTTTATTTACATGTAAACTAGCATTGCCTGCGACATCTTCTACGTCATAAAAATTGACTTGAGATAGCCCACATCTTACGCTATCTAAACGCGACTTCACTGAGTAATAAATAAACTTACTTTCGTATTAATAATATTAGTTGGATTGCTAAAAAATTTTGAAGTTACAAATCATAGAGTACCTATAGACACAATCCGCTGAGGTTATGGCAGCTCGAGGATGAATAATAGAAGCGTAGCATAGAATTCCCTGTCGTTGCTTTGTAAGAACTACCAAAGCGAGCCAAGGATGTGAACCATTCTCGGCGTTTCCCATATGTTGTTCTAGAACAATACAAAAAAAGAATCAGAAACCACTAAAGACTGCTTGGACATATCGTATGTTCGTTTTATAACATTGTTAAAAGATTTTATAATCACTTTATTGTATCAATATTAATTAAAGTAGACACTCATAAATAGACAATTGATGTGACTCAGGACATGTTATCATATTTTGAATTTATAAATTATTTTTTTACACATATGTGACATTTGATATAATAAAGATAACTCTGATAGTAGTCATCTAAGCAGAGTCCCAAGTTAAGCAGAGCTTGTGTTATAGATACTAGACCATTGATCCATACATTTTTTTACTATGCGTACATAATATATAAATACCCAGACCAGGGGGAGGGGATTGTTAGTAATGTGGACTGATGATCCCATTGCTAGCAATGTACCATGTCAGGTTGACCTCCACATGGTTCCCCTTGGAAACCATCGTGATAAATTCCCGTTGAATTTACCTGGGCTAACTGACCTGACTTCGTGTTCATCCTATCATCCTCCACTAGTGCCCCACCAGCGTAAACCATTAGCGCAGGCGGGTGCATCATTCCATTATCATACACAAAAAAAATACCAGACTGACAAAAATAATCATACTCAGGAATACAAATGTTTGTGTTTGTTTGTGTGAGAAATCAAACCCGCGACCACCGGCGGTGTGCTAAACCGCCAGATCACCGAGTCTGTGGCTAAATATATGTATATTAATTCGAAAATGACAACGAAACGTGTAATTATACCGAGAAATGTCATGTTGGTAGGTTCGTCCCGCTAGCTCGTGATTGCTGGGTTAAATGAGATTAAATCGAGTGTATGATCATCAGAATGGAAAGAGACGACAAAATGTCTATGATTATTCATGTGGGGCATTATATGTTTGTTTAGTCGACCTATTTTCGTTTATGCATATACCATTTTATTCTAAATTTAGATATTCGTATCGTTAACAGATTTAAAGAGGACAATTTCAATTTTATATTTTTATGTGTATGAATGTTATGTTACATATGTATGTACTTCCGTCAATTGTAAAAGAGTATGAGATTTTTTTTGTAATTATTACTGATTCACCACTTATAATTTTTTTATTAAATCTAAGTCAGAAATTCATATTGCAACACACTCGACCACTTATGCACGAAATAACTTTTTATTTTAGGTAATATATTAGATATATTTAGAAATGTCTCAACTTTAATATTTTTTGTGTCATTAATTTTTTGTGGACAGAATATTAACTGCAATATTGATAAAAAATAGAAAAAAAAACTATTTTTGAATGAAAGATAATTCATGTTAGGCGCCGTGTCATAGACTATGTGTAAATTTTCGTTATGATCCCTATAGTCATGACAGACAGACATTCTTTTAGATTTATAATACTACATTGTATAAGTAAATAGTAAGTAATGTTACATATTACATGAACTTTGGTTTCACATAAAAAGTATTAATATTGACTATTTACCATTTAAATCGTTAAGCGTAATTAACACTTTTCCACAACTCTTGAACTTTTGCCTCTGTATAAAATCCGCATTGCCATTATCCGTGTTAGACTCTATAATTAACGATTCTTCGCTAACTTTGTCGACGAAACTCTCAGTCGTACTTTTTTTCAGATTGTTTGAGTAAAACTTGTTTTTATTTCTGGCTAAATTTAGGAGTTTGAAACCTTGTAACACTTGGAAATCGGGATTAGATTGGTAACTGACAGTTTGACTTTCAGGGTTATATTGGGGTTCGTTTGGTGTTGAAATTTTTAGTGGTTTTCCACGTTTGGGAATACTCGCTGAAGTACCTGAAATGGTGAAATAAAGAATGAAGTCATTTATTATATAGAATTTTTTGAATAATAATAATGTCATACTTACTTCGTCTTGGATCTATAGTACTAGAATAACCAGGCTCATCATCATATTCATAGTCGTCGACAGAGTCTTCATAAGATGGCCTATTATTATAATTAGTCCAACCAAAAGGACGTCCATCGTCATGATATATCCCTAAAAGTCCAGGTTTTGGTAATTCTACAATATAATCTTCCACGTTATCCTCATTATGACAATTATTTTTTAAGTTTACGGGTTTCATTGAAGTGTTTGGATATTTTGGGCGTCTGTTCTTTATATTCCAATACGGATCCTCGTAATCATCATCTATGAGAATTTTTCTTTGCTGTTTGTTTTTTTTAATATTAGTAAATTGTGTATATTTATGTCGTAATAAAAAGTTTTTTTGGTTTAATGCTTCATTTGCACTGTCTTTAGCAGATCTTTTATTTCGTTTGTTATGTCTTGAAGTTGTGTCGGGAAATATAATTTTTGATGGGCCTTGATTCAATGGCAATATACAACAGATCAATTGGAAGTCGTTTTCAGATTTATTTAGGCTGAAAAATGATTGTATTAAATAATAATTTATTTGTACAATGCATTAATTAAAAAAATAAAGTTAAAATATAACAAAGTAGTATAATCTACTCGCTTTTTTTTAGAATAATTATATGGATACGTACGTTCGTTTATAAATGAGTCCATTTTTGCGGTAACATTCATTTTTCTTCATATATGAGCAGATATTTTCCGTGTACGGTACTATTTTATTGTTTGTATTGAATTGTATGTCATCAGATATGTTTCTATTAGCCTTTTCTGGCATGGAAACCATTGGCATTTTCTTTTTGTCGAGCACATTTTTCCATACATTTTTTTCTTCAGGAAAGTGAAAGTTAAGCTCATCGTTATTTTTTGATTCATTACTAACTGTGAATATGGTGGTATTCAGTTTGAGATTTTTCTTGTACTTATCATCACTGGGCCAAAATATTGTATTTTCATTCTTAAAATTATTATCTATTTTCCACTTTTCATTTTTTGTTATATTTTTATTTTCAATCGTCGGTATTATTGGTTTCCAGCTTTCGTCGTAATTATCTTTGAATACAATTTTATCTGACTCATCAGTATCAAATTCACTTATATCTTCAAATTTGGGTGGTGGAGCTTCCTTTCCTTTTAACTTGGCCACTTTATCATTCAACCACCAAAACTCACCACTTATTTGAGCTAATGAAATTTTTGTGGCAAATACCAAAAATATGAATGCGTGCATTATGTTAATTTTGCGTGCACCTTTCACATATGTATTATAATAACTATTAATTTTGCAGGATGTTGCATCGAGAGCGTCTATTGTTATGGGTTCACCATCAATTTTGCGTACGATTATGCTTTGTGAACAAACCGTGTTCACGTACGTCCTGTGGAATATGACTACAACTTGCGGCGAATTGGTCGCTTTTATGACGGTACGGTCAGTGTAAAAATGATAACAAAAATTATTAAGGATACTTTGATATTAAATGTAATTACTAGTAATATTTATTTTATATCAATTTATATTAAACTCTAATATATTTTTAGTGCCTATTTTGTTACTATTAAGTTGGGATATAGAGTATATAAGAGATAACAGCATTAAGAAGCAACGTAAATTTATAATTATGTATCATCTTGTAATACAAATTAATTTTAGTACTAATTTCATTAAAATCTTAGCTAACTAACAGACGGTTAAAACAGACAGAAACACTAATTATTTTATTAATATTAAAATGGATAGTTTCAGTCTATTTTATTTTATAGATTGAATTTAGATATTAGATTAACTTTTGTACGTTGCCTCTCGTCCTCTTGATAAATACGAGAAATACCATATTAGTGTTAATCTTCTCTTATTTTATCGATGAATTCCCGTGAAAAGTTTTATATTTATAACCATTTTCACTTCATGTCTAATCTCTAGCAAATTAATAATACTATTGAATTACATACATATTCATATAGTATGCGTAAATTATCATGTAGTAATAAAAAAAAAATATCTTGCTTACGTATTCGATATTAGTATCTCGTGCAAGTTTCGCCCAGCACCTCATAATTTTGTGAGATTGTATTTCTGAAATAATATAAGTACATACGTGAAGCTGTTATAGAATTTCCCAATTAGTTGCCGTGCTGCTGGAGTTTAAATTCCTCGTAAATTGGTTTTTATAAATTACCTTATGATTTTAAATTATTTCTTTTTATTATTATTATGATGATATAATGAAAGTTCTCAACCAAATATAATAACGAAATAAATTTTTTATGCTGTTTATCCATTTACTATAATGCAGACTATTACAAAATTAGTTTGTGCAGAGATATGAATCATAAAACGGTGTTCTATATAAATAGTATACTGATTACCTATTTACAAGAAAACAATGTTTAATAAAGCAAATAAATGCAACCTTGACACAAATATTAAAGTAGGTCAGTAATAAATAGTTGTTTATAATTGTAATAACAACATTTACCTGAATTAATTATTTTAGTATTCTAGGAGTTAGAATAATATTTCTAATTAATAAAGTGAATTTTAATTGCCGTTATGGAATTAAATGAAAATATAGTTCAAATCAAAGAATCATCTACATCATCAATAATTATATATTTATATATATGTATTCAAACAAAAAATAAAATTAAGTTCTTTGTCATTATGTCTCGTTTTAACCAGTTAGCTACGAGAACGGAGAAATATTTTTTTTGTTTATACAAATATTGATCAGGCTATGAATTTGTTGAAGAGATGAGGCAATATTTTGGTAATACAGGAAGGATCAACAAATATTTTATGACTTTATTCTTTATTAAGAATTAATACATTAACAGTAAAAAAGATCCTACTACTCTAAATCCATAATTGTTGAAATAACAAGAAACAGACTGTGACCGCAGTAAGGAAATCTCGAATTTGTGTATACGGTACCTAATTCATTAATTGAAATTAAAGGTTGCTATAAGATTAATTCAACAGGAAGTGAAGTACAGATTATTTCTGTTCTTTTACATAATATATAATATGCATGGTACCTACTTTTGACCTTTCTGATATTCCTTATCCGCGTAATTACTTTTATAATTGTATATAAACACGTGTATTTGTCGATTTGGGTCGCAAACAAATTGCGTTTCATTTAAAATAACTCGTAGGAGGTACTGATTTTTCCGTGCGTAGATACATATATCTACTCGTAGTTATGGATATGTAATAAGTAAGAGATGCATATTCCTATATGGATGGAGACATTTGGAATTAAGTACGCTGCTTTTCAGAAACCTAGATTGAAACTTAAGTTTATCAGCGCCATGTACTCCCAAGTTAAGCAGACCTTGTATTATGGGTATATAACTAGATTGTTATAAATATGTACATAGATATTTTTTTAAATACATACATAGAAAACACCCAGACTGATCAGTCATACTCATGAATACAAACGTTTGTGCCATGCAAGGAATTGAATTCGTTACTATCGGAGGTAAAGCGGTGTGTTAAACCGCTAGACCGCCCAGGCTGTCTATAAAAGCTGCATTGTCGCTAAATTCATGATAATATATATTATATATGAAAAGGTAATAAACAAAGAGACAGACCTACTTTCAAATTTCTGATGTTAGATGGATAATATGGGTACTATAACAGATAATATACATGTTATAATTACATCTGTACATAATATGAATTATTCATAGAGAAGCGAGAATACTGAAACCATGTTACACAAGTAAGTGAACTTAATTTAATTAAAATGTTAAAGTGTTTAGTAAGTTAAATGATAGGGACCAATACATTATTATTAGTATTTAGGTAAAAGTGCAAAAGATTATTATATCACAAAGTGCAATATAAAAGCAGGCCTACTTACAATACCCAATGTCAAGTATAAAACATGATTCTTTGTTCTTTATACTCTTTTTTTTAATATATATTTGACGTTTTATTTACATTTTATTCCATACATACTAACAATTATTCTTTGCACTACCTAGTAGAAATTAACGCATGGTGTTAATAAATTAGCGAAGCCCGCAAACGTTGTTTTGCTATATTAATTATAATCGCTATTAAATAATAGTGGTTGGTGATAGAGGGATGAAAATTTAGAGGGTTGCATGTTTTTTTAAAGACTCTTTATAAAAGAAAATCCAAAAATAAAATAAAAATTTTAGAAGTGAACAACCCTTATCACTTAGAGGTATAAAAAATAGATAGTAGCCGATTCTCAAACCTACTGATATGCATTTAAAATTTCGGTCCGTTTCGGAGAAGTATGGTAACTAACATTTTGACACGAGAATTTTATATAGAAGATGAATAAAATTTGTGCAAATTTCTATAGAAAATTTAACAAAAAGAAAGAACGTTTTTTAATGCAAAAACAATGTTGCGAGATTCTCTCAAATATCGGAATAGTATTCGGATGCTGTGCATTCGACCGAGTGAGATTTGTGTGGGAGAGTCGCGTGAGAACATCTCGGGAAAATGGCTACCTAGCTCGCCGAAGTTGGCGAAGTCTGTATTTTATGCGCCACGACCGTCCGGCAGCGTTCCAAATTCTTTTGTTACTTACATTTTCCTACTTCGAATTATGTGTTCCATTCAGAGTAATTGATATAATAAAACGAAAATAGAAAATAAGAAAAAGTACGCAATATTCAAACAATATCGACTAGATGATTAAATGATTCAACATTATTACTGTAATAATTACTAATATTGATATTGAGTGATATAGTTTTTAGTAATGTGATAATAACCCCGTTGCTAGCAATGTATCAGGTTGCGCGCGGTTCCCTCTTGATAAATTCCTGGTGAATTTGTCTCGATGGGCTGACTGATCTCACCTCATGACTATCTATCTACTACTATCCTATATTGCCGCTCCACCAGCTTAAATCATTGTTCACAGGTGGGTGCAACAAATCAACATCAAGAATTAAAACATTATCTCACCTCATAAAGGATAACAATCGTGACGGCGCAGCGTGTATATAAATATTTATTTTCTATTATTTATTAATTGTATATATTTGTACAGGTACAATGACAAGATATGACGATAAAATAAACAAATATGGCTTGATTATAATTTACGCAATCATAAATATTGTGGAGGCGAGAATAAAAGCTTCATTTCGAGTCTTTATTTTTGAAATGCTTGCTGAGTCTAGAATTACATTTATGCACATTAATCTGGATTTACGGTACATTTCCCGCTTTCACAGACCGTATTAGTCACTCGTATTAAATTCAAGAGGCACATTTATTTATTTTACACCGAGGTTCTAAATTATTTACACCTTATTTACCAATTACGAAGGATAAAACCTCAATAGATTATACGAGAACATTATTTCAAATGTGTAGCATTTTAATACTAAAAATAATTAAACTTTTTTTTATTTTCAGGTAATTTAAGGTTAGGGGCAACAAATATTTAACATTAATCCATACCTCTCCATATATTCTATTATTATTCTGCGCTATATCAAACACTAGACAACTTGATGGTGACCAATGATAAGATAATGTTATATTGATGATTAAATTGTATATTATTAACTTTTTTTAAATAGAGATTTCAGGCGACAGAAAGTATTAAAATATATTAGAAAATATATAAATATATAAAATATTAAAAACTATATCACTCTGGTCACATTTTACTCTCTGCAATTATAAACCAGAACGTATATCTGTCTGTGTATTTGTTACCTTTTCACGACTACACGTTTGAACGGATTTTGACGTAATTTGACAGTAGGATAGACATAGTTCCATTTTAGTCCTCCGGAATGCCAATGCAAGAGTTACTATAAGCATCATGGCCTGGTGTTCTTCAGGTATATATGTTAATTATCAGGTTGTTTGCCATTCCAGTTATATAAAAAAACATAATATTAAATACTATCATTGCATATATAGCTGCATAATAAGCAATTATCTATTCAAACCGATGACAGGTAAACACATACGAACGGAAATGAAAGCTGTGACAATTTGTATAATGCGCAATCCAATTTACAATGACATCGATTATGGTTGGTTTGCGTATCATTTCCAATTCAAACCACAAACATCATCACAAAGTATCAATATTTAGTTTGAAATACAGAGCTAATTAAATGTATTCTTTCAATTTATACTAATAATATTTATTTTAGGCAATAAATAAAATAATATTTTAATCAGCTTTTCCCAAATTAAAAATAACCAAAATA